CGATCTTAGATTACGTTTTATGAGAATATAATATAAAAGTATCGAACACTGAATGTTATTGATAAATCGGAAATATAGTTCAGCACCCCCTTTCGATTAACGGGAATCGCTCAAAAGTTCATAGCAATCTATCTAGCTCAGGGATCGGCAACATTTTGAGACGGAAGAGCCAAAAGTTACAATTTACAAAATTACCCAGTTTTTAAAGAGCCATTTTTTAAATTTCAATAATATGATATTTGATATATATATATATATATATATATATATATATATATATATATATATATATATATATATATATATATATATATATATATATATATATATATATATATATATATATATATATATATATATATATATATATATATATATATATATACAGACAATATTGCAAAATTAAGTTTTTCCGAAACTTCGAGTTTTGTAAAAATCTCGATTTCGATTTTTTTGCACGATTACAATACTTCCTCCATACTCCGTATACGAGAAAGTAAATAGGGGATAAAATTAATTTTTTAAACAGCTGTCTTAAGGATTAATGTTTTCAATGTTGAAAAAAAGATGTCTTATAAGTCTAAGTGCAACCGAGTACCTGACTTTGTCATGAACGCGAACTTTAAAATAATAAGTTACATGAACCCAGTGATTATCTACGTAATGCTCTAATTACGAAAGTCGAATTAGGCACAGCTTGGTAATTAGACAATTGATTTTGTAGTTATGATGTTGGGAAAAACATTCCGTTTTATACTTCCGGCTCGTAGTCTTTGATTTCCTGGGTGGCATATTAATCATAGATAGCGATTACGCAATAGCGCATAAGTTCAGATTTAATGAATTATTGATTGGTATATGCTAATTTTGCCCCACACAATTAGCTAGTGGCCTATGTTTGAAGACCACTTAAAATGTCTTTTTCCTTAGGTTTTTTTTAAGATAACAAATAAAAGAAATCCACGATTTTTTTTTAAGAAAAAAAAAAGGCAAGCATAGCATGAACTGGACCCTTTTGCGGTCCAAACCAAAGATTTTTAGATTTTTTTTAAAAATGTGTTTTGTATCAAATGTAAACTATCTGATACTATCTCCACCAAAGGCGGCAACTCCAACAAGGGCGGCAACTCCACCAAGGACGGCCATCCGCCAAGGACGACCACTCCATCAAAGGCGGCCACTCTACTAAGGCTGGTCACTTGGTCGCCAAGAAAGTAGATTTAGATGCGCCTAGCCTTTTAATTTTCAAACATAATAATCGATAATTGAGTAACACATCTCAAACTTTGTTTACTAAACATACAAGATTTTTCGTTTTGAAAACAGAGATATTTTGTTCGCCGAGACATTGTTTTCGTGAGAAATTTTGTTCGTAGGATGTATTGTCCTTGAGATATTTTTTGCTAGATAATGGCTGAAAAATGATGTCCTGAGATACTTTATCCTTGCGAAATATCGCCTTCGTATAATGTGTCCTTGGTATTTTTATCATTGAGTTATTCTATTTGAGATATTTTCTTTAGTCATGTTTAGGAAAGTGCTAACGTTACTGGTGTAAATAAAGACTCGTCGAAATTGTCTAAACATGGTCAGCTTTCTTCTCCCGAGCGCATAATTTGAGCCAAAAATAAATTACCGGTGTCGTGACATTTTTAGTGACACTTCCCTGACTAACAATAACAATAACACACTGGAAAGTCAGCAGTTGGGTATACTTAGGTATTGACGCACTAGGGATATTTTGCAAGGGAGATCACTCGTGTAGTTAGTCTCGACCACGAGAATTGGTTTAATGGTCAATGATGTTGGGGTCGGGTTGTAGGGGGAGATGGACTTAAAAAAGGACACCTATTATTTAACTTTTAACTATGTTCATTTTTTTTATAAGTGACTTAAAGGTGAATACTTTCTTTCATACATAACTTTTCTCAGGGGTAGGGGACAGAGTTTCTTCCAGGCATCTCTTAGAGCCCCCGACCCCCGAAGAAAGTCTACCGCCCCCCCCCCCCAACCGAGAAAAAAGTCTGGAAGAAACACTGGTAGGGGAGCACTTGAAATTTCCTTGGTGGTGCCTTGGGATAAACTTTTTTTATTTCGTCCGGAGGTCTGTGGAAATTTTGCTTCTGTTTGGCCAAATCTTTTTTTTTTTTAATTTTTTTAAAAAGAAAAAATAAGGAGTGGTTGGGTGTTTTTTTAATTACCTTTCTGTAATTCAATCTACCTTCAGGGTAGGCTTACTTGTTTGTGTGTGTTTAACAAGCGCTCTCGGTTGCTGTTCTCTGGTATCTGTTGCGATCAAATACCTTAGAGTTATCTGCTCTTTTGTTTTGTTTTTTTTTTTTTAGAATTTCTTTTAAATTTTAAATTTAGCTGTTTTTTTTTAAATTCAAAACATCAACTTCAGTAGCGTCAAAAGGCGGGGTGGGGGGGGGGGGGGTGCAAGCCGTACCGGAAGATATTTTCCAAGGAGATGACACTATTCATATTGGGGTGACACCATTCCAAAAACCAATTGTCCTCATGGAGCGAAATCTGTTTTTTCTAGTTAATTGAACAATTTATTAAAGCTATAAACACGTAGAGTCAGCTAGTGACACCATCCATTTTTTAAGCAACTATCTGATAGTTTATAATATTTTTTCTAACAGTAAGGGGTCGTCCATAGAATGTCGTATTTATGAGATGGGGAGGGGGAGGTTCGGACTTTTTTAATAACGTGACTGGGGAAAGGGGTCATCCAGAAAAAACGTCACGCTTTTTTTGACGATTTTTACTTTCTACCCCCCACACTCCATCACACATCGTCACAAAAAGCCAGACCCCCCCCCCCCCCCTAAAAAGACGCCTGCAAACCCACTCAAAATTGCAGTTAAATCTTTCTTTTAAAACATCGATATTTTTTTTCCAAATTTTTTTCTGAACTCTGTCAACAAAGAGTATTTTAATCAATTCATATTACAAAGGCCAAAATTTAAAAATTCGTTTTCTAATATTGCTTTTTTATAATGCAAAACTGTGACGTCGCACCATCTGTACATCGCCCCTACTCCCCCTCGTCACACAACGTCACAAAGTTACGGGGGGGGGAGGTCGAGTCCGCGTGACGCCCGCGTGAAGACCTCCGACAGCTTCTCTCTTCCAAACATCAATATTACTTCTTAAGATAACTTGTCTTTTACGTTTACTTTTCAAAGCCTTAACATTCATGCAGCTTCCGTTTAATTATTTTATATTTTAAACATTGATTTTTCCGAAATGTCGGCAAATTCGCCAGAAACATTTTTACCAGCCGAAATAGAAACAAAAACAAAAAATTAAAAATAACAATGGTTTCAATTTCATGACATCTAGAGATGAGAGTTCTTTAACAAAACAAAATAAAGAGGCGTCCCGCCTACTAGATGTAAATTCAAACGACCAGACGCCATCTTTCAACTTTTAGCAATCGTCTTCTAATGTAATAAAATATGTATTCGTGTATTTTCATGATTCTTTTGCTGCCTTTAATAGCATGATAATCGACTCAAGCGAAAGTTGAGGGATGGTAAGCGAACGGCCGCTCTAGGTCCGATGCTTCACCTACAATGTCCATGTTGGTCAGTTAATGAGCAACTTATATTCTGCGTTAAAATAAAAGTAAAAGCTAGTATTACGCGCACGATTTGTTTCAGATAATTTGCTAAAGGAGGAATTTGAAACTTCCGGTGATGGTGTGGGGAGGGGGGAGCAGAGTTTCTTCCAGGCATCTCTTCGGGGGCTCAGCCCTCTCTCCACTGAATGAAATGGAATTTATATAGAAAATATATCATTTTACCAGTGTCCGCCCCCTACTCCGAGAAAAAAGTCCGGAAGAAACACTGGGGGGAGGGGAGGGTCTAGGGATTACAGGGATGGTTTAATTAAATATTTTCTATTTGGATTTTTTTTTTCTATTTTATTTCTTCTTGGGCGGTGGACGTTGTGGAGGGGCAGTGCGCACCTACCCTGGAGATGCCAGAAAGAAACACTTATTACTCGCTTTCAATTCTTCAGTCAATATTCGCACTTGCTATTCCGGTATCAATGCTACAAGTAGCAGGGTACTCAGTAGCACCCGTGTTACCTTAAATTTTACCCTCCGTTTATTGTATTTGTAATTTGTAAACAGAAAACTGTTATGTATGTCTTTATTGCATGTCTCGTATTGACAAATTGTTTGCAGTGGTAAACAATTTGTCAGTTCTTATAACTTATGAGGAAAAAGTGTGTATCCTTATGACGAAAATACTTTCGACAGTAGATTCTAATATGCCCATACTATCACATGATTAGTTTTATTAAAAACGGCTACTGTTCATATACAATGAAAAAGCTTACAAAAATACAATCCTGAATTTACGCCTTCGCGAAAATATATCTAGCTGGTTACATTATCGTAGCAATCCAAATGCTAATGTTCAGTGTGGCTGATTAAAGCAGTCTATCACTATGATGAGGGCCATTGAGAGGACCAATATCGCTATTTACACATGTCTGATTGGTTGCTATACCTATTCTAAGGTAGGCTTTTTTAAGGAATTAGTTTTTCACACAATCTTGAATTACGACCTTAGTAAGTCGCTATAGTTCTAAATAGAAAAATAACAGGACTATGGTTTATCTGTGTCGTTAGTAATTTGTAGCTTTCATTTATCAAGATGCATAGCATAAACCATTTTTTTAACAGCCGAGGGATGAGCTCTACGGTACCGCCTATTTGTCAATATTGCGTAACCTAATACACATGTTGCAAGGGAAACAACCAGAAAAATTAAAGAAATTCAGGTTGGTTAACAAAACGGTATTTTAACATGATTGTTCTGTTACTTGAAACTTTTTGAGCATTTTGCGAAAACAAAACATACACAATAACTCAAAACACTCACACACACATAATAACAACTAAAAAAACATTTTACACACAAATATGTTCCAAATAAACAATGACAAATTTTCAAACAAAAAAATAGCACAAATATGACTTGACTTAAAAAAAGGTTTTTATTGAACAATTTCATATAGAATTGTTATGTGTCGCTTTTAGTAACAGGAAATTATTCTCAGCCACAGGTGACATGTGACCTAACATTCATGGTTTAGTGCATACGATAATAGGTCAGTCCATGCTGAACACTATGAGATTCAGTATCTCTAAACTATCATCATGTCTTATGGTGTTACTCTGACCATCTATATTAAACTAAGTTAAAAATGTCAAGTTTTTTGTGTGTCATTGATGAAACATAAAATTAGGCGAATGAAGTTGTCCATGAAATAAACAAGTCTTTAAATTTACAAGTACAAGCTGGCTGCAAACACTATGTCCCTCTTGATCAATCGAATACCTGAAAAAAAATCAATAATCGGTAATTCAAATTTTCTACTGGAGATACAAAAACTTTTTAAAGAATGTAAATGAGCCAACAGATTCTGATCTAGACAACTCACCTTCAGAAAATTTGTTTTCTAACTCTGTGTTCCCAATAGCTTTAGCTGCTTGTACCATCTGTCTTAATGTCTCTTCTAACCGTCGCATGGCACGAATTATGCTGCCTATTGAGAGAAAATATATATAAATTGATTGTCGTTACATTTTTTTTAATAGCCTTCTAGGCACCATCTCAGCTAAATTAATAAAACCAATAACAAGACAATCAGATTTAGGCCAAAATGTGTACAAATATTGTTTTATATTGTGGCTAACAGTTCAATACATTTTCACTACTACTTTTGGTCCTATTATTTTACTGCTTAACATTAATATGAAAATCAAAGTTAAGGCAAAAAAATCAAAGATTAATTAAACAAAGTAACTACCTTCAAACACATCAGTCATTTTACAAATGTTAGCAAAACTTGATCCATTACACCATTCATTGACTACATCCATTAGGTGTGGTCGGAAAGAATCTACATAAACCTCTTCATCTAGTTCTAGCTTGGCTTCTCTACTAATCCTTGCAATTCTTCTAGCTGTATCCTAGATAGTTAAATTTAACATTAAAAACTTCAAACATAAGTTAGTGAAGACAAAAACTATATTTTAGTTTGAAAACTTCAAGAAAAAACTTTAAAAATCAGCACTGAAGCACACAAAAAAAGATAATGTCTAATAATATACCATCACCTAATGCGTCAGGAACTTATTAAAAATAAGGAATCAAACCTGCATGATCCTGAGAGGTCCAGCCAACTCCTCTCCAAGTTTTGGCATCTCTGATGCTTTCTCTTGGAACACAAAGCAGCTGATAAGTGCACATGCTTGATGGGGAGTCAAATCATTGAAAACACCATTGAATAGCAGTTCAGTCAGCAACAGTTCATCACCACTGAAATAGAGATATCAGAATATATTTTTCAAAACATATTAAACAAGCACACTAAATTAATTATAAAACAAAAACATCAGCCTATCATGTCTGACAAACTCTTATAATATGGCACTGAGTGGAAGAATTATCTGCATTATAAGCATCTTGGCATTAACTTTACTTTTTATTTGCTGAAGTTTCTTCTTAATAAAACAATACAGGCATAAAATATTAGTAAACTAATCTGGCTAAACAAATAAAGTTTACCTGCTAATTTCACAAGCAACCCTCCCTTTCAACTCTATTACATCTGAAGCTGTACAGTAACCCATCCGCCGCAAAACACGTTTGCGACATTTTAACTCATCCATTTGAAGTAGAGACTTTTTCTTTTTTAATTCCAATTTTAGAGCTTTGATTTCATTGGCTATCTAAAAACAAAAAAAATTATTTAACACTTGTAGTCAATGGGGAAAAAAATGATTTTGGCTATCAAAATGAAGCTATAAGTGTGGATTGATAAACATAAAATTAAAGATACACTTGGACTTACTTTAGTTTTCTTTTCAAACTGTTCATAGAGCTCTGCTAGTCTGGTGTCTTTGTGTAACGGATGTGAGTAAAGACGCTGCTCAAAAGCTTCAATTTTCTATTGAAGATAAAATATATTAATAATCATACCACTGTTTAGGATATCACTAAAACAAAGTGTTCAAATTGAAAGAAACATACCTTAATCGTATCCAGCAGAGACTTTTCCTTGATTCCCATATCTTCTATTGGATCCAACAGAGGTAGGCCATCAGTAAACCTCTTCTCAACTTCCTGGATTTATAAAGTATCAACTAGCATTAGGCAGATGAATACTTCAATTTAAAATTAGTTGGCAAACAAAAGAAAACCAGACATAACCAGTAATAAAATGTTATTTCAAATATGAAGATAATGCTCACCTGTAATGATTTTAAAACAAGGAATCGACTATCAGAAGACCTGAGATCATTTGGTATATATAACCTTATGGCACTGACAGAATCAATCAGTCGGGTTAAAATAGGAACAACCTGAAATATAATTACATCCAAAATATTAAAACCCATACATTATTTTAATTAATGTAATATACATGTTTGTTTTTTAACACAGACTCATTCTTTACCTGCATCTCCCCTTTTTCACCTTTAGGACAAGGTCTGATCTCTGCTGCATTACGAGTTTTTAAACTATCCTTTGTAAGATTCAGTAAAATTTCAACCACATATAAGGTGCCTGTTTCATCTGTGGCCTGCATTAGAAAAAGAATAAGCCAGGATTATAAAGCTGTACAGATAAATCCAAAAGCAGACTTCACACAGAAAGCTGTCTTGGTACAATCAACTAAAAACAAAACTTTGTTGATATCACTTATAAGTTACTACTCTCATGTTCAAACAAATAAAAATAACTTACAGCGGATTGGTCCATCTTTTTGTGGAAATTTAGAACTACTCCCCAACCAAAGTCCATTCCTTCATTCTTTACCTAAATTTTGGAGAAAATGTTTACAGTTCAAGCATTTTTCACATACAATTTTCTAAAGCAACAACAAGGGTTAAACAAAATAGAAAGAAAATCTTATACCTTGACAACTCTTCCTGGCTGTAAGAAAGGCAGTAAATATGTTGGTTTGAGGATAAAATGGCGAAGTTCCCTGCCAAGTGTTTCCAGCTGTTGCCTTATACGGTAGTATGCAGAAACAGAATCTTCATCATCTACAGAAAGTGCTTTATGTGCTTGTTCCTTGACCTGCAATTCTGTTCACATTTTGTTGCTTTGAGTTATTTTTAGAGTTATACCAAGTCACATGAGTATTTAAACCACAACTGATCAATTGCATTTACTAGTCTTTTAAATCACAAGCAATAGTTTAAGATCTGATAAAACAGTACTTTTAGGTTATAAAATAACATACACGAGTGTAGTTTTTATTATTTGCTTCAAGATCATTTTTTACCTAAAAGATCATTTTGTTTATGCACTAGTACAGCTAACAATTGAGATTGTGTGGTTTAAATCAAGATTATTCATAGCAGTTATGTTTCAACAAGAACAAGGACAAAGTGGCTATACACTATACTGCTAAGTCCTGATTGTCTTAATATAACATTTTCATCTTTATAGCTTTTCTACATCCTTAATTTTTTCTCAAGTAATTTTATACATATTGTCAAACACATACTTCATATTTTTTACAAATTCAATGAGTTTGTGTACTTGACAATAAAATCTCAGCAAGGGGGAATTTACTAAAATGATGTGAGGTTGAGGGAATTATTAGAGCAAAACTTAGGTTGGGGCTGTTTTGGTTAATTTGCATCCTTTGGATCAGACAGCAAATCATTACTAAATCCTTAAAATCAACTTACTTTCTAATAGATCAGGTATAGCTGCATAGTTCTGGAACTGAAAAAATGATCTCTCTAGCATGTATTCAGGATTAATTTCTTCTACTCTTAACAAGTTCAGCACCATGTTGTATGTCAAATGGAATGCAGAGTTCAAAGAATCAGGTTCTCCCTGTGTTTATGATAAAGTATTAAGTCAAAACATGTACATCGCTATATTAATAAAAATTAGTTTAAATATTTAACACATCCATTGTCATACATTTACTTATTAAAAAAAATAAAAACAGCTAAATATTTCCATACATGCCATTCACACCCAATGAAAATTTATTTAATTTCAAATAGCAATCAATTTTATACAGTAGTTAGTTGTAAATTACCTTAAGGACATTCTTCCCAACATCAGGAGTAATTTTTTCATCCACCATCATTATTACAATACCTCTCTCATCCAAACCTCTGCGACCTGCTCTCCCAGACATCTGGATGTACTCTCCTGAAGTTACCTGGTATAAAGTTCATAAAAATTTTAAAAGTGATACAATGCAAAACAATTTGTTTTAAACATTTAATTACATAAACAGAAAAATCAATCACTTACAGTTCTGAAGTCTTTGCCATCAAATTTACGACAACCAGTAAATAAGACTGTTCTTGCTGGCATGTTTAACCCCATAGCAAATGTTTCTGTAGCAAACAGAGCCTTCAAGAAATTAAGGAAATATGTTAAAAGAAATGTAGTCACATTTGTCTTTAACAATAAAACAGACAGGATTTATCCAACCTACTTTAATCAGTCCTTCTGAGAAGAGAATTTCAATTGTTTCTTTGAGGAGAGGAAGAAGGCCAGAGTGGTGAATTCCAATACCTTTCTTAAGAAGGGGCAGAACATGCTCTACCTATAAAGAGATTCATTTTTACATAAGTTAAAAATAAAATCTTTAAATCAAAGTTAAGAAATAAAGGAACAAAGTAACAGAGCTCTTTATGATTATTGTATTTATATTACCTGAGGGAGTTTCTTGTCTTCGTCGGATAACGCATCAACAGCATTATTAAATACTTCCTCCACAAGAGCTTTCTCTTCCTCTATAATTCAAAAACAGATTTTCAGAAAAGAAAAATAGGTTGGAAGTAAAAAATTGTTAATCTCCAAGAGTGGGTAAATTATTTCATTAAAATTTTAAGCTGGAATTTTATTAAACTTCTTATGACATGTTAAACAGAGTACAAAATTAAATCAGGAAATATTTTGGACAAGTAGCAGTGGACTTCCTATGTACACAAAGTACATTACTTATCTATCAAATCAAAATAACTAAATAAAAGCTTGATGCAACTATTCTCTGAAATGTTATCTTAACCATTTGGTACTGAACCTCAAGACAGATGCTTTAACTCTGAACAGTTAGCTCTATAAAACAAGCTTCCTTCAGAGTATACAATCCATTACACCATTAAACAGCAATAGCGCAAATTAAAATAATTTAAATCTTTAAACTTTTCTTGCAATATACCTGTGTTAAAATCCAGTTTTGACATCTGCATCCCATAACCTTCACAATCCTTCCTGCTAAAACTGAACACAATAACTGGAGCAAAGTTCCTTTCCATTATAAGTTTAACAATTTTGTAGCAATCTGATTCATTGGCTGAAATAAAAATAATACCCACATTATTCAAAAACTTAATGCGGCTATCAATATAAATTCAAACAATTTATTAGATTAATCTAAAAATTAACCAGTAATCTAAATAATAAGTGATTAAAAAAAATGTTCTATTCTAATAGAAAATGAATGAACATGTATAGCCATTTCATAACTGACTTCAGTATGACACAATCAAATTAGAGTGACTGTAAAAACAGAATTAGAATCAATAATTAATATAGGGGTATTGAAAGACAACAGACCTTTACTACCACCTCTTCTGCCCCTCTGATCGCCCTTTGCAGCATCGCCAGCATCGCGGAGCACTGACATAGCTGTATTGAAATTCTCTTCTCTAAAATCCCCCTGAAATAAATTTCAATGAGAACCATGTTAAATAATTATTAGAATAACCTGTTTTTTAACTGTTTTTAATGGACTCGTAAAAGTTAGTGTTAATACAATAAATATATTTTTACACCTACATTTTCATCAACCACCAAATGTAACCCATCTCCACCCGCTGGAAAAATATAATGTTGCAAGGGTATGGGTCTATAGTCTGTGTACACAACGTGGCACGGCTGAAATAAAATGTGACACATTTTACATTTTTAAGAAGAAACAATACATGGATTCCAGGTCACTAGCCAAGTAATATAGCAAAAAATGTATATCTCTGATGTCTATTACCAGTAATACATTAGAAAGTTTTTTATATTTACAGCTAAAATACAAGTTGAAAACTCTACCTGTCTATGCAAATGACAGATCCACTCAGCAAACTGCCTTGCATTAGGGATGGTGGCAGAGAGAAAAACATAGTGAACATTGTCTGGTAATAGTATAATAGTTTCTTCCCAGACTACACCTCGCTCTGAAAATAAATAGACATGACAAGATATGACAAAATGAAGTACAGTATCTAGGATAAAGTAATAAGTATTGCGAAGAGCTTCACACTGGTATAATTGTTAAGATATGCAGTGCTCTGTACCTTTGTCTCTCATGTAGTGAATCTCATCAAATATGACCCATGCCACTTCCCTCATGATCTCAGAACCACGGTACAACATGCTCCTTAAAATCTGTAATACAGACAAAACTAGTAAAAAAACAGCATGCATCATAATGGCATTATAACCACAAACCTCATCCCCTTGTTACTAATATTAAAATATGATGTCTATTTTAGTTGTTTAACATGCTCTTTTACAGAGTCCCATAAGAGTAGAAAACATCTCCAACAAAAACACTGTCATGTGTAGACAAATTTTCAGTAATCAAAATTGTATAACAATGTATAACAAAAGTGTATAACATTGACTACTTAGGCTGTTCATGACTTGAGTAACATATCTGCCCATTAAAAAAAATATTTTAAAATACCTCTGTAGTCATGACAAGACAACTGGCAGTAGGATTGATAGTAACATCTCCAGTCATGAGACCCACATCTGTAAATTCTTCATACAGCTCTCTGTATTTCTGATTGCTTAAAGCTTTTATGGGTGTTGTGTAGATCACACGCTGTTTGCTTCTCAATGACAATGCAATAGCATAACTATAGAGAGAAGAGTTAAAATTTAATGCCTGTGGTAATGCTTTTGATAACTAGTTTTAAAAAATGTACATGAACTCGGTACATACACTGCAACAACTGTTTTGCCTGCAGAAGTATGTGCAGAAACAAGGACTGATTGATTGTTCTCCAAACATAGGATGGCCTCCTTTTGAAAAGGATCAAGTGTGAAAGGATATTCCTTGGCAGGTTCCCCAGTTGGAGGTTTTAGGGGAACATACTCTTCCTCAGGTGGAACAGCAACCTACAAATTAAAAGTCTATTCATTTGCACCGTAGATTATACAGAACAAAATCATCTTAAAAAAAAAATACAAGCTTGATTAAAATTACCTATTATTCATAAAGAAAGCTGATTTTTTATAAATGAAATTTAAATACAATGACTAAAACTGAATATAATAAATAATATACTGCGACAAGTTGTCACTTTAACATAAATTAACATGTTTATTTTCACACTTCTATACCTCATGTGTGCAGGCTTCCAGTGTCTCTACAGTGTGTACCTGCAGTCTTGGCATGACTTCAACTCTGTAACCAAAAAATAATTTTAGCCTACATAAAACCCCTACTAACTTTTAGTGCTATAATTAATGTTTTAAAATTGTGATGACTAATGAAGTTAATAACAAAATTTACATTTTTTCTTCATTTTTAGGACGTTTCAGAGATTCCTCTTCCTCTCCAGCAGTTTTCCGTTTTCCAGTAATTTGACTGAGCACATTGTCAGCTCTGAAGAGTTAAGCAATATTCAAAAGCATACATTAAAAATAAAAAAATTTCTAACATTGAGTGAGACAGGCCAAAATTTTGTCAATGATTGTACTTTATTATATAAGTAGACAAAAATCAATACGGTTCACAACACAAACTGCCAGAAGAGGCCTATAAAACTGACTGACTAAATAAAAAACGTTTTCTAATTTAATCTATTTCGTCCCAGAGAATACTATAGGCGCTATCCATTAAACTGATTTAATTCTCAATCTTGACAGGTGGCTTATCGTTAAAATTAAATCTTTTACTAGATTCTAGACTAAAATTAATTACCTCAATGGACCCAACCAAGAATAGTCTTAAAATTATTAGAAAAGCCCATTAAATATTTTGAAAATCATGTAGGCCTACTGGGCTTTAAAAATAATTATGGTTATAAAAATCTGACTGTTTTGATTTTTGATGGATTTTATGTATTTGATGGTAGCAATTGACATTAGCAAACCATGGGTATTTAGTTGCAAAGTGACAAGTCGGAAAAAAGCTTTTGCCCCTTCCCTAGTCTAGGCTGGCTGGCAGAAGACGCAAAAATGCAATGAATTACTCTTTTAGCCTTATTCTTCTAACTGTATTGAGTAATATTGAGTGTGGTTGAGCAGTTGCGCTTTGGGCAGATCATCAGGGGGATATAATCTAGTATATCTAGAACTATCTACCCATCTAGCCTGTAAGTAAAGTATAACATCTTTTACAAAAAGTTTTTTTAATAGTATATTTAAATCTACTATTTAAGTTTATCATGTTACTCCCTTCAGGACAACTCAAAGGCCTGAACAATGAACATTTAAATGACAAGAAAAACCAGGTCACTGTAGCGCTGTTTAGTAGATAAGCACATAAGCATCTTCTTCTGGCTAGAATCAGCCATTTAGTTATTTAGATATCCCTAACCTTAGTGACACTTAGTCCTATTTTATAACAATAAAGCTGGTCAAGATGAAAATACTACTAATAACCTAAGACACCTATTTTAAGACGAGTCTATTATCTGACATCGGCATCCGCAATCATCCCAAAAATTTTACTGGCAAAGTTTTGAGATCAAATTACAATGAAGTGGGGTTTGCAGAATATTGATCACTGAGTTCCTGTTCAGACAATCAATGTTTGTCTTAAGAAAGTGAAGGTTATAACTTAGACTTAGACTCAATGAAAATAAATAGAAATGCTTATGTAGTTGATGTAGCCTGGCCTTCAGCTCAAAAAATTATTTTTAGGTTAAGTTCTCTCAGAGAACTTCTCTGCATTTGCAACTTGTAGATCTGATCTAGATAACATGGTTTTTAAAACTATTAAACATCTTAATTATTTTCAGGCTTAAGTTGTTTGTTGTTTTTTTACCGCCGCTTATTTGAAGGTAAAAGCTAAAAATAAAACACGAATTTATCCATGAATCCATGTCAACAATAATGTCATAATGTGGAATAACTCTCGGCAGCTCATTCATGACCATTGGCCGCTAATCAAAAAGTTACTTAAGAAAACAAGCGTTATTTATGAATAATGATTATTCACGCAAATTTAAGTGTTTGGATTATTGATAAAGCATATATGACTAACCTGGCATTATCTTGTTCTTTTCTTGGTTCATTTTCGGTAGGTTTTGATGATGAATCTTGAAATACATCAAACAATTCAGAACCGAAGCCGTCGGCCATTTTTGTGGCAGCTCTGTAAAAGAAATAATAATTGCAACTTGATGCTAAAGTTAATTAAAATTTCTTAATTTTTAAAAATGGATTTTTGCCATGAATAATTTATTATATTAATATAAAGAATTTTAGTTATATATATTTTACATCAAAATTACTCCTTTTAATATTGATCTTTACACAAACAATGTAAACTTATTTCGTCATTAAGGTATTTTTCTCGAGATTGTTATAGATCTAGATCTCAATCTATTTCCACACTGGCACACGGGCCTAGCTAAAACGTGTGTTGAGGGACCATCTAAAACTTCCGTACTTCTAAATAAATGATTTTTTTCTTAAACTAAACTCGTCGAAAGAAGATTTTTTAAAGAAAAAGTAGAATAGGCCTACTTCAAACAATCTAAAAATGAAAATGAAAATGTATTTAAATGTATTAGAATTAGGCATACTATTTACTTAAAATTGCTTAAAGTTTTTAGGGGCCTATATACTAGATCTATATACATTTAAATACTTCCTCAATAGGACAAGCTTGTAATAGAAAAATCTATTTATAGGCCTAATTATAACAAAATTATTTGCCAAAACAACTCTGAAGAAGTGAACAGATGTAACAAAAATACAAAAAAAATAGTAATACTGATTTCTAAAATAGATCTAGATCTAGATTTTTTTAGAATGTTGGACTTTGAAAATAACATTTTTTTGGATGCCTTTCATGAAGATGGCCTCGTAATTATGTCACGGTAAATATATGATTCAGTGATTGGTATCAAGATTCTTGAAGATTGGCTTGCATGTGCTTGCTTTCTTAAAATTCATTATTAGTAACATAGGCCATAGGCCAACAAAAAATATACTTATAGGCTGCTGTGTAGGCTATTGTTTTTGTAATTTTTATAATTAGAATCTATATCGTTTATTGCACTTCCCTTCACTTCGCTAACCTCTGTAAGAAATTTAGCTATTTTTACAATTCAGAAAAGAGTTTTAAATATTATTATTTTATTTATTATGCCTATACATACCTAGATTGTGTGTAGTTTAAAAGATATAAGACATTTATAAATGTTACCTATAAACTATTGTTATGGTTGTTCACACTTTGCAACTCATATTTTTATTTTAAATTTATTTTAGGGGTCTTGGTATCACTCGGCTTTTCTCTGAATTCCTGAAGGTGTACAGTGACCCTGCAAGCCTAGTGCTTGTTTTGAACACCACGCCTTCAGATGAAGTAATGATTAGGCCTATCTGTTTTAATTTTATGTATAGTTTATAAGTATCAGCTGTTTTGTTTTATGTTTTATTTATAAACATTGAGTATATCACTGTTAGAGATTTTTTAAATTTTAGTTTATAACCACTTGTTTACTTTTCAGTCTTATTTCACAGAGAAACTGGAAAAACAAGGGATCTCAAATTTACCAAAGATAATCACAAATGAAATAAGTTCATCTGAGAGGTAAGCTTAGGTTTAGGCTGGTATATTACAAGGAGTTATTAAATTATGTAATTCATTTGTATGGTGATTAATTATAGGTCTAGTAGTTAATTAACTTTTCACCAAATCTCTTAAACACACACTTATTATATGCTGTAAAATGAATTAACTGTTTTGAAAATTGAGCTCTTTGCTTCTGTTTCCCAATACAGCATATCAAATCTAATTTTTGTTGGTATCAAAACCCTGGCCCTCATTCCACCAGATGCAGATATTTAACCTTGTTATGATACTGCATTGACTGGTCAGTGATAATTGTTTATTTCAGACAGACAACTTATGTAAAAGGAGGAGTTTTATTTATTACATCAAGAATATTAGTTGTAGATCTGTTGACTGATAGAGTACCAGTTGAACATGTAACTGGCATAATGGTCTACAAAGCTCATAAGTAAGTAGAAACCTATCTGAAATTTTAATTAATTAAACTGCTTCTGTAAGTTTAAAGTAAAGTAAAGTTCCCTTTTCAAACCTGACGGTCTATAGGGCAGGTGAAGTAGAGTTCACTTGTTTCTGTGACCTCGGCATATAAGGAGATAGTGTGGTCAGCACCATGCCCAGCCGCCTTTACTCACCCTAATGTGAGTTAGGTACCCATCAGAGTTGGGTGGACTCAGGGACCGACTTGAACCCGGATTCGAACTCGAGACTTATGGGTTAGCACTCCAGCTCTCTACCGCTAGACCACTCTGTCCCCTTTCAGTAAGGTTACCAGTCAGAATTTGTATGATCAACTTTAAATTACATGAATTCCATATGGTTTAGTATAGATATCCCATAATCTTGAACACAATAAGGATGTAATATGAATAAAATACTCCTTCATGTTACAAAACACCTTACAACAAAATAATCACATTTAAATTTTTTTCTAATAAGTTATTGTATAAAACTTTCTTTTTTTTAAAGGATAATCGAATCATGTCAAGAAGCTTTTATTTTACGGTTGTATCGGCAAAAAAATAAGGTAGCCTAATCTTGCACGTTTTTTTTTAATATTTTTAAATATTATAGGGCCATCAATTTAAGTCATCCACACGGAGGGTAATCAAATATTTCATATAAACACTTCCATATTATATAATTTTTTAACACATTAAAAATCTAACAAATTGAATAGTGATGTAAAATAAGTATAAAAATTTGTATATCAAAAATAAGAAAGTAAACACCTTTTTTTTTTTAACTATAATAGTAAAGGTAAAAGCATTTGTTGTTGCTCCAAAAATCTTCCAATACATTTTGCGACCGAAACTTTTGCTTTTACTTGTAGTTATAAATGTAATAGTTTTTTAATTCATTTTTTAATGACAAATTTAGTATCAAATTGAAAATTGGATATTCTTTTGTTGCCATTGTACATGCGGTTAATCGTTGAAAATTTGTTATTCATAGACAGGTTTCATTAAAGCGTTTACAGATAATCCTGAGTCATTCACTAGTGGGTTCTGTCATGTGGAGAGGATTATGAAGACACTCTTTGTGAAGAAACTCTTCCTATGGCCACGCTTTCATGCCAGTATAGTTTCTACTTTTAAAAAACACCAAGTATGTGATTTATAAACTACCACTTTATCCTTTATTGGCAAAGTTCTTGCAGTAAAACTGGTTATAAAATCTTATGTTTTAAATTTCATTTAGGTGAATGTGATTGAAATTCACTTGCAAATGACAACAGCCATGACAGCATGCCAGACAGCTCTGCTTGATCTCATTAATGCTTGTATTAATGAGTTAAAGCGCTCTAACCCTGGAGTAAGTACTTTTTGTTCAAACTTTCAATTTATATTTATCAAAGTGAATTTAAGAACAGTCATGTTTGAACTTTTATTGATGTTAATCATAGCAGATTTGAGAACAATCATTGATTTATACACTTTTGAAAATCATTGATTTATACACTTTTGAAAATTGGGATAAAAATTATATTTCACTGATGCTTTTTAGATTGATACAGATGAAATAACAGTAGAAAATGCACTCTCCAAAGCCTTTGAGCTTTTGATAAGGTTACAGTTAGAACCTGTCTGGCATCAGTTGAGCTCTAAGACCCGGCAGCTTGTAGCAGACTTGAAAACCCTCAGGCTCATTCTCAGGTAAAAGTTGGGCTGTGGAAGAAATTAAATTTTATTTTTATTATATTATTTAGAATACCGGTATTTGATAATATCCAAGAAATAAGGAAAAATCAGACACAAGTATAAATTCTTTGTGCCAGGTATTTTTTAAATTGTTTTTTTTTTATCAGGTCTATTTCATTTCATATTAGAGAATTTATTTCCTAAATCTTGATAACATGTGTGAACTAATCTTAAAAATAACACTTTTTAACTCGTTTTTATTAACTCAGCTTCGCGTGTGTTTGTTGTTAAAATTGACATCGAAAATTAGCCCACTTCTGATTGCTCTATAGATCTGAAATTTGGCATGCAGGTTACTTTCGCCTAACAATTTCAGATGCAATCATAAAAACTAGCAATTAGAGACCGTAATTAGCTTAATTTAATTACGCCCAAAGGACCATAAAATTGAGGACATGATTTCTAAAGATACCGACAAGACTGGAGGCTTGTTGACACAGTTACTTCGGCCCCAATCGATGTGAGCGCGCTGGCCGTGATCGTATAGTGGTTAGTACTTCGCGTTGTGGCCGCGACAACCCAGGTTCGAATCCTGGTCGCTCAAGATTTTTTTAGTCCGTGTATTTATAAACACTTTTTTAAAAACCACGTTTTTCATGTGTAGCAACGGACTAAAAAGGAGAAAATAAAATACTTAAAAAATACTTTTTAAAAAACCACGTTTTTCTTGTGGACTAAAAAGTAGAAAATAACTATTTTCATACATTTGATGACAAAAAACGTGGGTCGGGCAGATGGGTCGGGAAATTTGATGGTGAACGTACCCACGTTTTTTGTCATCAAATGTATGAAAATAGTTATTTTCTACTTTTTAGTCCACAAGAAAAACGTGGTTTTTTAAAAAGTATTTTTTAAGTATTTTTTGTTTACATTTTTTTACATAACTATCTCAAAATCTGTGATAAAATTTTCTTACTTAGCTGTTTTTATAAAAATTTCATTAAAAGGCACCTTACTCAGTATGACTGTGTCACGTTTTACAGTTTGGTTCAGTCTATCAGGTAAGAATTCATTCAATGTTCAGGTTAGATTCACTGCTATTACTTGTCAAAACATCAATACTTTACAGCACTATAACTGAATTCAGTGTGCAAGAGGTTAGAGTCACTATAAATATCAAGTTGTCAAAGTGATATCAATAAGTTTATTTAATTAATTAGAGATTTTCTTACAGGACCAGTGAAAGGTTGTTTGGACAGAACACTGGCTGGCTGTTCTTGGATGCTGCTGACAGCTTATTTGTGGTAACTGATTTGTTTACATTTCTATAGCATTTTGGTGTCAATGTTTGTAATATTTTTTTCTGGACGAATTAATTATTACATACACAGTTAATTTATTTACTTGATCTTCCCACTTCAATTAAAAAAATGTTACTTGATGCTTTTTAGCATGCAAAAGAGAGAGTGTATGGAAATACTAAATTTCGAGAAAAAAGTAAAAAGAAACCAAATGAAGTGGAAAAGGAGCAGGATGATGAAAACACGGATGATGAAGGTATTTTTATACACAAAATTTTGACTGCATTAACATAAGAGCATTTTCATATTCTTTAACTTAATGTATTAAATGACAGAAGATAGAATTAATCACTTTTGTTTTAAAAGATATAACATGAACACCTTTTTTCATGGTTGTTTAGACGTGTCAAAAGGACTTGAACAGTGTCCAAAGTGGCTCGCCTTGAGTGAAGTTCTGGCTGAAATAGCAGAGGAAGAGGAAAACTGCTGCGAAGTGGAGGCTCCTGAAACTGCTGATGGTGGCGATGTCTTAAAAGCTGGAAGTCGCATCCTCATTTGTGCTGAAGATGACCGAACTTGTAATCAGTTAAAAGAGGTCAGTATAAGTCAATTATTTTAAAACAGACTATATCATTCATTGTTGTAAATTTTATTTTAATAATTTATGAAAATCTGATCTAGCTCAATAAATAAAATTGCAATAATTTTATTGTGGTTTTTTTTTGCTTTTATTTTTTCATTTATTACAAATATTTCAAAATGTTTTATTGTGTTTGTTTTTTTTACCTTAGTATCTTTGTGTGGGTGGAGAACAATTGATGGACAGATTGTTTAAGAAATATGTTTCCATTAAGGGAGGACAGAAGACATCACATGTAAGTGTAGTTATTATTTTTTTAAACCTACTATAAATTTGGGAAACTCGTATGTTAGAGAACACCTGTCAAACACATGATCATCATACCATATACTACAATAAAGATACTCTTAAATTTAATTGTTAATTTACTTGTTTAATTATTTAAATTAGTAGTAGATGTTTATAAGCTTGCTTATTATATATGTGAAACATCCAGTTTTTTTTACCGTTGAATTATTTAATAATTAATGGCTGAAAATCTGTAAGGCTTAAAAATCTAGAACAGGCTCTCTGTTTGCAGATAAATAATGATGGTAAGGGAACAGTGAAAGCTAAAGAGGCTGAAAAAAAAGGTTTCAATAAAGCCAAAACTGACATAGTCACATTAACTTTAACTCAGATGATGAATGCAGCAAAGGAGGATGACGCTAATGGGAAGGTAACTCTTAAAATAGCTTGTTATTATAAGTTTAGATAGAACTGTTGAGTTACATTTCTTTTGGGCAGATTAAAATACTAAAATACATGTAAATTTTAGTTAATTGAAAGTAACATTACAAATATCACAAAAAAACTATGATTGTAGTTACAGTTTCTTTTGACACATAATTTTATTTTTCTGTTTATAGAAACAAAATTTGGTATTACCATTTTGCTTGATATTTTTATAAAAAAGGCTTAAGTAAACATTTTAGTATATTAGTTAAACATAAGTTGTACATTCTGTATTTTCAAAAGTAATAATCCCTTAAATATTGAATTCAGGTGATTGGTTTTTAATAAAATTATTAACTTTTTAAATCCCTTGCTAAACTGGGTAAATATATGAAACATTTTTTATATACTTTTTCTATGTGTTTGTACTAAACAAAACAATTTTACTTTCCTCTAAGACTGAGAAAGCAACAAGTTCCAAAGATGCATACAGTGGGATAGTTACTTCACCAATGACCATCATTCACCCTCTTCATGGGTCCACAGACTCCCATGGTATACTGCGGGCAATAGAAGAACTTCAGCCGAAATATGTTGTCTTATATGATGCTGACATGGGCTTGGTTCGGCAGTTAGAGGTGGCTGCAGTTTGATTTTTATCTGTCTTTTTTTAACACTGTCTTTTTCACTGTTTTTTTTTTTTCAAAACGGTTTAAATTTTTCAACAAGATATCAACTTTCATTGAAATATTGTTAAATATAATAAGCAAGCTGATGTTTTTTTTAAACAATAATCTAGTTGGGTTTAATTTTATTATTTTCGATATTGAATTAAAATAAAATCATTGAAGTCTCTGTTGAAAAGCAAGCTTAGTTCTGAACTTAATTTCATCTAATTAACAGGTGTTTAAGGCCTCTAGACCAGGAAAACCTCTCAGGGTGTATTTCATGATGTACAAGGGCTCGGTTGAAGAACAAAGATATTTAACTTCTCTACGAAAAGAGAAGGAAGCATTTGAATATTTAATTCGAGAAAAATCAGTAAGTTTTGTTTTTTTTTTTAAACTTTAACACAGTTCTCTAAAATTATATGCATTTATTACATAAGTGTTACAGAAGGTTTTTCTTATTAACTTTTATTAAAAACATAATGAGTACATTTAAATACAGGTCGCTAAATTTAAATTGTATAAAAATTTCTGATGACTGTAACAGAAAAGGTTTACATTTTCATTACATTATTTACAGACTATGGTCATCACAGAAGAACAGGATGGCAGAAGTGAAAATGACCCTCACCTTGCTAGAGATCAAGGTCATCAGGCAGCAAGTAGTTCCAGACAAGGAGGGTTTGAGAGTGTACAGCAGCAGAAGGTAGGTTGTCAGGTGTTTGGTTGGGAATGTGCTTTAAATTCTGACAAAACAGGTTATGTGTGTTATTGTTTATAGCTTAAGGGTGATGTGTCTCTGTTTTCTTATGGGTTCAAGCTCTAGCTGAGCTTGAACAATATACAAGTCTTAACAAAAACTCCAAGGCTTGAAACGATATCTTGATATTGCAAGGCAGAAGTTTTATCATGTTGAAGGCCATTAATCCAGCCTGGTTGAGTGGGGGCGGAAGGTGCCATTGCATGAAATACTTATGTGGATACAAAAGAAGATGTTTCAGTGCATAATTTTAACTTACGTGTGTTCCAGGTCATTGTTGATATGAGAGAATTCAGGAGTGAGCTGCCATCACTTATTCACAGACGTGGAATTGATATTGAGCCTATCACCATTGAGGTTAGTTAATTCATTAAAAATTTTGTAAACTATTTTTTCAATTATCTATTTATAATTTGAGTAAATAATTTTTTTTTAATGACAGGTTGGGGATTAGATCTACATTTTGGCTACATTGTTTTGTTAATTTTTGCTGTGTTCTTCTTAGATCCTAATTTTTACTTTTTGATTTGACAGGTTGGAGACTATATCTTGACACCAGATATATGTGTTGAGCGCAAGAGTGTTAGTGATCTAATTGGTTCATTGAATAATGGACGTTTGTACCAGCAAGCACTTTCCATGTCCAGGTTTTATAAGAAACCCATGCTGCTGATTGAGTTTGATGCCAATAAACCGTTTGCACTTCAGGTATATATATATATATATATATATATATATATATATATATATATATATATATATATATATATATTGTATATTAAAATATATTAGAATATTAATAGAATCTCGACTATAAAACTTTGCTTAAAGTTTATTTGTGTACTACCATGTTTGCAAAAAATAATAATAAAAGAATCAGTGATTCCATTTCATTTTTCAAATAAAATTTTTATTCAGTTGACTACATTATTGCCTGTTTTCTATTTTTTCCACTAGACTAAATCTGCAGTAAGTGGTGAAGTGTCACTACAGGATATCACATCCAAGCTGGCCATGTTGACCATGCATTTTCCTAAACTTCGCCTTTTGTGGTGTCCTTCACCTTATGCCACCGCTGAGTTGTTTGAGGAACTAAAGGTAAATACAAAAAACTTCTGATTTGTTTTTTAGTAGTAGTATGTGTTTCAAATCAAGTTCTTATATAAAAAACAGTGTTTCTTGCAGACTTTTTTCTGGGGGGGGGGGGGGGGGGGGACTAAATTATCCAAGAGGGCAGAGATTGGTAAAAATATTTTTTTCTATATAAATTCTATTTCGTTCAGTGGGTGGGGTGGTAGATGCTTGGAAGAAGCTGTATGAAAAATATCACAGTTCATATAAATTAGTATTTTTTTTCCTTCCAAATATTTATAGAGTGGAAAACCCCAACCAAATGCAGAGGTAGCAATGACAATTACTGCAGCATCCAGTGACATGCCTGATTGGTCAGATAAATATAATCACGGTCCACAGGTGGGCTACAGTATATGTAGACTAGAAGTACAGTTAGTTCTAGTAACTTCCAGTGTATTAAGTGTAATCTGATTTAAATTTGCCAGGATTTTAGGGTAACATTTCACCCAAATAATTGTTACTTTACTACTTTGATCTGCTGTTTTCAACACAGTTAACATTTTTCAAATTTTATTCCTACATGAATAAATTTAAAGTTATTATTAAGAAAAAGATATATAGGCATTAATCCATGTAACTATGCAATTCTTAATTGTTCTCTCTTTTTATTTTTTTTTATTAGGACTTTGTGCTCAGGATGCCAGGAATTAATTCCAAAAATTTTCGATATATTTTTAATAAATATAGTAATTTGTATGAGGTCTCTCAAGCCAGCCTTGAGGAGTTGACGCAGGTTTTAGGGAGCAGTGTACATGCACAGCAGCTTTACGACTTTTTACATAAGGAATATTCTTTCCAAGGTGAAGTCAAGCCTGCTGCTGTGGAGAAAAAGTGGAAAGGAAAAGGGAAGGGGTTCTCACATCGTGGGAAAGGGGTTAAAAGAAAAAAATAAATGGCTTTTCTATCAACTGTTGTGTTGTTTTTGCTTGAGTGAAAGAATATTGAAACAAGTTTGTCGTTGGTTTTGTTTGTTTTTTTACAATTGACTTCAGAAAATCTGTGACTTAACACGTTATTAAAACAGTGCTTTACTTACAAATTTTATTCTGTGCTGTTAATCCTGCTTCAGGATCATCAGATAATTAGGTAAGCAGGCTATTCTCACTGATACTTGTCTCCCCTTACATTAAAAAAAAGCTGATCGTTCATACATTCGTGGTTTCTTATTAGACATGTTCGGGGGGGGGTCCTGAAACAGTCACACATCGTGATTATTCAATTTATTGGGTAGAACTTGATTATTTTTTTCCTGCAATTAATTTGTCGTGAAAGATAAACAGGTGCGTCAGTTACAATTGTGAGGCTTTTTATAGATACATTTTGTCATATATATATATGCCTATATTCCCACACACACACAAGCATTACAATGCAACCCTTTGTATATAATTATTTTTTTTACATAATTGACTTCTAGAATAAAACTATGTTGGACGTCATTTACATAACAACAACGTGATGAAGCAGATTCTCTTTGTTAGCCTAATATAGTTTTTTTTTTCTTTTGTGCCGTTGTAAGGGGGAGGGGGTGGTATAACCCAGCCGTGACCGGAAAGGTCAAAATCTCAGGTAAACTTAACGTACAGAATCCGCGTTAGAGGATTTGTAAACTCATTTCAGAGAACGCGGTTATATAAAAAATATCAATTAATCTCTCCTGCCACGCGGAACTTGATGTGTCTTGCTCTCCAGTAGACAGCTTTAACGCAGTGATATATGTTCGAGTCTATGACCAGCAGACGTCAACTCACATTCTAGCAGTGAACTCGTGAAGTTCTTTTCTCAGCTTGCTGCTAAACTTGGTTGGTGTGATTTCCTCGGTAAAAATGATGAAGCAGATTTTATCGCTCGTTTTTGCCACCGGGATTATTTGTTTAGGTAAACATTTTTAATGCATTTTAAATTTTACTAGCTCGTCATCTTTTGTTTTTTAAAAATATTTTAGTAGGAAAGTATTTTGCCAGATTTTTACCCAATATAGGCCACAGTAAGATATTATTTGAACGGCTATAGCAGGAGGTGACTTGGTAGATTAAAGTCTTTTTTTTTTTTAACATTAATAAACGAAAATCTAAGTGCAATTAATTTCTTCAACTCCCATGCACATGAATAACTGAGATATGTAATTAATTTGGTGACATAACTCAAAGTAGTTTTTCGTGGTAAAACATTAAGCCCTGCGGATTTAAGCGGATTATGTAAATGCAGTCACGCGTTTCGTTGTAGTGCGGGCCTAGTTTTTAATTATTTCTAGGATAAATGTATTTTGTTACTACTTAAGGGATGTGGGTATTTTGTAAAGTTAATTTGGAGTATACTTATTTTTATATTTTATTATCCAGTTTATTTTGACAATTTTTTCAGTTAGGGCTTTCGCTTCAAATGAAGAGGGGGGGGGGGGAGGGGGCAGTGTTTCTTCCAGACTTTTTTCTCCGGGGGGGGGCACTTGAAATTTTCGGGGGGGGGGGGGGCGGTAAACTTTCTTCGGGGGGGGGGCGGACACTGTTAAAAGTATATATTTTCTATATAAATTATATAAATTTCATTTCGTTCGGGGGGGGGGGGCGGTAGAAATTTTTCGTGGCCCGAAGAGATGCCTGGAAAAAACTCTGGGAGGGGGGAGTCCGAGGGACAAAAATAATTAACATCGTGGTAATTGAAGAAGATATAATCAGAGTGATGTGGCGATTCGGTGATTATTTTTTTTAACTGCAAAGCAAATTACATAAAGAATTATAGAGATAATATAGTTTTACGAAGTGAAGGCTGCCCATAAATGAAGTCACACTCTTTGGATGATTTACTTCCCCCCCCCTCCCACACTCATCCCGTCACACATAGTTACGATAAGCCAGACCCCGTCCCATTAAAATGGCATCACACGTCAGCTCACCCCCTCTCCAAATCGTAAATTTTTGTGACTTCACACTATCGTGAACATCTTCTTCCTCCCCCTCCGCCATACAACCTCCCCCGACGTCACAAATTGTCGCAAAAGTATGTGCAGAAATCGACTACCAGCCTATACCTACAAAACTTAATTTAGCTGATTATTCCCCCCCCCCCAAGTTGGTAGCCAGGCACCACCAGACCGACTGGGCGTCATCAAAGGGATTCCATGCCAGCAGTCAGACATCGTCAACATGATGGGGAGGTGCATGATCAAGTTCACCCAGGGGCACGGCGTCCCCGTCCTCGCCAAGATGAGAAAGAGCTTCACGTGCGAGACTTCGACTCTAAACTGCACGTGAGTGGACAGCATTTCATGGCGTTTGTGTTGTCTCTTGATCTAGTTGTTTTTTATCCAGAGGCGTGGCGACCCTTCCCGACGCCCGGGGACAAACTTTCAATTTGGCGCCCCCCTCGGGAACAACCTTCCAATTTTCAATTTGCAACCCCCCCCCTCAAACCTTCAATTTGCGACCCCCCCCCCCCCCCCCATATATTTTTAATATTTATAATGCAAAACTGCAGCTAAAATGATATTTTAAATGTTTTTACAACCCATTTTGCACCCCCTAATGTCGGCGCCTAGGGACATATGTATCCCCTCGCTTCGCCTCTGTTTTGATCCATTACATCACGTCTCCACAGTTGTTGCACCCTCATCATTTTTATCTTGTCATTAATAATTTTTTTCTCGTTTTCAATCTGTTGTTTAAAAACATTATGGTATATATATATATATATATATATATATATATATATATATATATATATATATATATATATATATATATATATATATATATATATATATATATATATACATATATATATATATATATATATATATATATATATATATATATATATATATATATATATAGATAGATATATAGATAGATATATATATAGATATATATATATATATCGTGCTTGCAGAGCTGTTATGGAGACCAGAGTGTGTCTAGCAAAGCTGAGCGAAACTGAGCTGTCCCTACCATGTCGTCCTTACATTGATGCAGTTTCAGACCATCAGTTTAGTAAGTCTTGCGGACATTTAAATAATTGGTCTACATTACATAGTTAGGCAATAATATCAGCATACTCGACTTTACTCGACTGAGTGTGGCGTCCATTTTAAAAAGTGCATCTGTAGTTCACAATTGTCGCTTTAATTTAGTTATTTAGTCTATGTTGTTTTTTAAAAAAAAATATGCCACCAAGTTAGAAAACCTATAAAAAAACATCAAGCAATTTTACTATTTTTACCCCCCCCCCCCTTTTCCCTGTTTATTAGGGGTCGTCAACACATGAGATCACTTAACTCTATATCTAGCCTAACTCCATCCCTAACCATATCTAACCCTATCCCTAATGACTGAAGGGTAATTTCCTACCGTATTTTTTTTTGTGGCGCGGGGTGGGGAGGGGGGTGTAATGTCCTGTCCCTAATCTGATGATGCAATAGTTCTATTCTATCCTCTTCATAAATATATATTTAATACTTCTTGTAAAATATTGAAATATTTCTCTATGATAGCTTTGCAAAATATTGGATTATTACTTTTTGACATGTGTATCTAACATTCCTTATAATTTCTTTTTGACAGGTGTATTTTATATCCCTTGTAAAATACTGAAATGTTTCTCTTTGACAGTTGTATTTTATATCCCTTGTAAAATACTGAAATATTTCTCTCTTATAGGTGTATTTAACATCCCTTGTCGAGTGTCTCATCTAAGAGCCACCTGTATGGCCCTTTTCACCAAACATGGGCTCACCCAATTTGTACGTAAATATTCAGTTATATTCTTTTTTTAAAGTATAAAGCAAAATAACTGGACAGGACGTCATATGTCGATAAATCCACATATTATCCATATTATTATTTGGCGTCCACGCATATTCTAAAACATAAACAGTGTTTCTTCCAGGCATCTCCCCCCTGCCTCCCCCCCCCCCCCGAAGAGAGTCTACCCCCCCCCCCCGATAATATAGAAAATATAAACTATAATATAACACCCCCCCCCCCCCCGAAAATTTCAAGTGCTCTTCCCCCCCCCCCCCCCCCCCGGGGAAAAAAGTCTAAAAGTCTGGAAGAAACACTGAAGAACATAAATGTTTGTATATCTATGATATTAAAGCAACCCATAATTCCCTAAATCTTAATGAAGATAAATTTTAAAACTAGCCTTAAAAAATTGTTTCTCCACTTTACGAAGATATTTAAATTTTTATTTGTTATTTTTTTCAGTGACAACAACAATAAGTAATAGAGCTTGGCAGTTATTTAAAAACAATAAACAATGTATCTGTATTGCTTGGTTTTGTTATATTTCCTTCTTTCATATAGTATTAGTTCTCGATTGTTTATTTTTTGTTGCTTTTGTTTTTGTTATTATCGTTGTTTTTATGCTGTGTATACAACTCTAAATGCATTTCTGTTTGAGTAAAAATCCGCTTGTATTAATGTTTAGAAACATTGTTATTAAATAATGATTTGTTGGGGATAGTGTAAATAGCTAGGTAATTGTATACTGCTATAAGCCCGAAAGTCTCGAGTTCGAATCCGGGTTCAAATCAGTAGAATGTCCGTCAGTCCGCCCAGCTCTGAAGGGGACCTAACTCATGTTAGGGAAAGTTATAAACCGGGAGTGATCTCCCCTAAACTTTTTCGAATATTCATATCTATATATATAATTCTCTTCTGGGAGCCGTTAGAAAACAAGCTGCAACCTTGCCTTACAGTCCCCTCTCTTCCTCTCTATCGCTACCACCCCCACCCCCACCCCCTCACATGGTCTGGTGAGCTGTGGTCACGCTGTTTATATTTTAAAATCATAGAGACGGGTTTGGTGACGGCTATTAGGCGCAGATAATTTAGTTTGAAACGATTTTAAACTTAGAGGAGGTAACTAAGAGGAGGCTGCTTTCACTTGGGGGGGGGGGGGGGGTTAGTGTTTTCATGAAATATTTTCAGTGTCAGCGTTGGTACTGTCGAATTCACAAATTATGAATTACTGAAAAGTAGAAAAAACAACAACTAAATAGCGGCGTATGTTATGCCGCGGGCCGGCTCGTTAATAATATTATATCTCTACGGGAATGGCAACTAGGGATAGACATGATTTTTAATCCATTTTTAACTACTTTAACTTTTTAAAATAGAATAGAATCTCGTAGAAAAAAGAATTGTGCAATAAATGAACTCCAAACAAAATGTGTATAATAGTGCGGAATATTATTAGTACTTTATAAATTCACATGCGTTTTTTTGATAAATTGGAAATAGCGTAAAGTACTACTTCCTGTCGATGGAAATTACTCTAAATTTGACAGAAGGCAGAGAATTATATCTTTTACTTAGATATGAAATTTCATTGATCTATCTGAAACAGTACTCAAGTTATAGGCTTTTGAAAAACTTCAAATTAGAAAAAGTTCCACTTCCGATTTTCGGAAATTGCTCAAAAGTTGATATGGATCTATGAATTTGATATAATACTTATATATGAAATTTTATCAACCTAGCTGTAACGATACTCAAGTTATCGTGTTTACAGACACACATACACACACACACACACGCAGACATACGGACAAGATTGCAAAATTATGTTTTTCCGACTCAGGGAGGTGTAAAACGTCGAGATTTGCAAACATTTCGATTTTTCTTTTTTTTTTGCACGATTTCAATACTTTCTCTATACTCTGTATACGAGAAAGTAAAAGGTTAACCACTCTATTCTTTCAAATTTTGAAGTTCTACTTCAATTGCCCCATGGATCGTCAGGTTCTAAAAGGGAACTTTACTTTTACATTATGGCTATATAAAGGGAAAGATCGGCCTGGGTATTGGAAGGAACACACTACGCCCCCATTATGAAAAGGGCGTTTGTTGTGATGAAAGAGATGGTATTTTGTTAATGCAGATTTAACATTTATAGTCGTCTAGTGTTTAAAAAATATGGAAGGTTTTGGAGTTTTCACATTTTACTCTCATCATCATCTTTCCTTTGTGGCCCCTGGGGAACAAAGAGCTGCAGTTACACATTTCCAGTGGACTCAGTTTTGGACTGCTCCCTTTATCTGTGCTCGCGTGAGCCCAGCTGTCTTAGCCTCTCCATCTACCGTTCTTCTCGATGTTCTCTTTGGACTTTCCTTCTTCCCCCGGGGAACATGGATTATAAAGCACAAGACGCTTTACCAACTGGTAAAAGATTATTGCAAAACTTAGCATCTGGTGGCCAAGTAGAAATTAAAGCAGTTCTACACTCCCCTAAACTATCTCATAATTTTTATATAACAGTAGAGGATGGCACTTCATAGGGCTATAGAAATGGTTTTTATTTTATGTTATCTTTAAACAGGATAGAATCGCGTAGTAAAAATAAACCGGTAGTGATCTCCCCTAAACTTTCTCGAATATTCTTATACGAGAAAAATGGCCCGTTGAGGAAGGATACAACGGGCGCTAGGCTGATAGTGCTGTCTCTTTTCTCTAAATTAAAACAACCCCCCCCACACACACACCCCCACCACCACCCCCACACACACACCCCCCACACACATCACCCCCACCACCACCCCCCCCACACACACACACCACCCCCCACACACACACCACCCCCCACCCCCACCCCAAAAAAAAACATGTCTACCGTCCCATTCAACGAAATATAATTATATACTTTTTCCAGTGTCCGCCCACTCCCCGAAAATTCTACCCCCGCCCCCGAAAATTTCAAGTACCCCCCACACCTCTCCGGGGAGAAAAAGTCTGAAAGAAACACTGTTGTCGCGCTTAGCAACTACGCGAAGAATTGCATTAAAGAAATTGCGAGAAAACCACTTTTTAGATTAGACACATTAATTAGGCGGTAATTTTATTATAGAGTATCGATGAAGAAATTTCTTTTGAGTTAGGGAGGGGGGGGGGGGGCTCAGACGTTCTTACGCGGGGGTGGGGCTTCGCCCCTACCCGAAGAATTTCTATTGTGACCTACTTAGGTCGAGTCATTTTTATTTTGACATTGTATAATTCCTTATATGGAATGATTGTGTAACACCTGGGGTTTTTCCATTGACTATTAAGGTGTTTGAAACATAGAAATTTTCCATTAAAATCTGATTGAATGATTCTAATCAGATGATTATCCCAACCAATGGCGACATGAGTTGAGGATAACCTCCCCTGTCACAGAAGTCTTTAATTGCACTGCACACTCGCAACACGTGGCAGTTTTTCTTGACCTGGCAGTCTATCAGGCAGCCGTCCATATTGTCCGGCTAAAGACTCTGACCATTTGAACGTGAGAGTACTTAAGACCTGTGTGTGCCTTGCTTTCTTAAGTGATTTAGTCTTCTAGTTTAATATTACTTGTCGCTAAGTAATTCTAGAAACTACAGCAGTGTTGTGTGGCCTGTAGCTGTTCTTGAGACAGTGTAGAAATCTGTGATAGTGTTTTTTCCTACATTGTGTAAGTTGGGTTTTTGATATTTTATACATTAAATATTTTATCTAGTTCATCTTTGTGTTCTGCCACTTCTGAGTTCGCTGATTAAAAGGTCGTATGTAGATTGGATGAGTGTTAATTACAATAGTATCACTAGCTTCCCTAGACATTAAATTCGAGCCCTAGTGGTCGTTGTGTTAAGTGTTCATCCACTTAGGCCGTAAGGCATTTGCATATGACCCCGAAAAAAGAATCCGGGGACGTTCTCCTTCTATTTGGCTGATAGATAGGAAAACGTGACAAAGTGGGAGCTCGCCGAGATTTAATCTGTCGTTCCAGTTGTTGGTTATATCAGTTGAATACTAAGGTTAGTTGGATTTAGTTGTTTTTATATCCAGTAGCGCAGTGTTCTTACAACGCGCGCTCAGGCTAGAGTATCTAGGTCAAATAAGCAGACGTGTCACGTCCTACATTTAGAGGTCAAGTACACGGCCCAACGCACCGTGTTAAGTTAGTGAACCTAGGCTTGTTGTGATTTTCAAGTTAGTGTTATGGAGTCTTTTTTGGCTAATCCTACTTTTGAAGAGGTCGAGAAGTTGAGTAGAAAAGTTTTGGTTAGTGTAGTTAAGGAATTGAAATTGGATTATTCTGTTACGCAGAAGTCAGAGGTGTTGAGAGATAAAATTGTTGTTCATTTCATTAATGAAGGAGTATTTGATGAAAGTTTGTTGGCGGATGTGTTACTCCGCGAGGAGAAAACTCTAGAGAAGGTAGAATTAGAAGCTAGAATTGCTTTAGAGAAGGAGAAAGTTGCTTTAGAGAAGGCTTTAAAAGAAAAGGAGATAGAGGCTAAAATTGCTTTAGATAAGAGGAGGTTGGAATTAGAGTTTGGTCAAGTTAGTGATGTTACTTCTCTGGTAGATCCAAAAAAGTTGTCGGTAGGGCAAGTGATTGCCAAATTTGGGAAATTAGTTCCTAAATTTGATGAAACAGATTTGGTCGTTTTCTTTAACTCGTTTGAGAGTTTAGCCAAGACATGTGAATGGCCCGAAACTTCCATTACTGCTTTATTGAGCTCTGTCCTTACTGGGAAAGCTGCAAAAACATACCAGGCACTCTCTCACGACGTTCAAAATAACTATAGTTTGGTCAAGACTGCCATTTTAAAGGCCTACGCACTGACGCCCGAGGCCTATCGGACAAAATTCCGAACACTCCGCAAGTTACCCACACAATCATATGTGGAATTTCTCTTTGAAAAGGAGAAAATATTCTCAAGGTGGCTACACTCTGAGGAAGTTTCTGAGTTTGAGAAACTCAGGTCACTTATCCTAAGGGAAGAATTCCTATCGTCCCTGCCTGAAGAGATACGACTACACATTCTGGATAACAAGATAACTGACATCCAGAAGGCTGCTGAGTCGGCTGACACATATATGTTGGTGCATAAGAAACCACCAGTGTCAGGAAACCGCCTCAACCCCGTGCTTCCCCTTTTTGGCAGCAATCATCCTGTTGGCCAACATTTGAAGGCATCACAGTCCAGAGAGAAACCAAGATCAACTCTCAATCGTCGAGCGGTATGCCAGTTCTGCAAAAGGCCTGGTCACCATGTCAAGGACTGTTACAAACGTCTTCAGAATAACAGGGAGGTGGTGCGTACTTCCGCGCACTATGCTCTATCCCCTCAAGCAGCCAGTTCAACTATGAACTCTAGAATTCAAAAGGACTCTAACCCTAAGTGTCCGCAAGAAGGTAGTCAAATCTCCACACATTATGTGCAGTCACATTTTGACTGTTCTCGCCACCATCCAGTTTCTTCCGAGTCTACCGATCTCGAGGGATCGAGAAAAGTTGACTTTTCATCTTTTATTGCCGAAGCCATCATTAGCAAACCAGGTGATCCGTTGTCTCAGAAGAATATCACCGTTCTAAGAGACACAGGAGCGTCACAATCACTCCTTTTGAAAAGTTCAATGGACATTTCACCAGAGACGAACACCGGAAGGATTTCCATTATCCAGGGAGTGGGGACAAAATCTACTGTCGTCCCTCTACACAAGTTTGCCCTGAAACATCATCTCGTCGAAGGTGAGGTCATTTTAGGTGTGATAGATAGTATTCCTGTCCCAGGAGTACACCTACTTCTAGGGAATGACCTTGCGGGAAGCAAAGTATACCCCTGTACGGTTTCAGACCCTTTGTCAACAGTTCCAGATAATGATTATGAACTGTATCCTGCATGTGCGGTGACAAGAAGCCAGACCAAACAATTGGCTGACACAACGTCTGAACCACATCTACCATCATCGTCAAGAAATTCGACTCCCAAACTGGAGTCTATGCTTCCAGAAAACACAAGCTTGGGCTTACCCCTGAGGATATCTCAGGAAGACATCATTAAAGCTCAACAAGTCGACGCGGAACTCAAAGCAGCGGTCGAAAAATCTCTATCATCTGACGATGGAGAATATTTCTCCGAGAACGGCCTCTTCTTTCGTCGCGCTATACCGGTGAATGCCTCACCAGCCGAACCATGGTTGGGTAAAAACCAGCTGTGGGTCCCTCCACCTTATCGGCATGAAATACTTAAGCTGGCACATGACCATCCAATGTCAGCGCACCCAGGAGTCACTAAAACGACGGCGAAGATCAAAGAACTGTTCTTTTGGCCCAAAATGAGAAAAGATGTGTCGCGTTACTGTAGAAGTTGCACGAACTGTCAGTTGGCCGGAAAGCCAAACCAGACAATTCCTAAGGCCCCTTTGAGTCCGATTCCTGTATTAGAAGAACCTTTTTCAAAAATCGTCATGGACTGTGTAGGTCCCTTGCCTAAAACCAAGGCGGGCAACGAGTACCTACTTACCTTTATGTGTTCAAGTACCCGTTTTCCCGAGGCGATTCCCTTACGGAACATTAAGGCAAAGACTGTAGTCAGAGCCATGACCCGGTTCTTCACTACCTTTGGATTACCTAGAATCGTGCAAACAGATCAAGGCAGCAACTTCACCAGTCACCATTTTCAGGAAGCACTAGCCAAGCTAGGCGTTACCCACATCACCAGCTCAGCCTACCACCCTCAGTCTCAAGGCGTACTTGAGAGGTTCCACCAAACCCTCAAAACCATGCTAAGGACATTCGCTAATAGTAACACCCAATGGGATGAGTCTGTTCCTTGGATTATTTTCGCCGCGAGGGACTGTGTCCAGGACTCTTTAGGCTACTCGCCTTTTCAACTTGTGTTTGGACATTCTGTCCGTGGCCCCCTGAAGCTGATACACGAACGTTGGACAGGTACCAGCGTTCATCCTGTGGAAAACTTCGACGATTTTCACGTTCGACTGAAAGCCGTGTGCGAAATGGCTCACAAGAACTTAAGAAAGGCCCAAGTGAGAATGAAAGGACTGTATGATAAGAGTTCTTGTAAACGAACATTCAATCCAGGCGACAAAGTTCTTGTGCTAGTGCCTAATCTGAACAATGCGTTATCCTTGAGATATTGTGGACCCTTTACTGTGCATTCAAAATTAAGTGATTTGAACTATGTTGTCAATACGCCCGACAGAAGAAAGAAACAGACAGTGTATCATGTCAACTCACTGAAAAAGTATTATGATAATTGTAACAATTTTCAATCCACAGCTAAAATTACTTTACCTGTATGTTCAAATGTTTCTGATGATGTGATACATGATAAATTGAAACCCCCAAAATTGGTAAATTCTTCCTTTTTAGATAATTTGAATGTCCACCTTATGCATTTGTCCACAGGGGAAAGCCATAAATTGTCTCAGTTATTTGAGACATTTCCCTCTATCTTTGGGGATGTCCCCAAAGAAGCGAAGGTTCCACCTCATGATGTAGTCGTAGGTGACGCAAAACCCATTAAACAACACCCCTATAGAGTTAACCCGGAAAAAGCTGCTTTGATAAAAGATGAAATTGATTATATGCTCAAGAATGATATCATTGAGCCCAGTTTCAGCAACTGGAGTTCCCCATGTCTCCTAGTCCCGAAAGACGGTGGATCTTTCAGGTTTGTGACCGACTTTAGGAAGGTGAATGCGCTCACCAAAGCTGATTCCTATCCCTTACCTCGGATAGAGGACGTTATTGATAAAGTTGGTCAGGCTAAGATAATTTCCAAAATTGATTTACTTTCAGGATACTGGCAAATCCCATTATCTGACCGTGCAAAAGAAATATCTGCTTTTGTAACCCCTAATGGTTTTTATAGATACAAACGTATGCCCTTTGGTATGCGAAATGCTGGACAAACTTTCCAGAGGGTCATTAACTCTGTCATTGCTGACATAGACCAATGTGAGGCCTACATAGATGATATAGTTGTATTTTCTAATACTTTTGAAGAACATTTTGTTCAGTTGACTAACCTTTTTAGAAAATTGTCTGAAGTTAATTTTACTGTAAACTTACATAAAAGTGATTTCTGTAAAGCTTTAATTACCTATTTGGGTTATCAAGTGGGAACGAACCAAGTTCGGCCCATTGAAGCTAAAGTAGATGTTATTGTAAAGTTGCCACCTCCCAAAAATTGTAAAGAGATCAAAAAGTTCCTTGGGATGGCTGGTTACTATAGACGGTTCTGTCTAAACTTTTCAGCTATTGCTGAACCTCTTACTGCATTATTGAAAAAGGGTGTTGAATTTGAATGGTCCAATAAATGTCAAGAAGCTTTTTTTTACCATTAAGTCATTTCTATCAAATGCTCCTGTTATGGCTGCACCAAATTTTAGCAAGCCCTTTAAACTTGCCATTGATGCTAGCAACTTAGCCATTGGCTCAGTCCTATTTCAAGAAGACAACATGGGAATTGACCATCCCATTGCCTTTTTTTCCAGGAAGTTAAATGAGAACCAAAAGAATTATTCTACTATTGAAAAAGAAGCTTTAGCTTTGGTTTTATCATTACAACATTTTGAAGTCTATGTCTCTTCTTCAACCAATCCAGTCAGAGTGTTTTCTGACCATGATCCCCTGAAATTTACCTCTAAGTTAGGACAGACAAATCAAAGAATATTGAGATGGTGCTTATATTTCCAAAATTTTAATCTGGAAATTTCACACATTAAGGGTAGTGATAATGTTGTGGCTGATTGTTTGTCAAGGATGTAAAATCTTGTTACACACATTGATCATGTGACATGCTTTGTGGTTCATTAGGACCATAAACAGGTTTTGTTTGAGTGTCACTCATATGAAAATGAGTGGTGTGAGTTTTGAATATTTTTCAAAATTCCAATCCTGTTGAATATTTTGTTTATTTTCAGGTGAACCTTAATTAAAGGTGGTTTTTGATTATATGTAATCTTTTATAATAATATGTCTCATATGGCTCAATTGATATTGTAGCTAGTCATTGAAATAAAGGTCTTACATTGGCGGGTTTACCACTTTTAATATCCACATGGAAATATTGTAATACCCTTTTTTGAGGGATTTTGATGTATAATTACTTTTTGAAGGGTTACTCCCCTTTCACCAATTGTAAAAGTTGGAGTTACTTCCCTTTTATGTTCAGGGATATTTTCATCTGGTATTATGATTTTGATTGCCTACATTTGTAAAACATTTTTGTTATTTCATTGCCAGATTGGTTCCTTATGTATGTGTTTGTGGAACCTATCTGTCACTTCCAAAAAGGGAGGGGATGTGACCTACTTAGGTCGAGTCATTTTTATTTTGACATTGTATAATTCCTTATATGGAATGATTGTGTAACACCTGGGGTTTTTCCATTGACTATTAAGGTGTTTGAAACATAGAAATTTTCCATTAAAATCTGATTGAATGATTCTGATCAGATGATTATCCCAACCAATGGCGACATGAGTTGAGGATAACCTCCCCTGTCACAGAAGTCTTTAATTGCACTGCACACTCGCAACACGTGGCAGTTTTTCTTGACCTGGCAGTCTATCAGGCAGCCGTCCATATTGTCCGGCTAAAGACTCTGACCATTTGAACGTGAGAGTACTTAAGACCTGTGTGTGCCTTGCTTTCTTAAGTGATTTAGTCTTCTAGTTTAATATTACTTGTCGCTAAGTAATTCTAGAAACTACAGCAGTGTTGTGTGGCCTGTAGCTGTTCTTGAGACAGTGTAGAAATCTGTGATAGTGTTTTTTCCTACATTGTGTAAGTTGGGTTTTTGATATTTTATACATTAAATATTTTATCTAGTTCATCTTTGTGTTCTGCCACTTCTGAGTTCGCTGATTAAAAGGTCGTATGTAGATTGGATGAGTGTTAATTACAATAGTATCACTAGCTTCCCTAGACATTAAATTCGAGCCCTAGTGGTCGTTGTGTTAAGTGTTCATCCACTTAGGCCGTAAGGCATTTGCATATGACCCCGAAAAAAGAATCCGGGGACGTTCTCCTTCTATTTGGCTGATAGATAGGAAAACGTTACACTATGAAAGAAACTCTTCACGCAAACCACTTAGATAAGACAAAATTTCCTTTTTATTCAATGTTTACTCTCCGGTTTGAGATTATTGTCTACTCTGTGCTAAATGTGTCGACGTCATACTTCGTTTTTCGAAATACTATGCATGTTTTTAATTTCCTTGTGTTTTCTCTAGAGCGTTCTTGTCAGACAGAGCGTTCTTGTCAGACAGACAGCGAAACTATTATTATAGACGAGAAAAATGGCCCGTTGAGGAAGGGTACAACGGGCGCTAGGCTGATAGTGCTGTCTCTTTTCTCTAAACTAAAACCAACCCACCCCCCCACACACCACCCCCACCCCACACACCACCCCCACCCCCACCCCCCACCCCCACCCCCACCCCTCACCCCCACACACCACCCCCTCCACACACCGCCCCCCACCCCCACCCCCACCCCCCCCCCCCCAAAAAAAAAACATGTCTACCGTCCCATTCAACGAAATATAATTATATACTATTTCCAGTGTCCGCCCCCTCCCAGAAAATTCTATCCCCGCCCCCAAAAATTTCAAGTACCCCCACCCCTCTCCGGGGAGGAAAAAGTCTGAAAGAAACACTGAAACCAACCCACCCCCCCCCCCCACCCCCACCCCCCACACCCCCCACCCCACCCCCCCCCCACACCACCCCCCACCCCCACCCCACCCCCACCCCTCCACCACCCCCCACCCCCAAAAAAAACATGTCTACCGTCCCATTCAACGAAATATGATTATATACTTTTTCCAGTGTCCGCCCCCTCCCAGAAAATTCTACCCCCGCCCCCGAAAATTTCAAGTACCCCCACCCCTCTCCGGGGAGGTAAAAATTTGAAAGAAACACTGAAACCAACCCACCCCCCCCACACCCCCCCCCCACCCACACACACCACCCCCCCCCCCACCCACACACTCCCCCCTCCAACCCCCCCCCCCCCCCCAAAATCATGTCTACCGTCCCATTGCAAGAAAACCACTTTTTAGATTAGACACATTAATTAGGCGGTAATTTTATTATAGAGTATCGATGAGGAAATTTCTTTTGAGTTGGGGAGGGGGAGGGGCTCAGACGTTCTTACGCGGGGGGTGGGGCTTCGCCCCTACCCGAAGAATTGTATGCAAGAAACTCTTCACGCAAACCACTTAGATTAGACAACATTTCCTCTTTATTCAATATTTACGCCAGAATCAATGACGTCATTATATTACTGTGAGATTATTTTCTACTCTGTGCGCTAAATGTGTCGACGTCATACTTCGTTTTTCGAATTACTATGCATGTTTTTAAATTGCTTGTCTTTTCTCTAGAGCGTTCTTGTCAGACAGATAGATAGATAGATAGATAGATAGATAGATAGATAGATAGATAGATAGATAGATAGATAGATAGATAGATAGATAGATAGATAGATAGATAGATAGATAGATAGATAGATAGATAGATAGATAGATAGATAGATAGATAGATAGATAGATAGATAGATAGATAGATAGATAGATAGATAGATAGATAGATAGATAGATAGATAGATAGATAGATAGATAGATAGATAGATAGATAGATAGATAGATAGATAGATAGATAGATAGATAGATAGATAGATAGATAGATAGATAGATAGATAGATAGATAGATAGATAGATAGATAGATAGATAGATAGATAGATAGATAGATAGATAGATAGATTGATAGATTGATAGATTGATAGACAGACAGCGAAACTATTATTATAGATAAAACAACAGGGGATGGTAACTGGGGATATAGTTATGATTTTTAATCCATTTTAAATACTGAAACTTTTAAAAATAGAATCTCAGTAAAAAACAATTGCGCACCAAGCGAACGCCTAATAAAGGTGTGTATTATACACACCTTTATTAGGCGTTCGCTTGGTGCGCAATAGTATTAGTACTTAATAAATTTACATTAGTTTTTTGAGAAATCGGAAGTAGCGTAAATTACTACTTCCGGTCAACGGAAATTACTCAAAATTTAACAGAAGGTAGAGAATTAGATCTTTTACTTACATGTGAAATTTCATTTATCTATCTGAAATAGTACTCAAGTTATAGGCTTTTGAAAAATTCAAAGTAGAAAAAGTACCACTTCCGGTTGTCGGAAATCGCTCAAAAGTTGATACGGATCTACGATTTTGATATAATACTTATATATGAAATTTCATCAACCTAGCTGTAACGGTACTCAAGTTATCGTGTGTACACACGGACACACAGACACACACACACAGACATACGGACAAGATTGCAAAATTATGTTTTTCCGTATCAGTGAGGTGTAAAACGTCGAGATTTGTAAAAATCTCGATTTTTTTTTGCACGATTACAATACTTTCTCTATACTACGTATATACGAGAAAGTAAAAAATAGCGCATCAAATGAATGCAAACAGTGTGAGTATAATAAAGCGGGAAATCTGTAATTTCTAAAGAAAACATTGATTGCTTTTTTTTTTTTTTTTTTTTTAGAAATCTGAAATAGCGTAAAATACACTCCCAGTCGTCGGAAATCACTCAAAATTTGAAAGAAAACAGCGAATATGATCCAGGGGCGTAGCGAGGGGGGGGGTAGGAGGGGGTACATATGTCCCCGGGCGCCGACCTTAGGGGGCGCCAAAATGGGTTGAAAAATCAAATTGAAAGTTTGATTGGGGGGGGGGGTGCTAATTGAAAGTTTGAGGGGGGTGTAAATTGAAAGTTTGAGGGGGGTGCAAATTGAAAATTGGAAGGTTGTTCCCGAGGGGGCGCAAAATTGAAAGTTTGTCCCCGGGCGCCGGGAAGGGTCGCTACATCTCTGATATGATCAAAAACATCACCTGGCTAAGGGGGCGACCATAAATGACGTCACACTCATAGGGGGAGGGGGATTCGTAATTTTGTAACGGTGTGTGATGAGGGGGAGGGGGTTCAGGTGGTGTGACGTCACACTTCTGTATCATAAAAAAGCAATGTTAGAGAACGAATTTTAGCCGTTATTTCGAGTTTAAGAAAACTGTTTTAATAAATTGTCATCAAAATGGATTAAAATACTCTATGTTGACAGAGTTTAGACAAGATTTTGGAAAAAAATATCGATGTTATAAGAAAAATTCAACTGCAATTTTGAGGGAAAATAGAATGGAAATAGAGTAAAGTACCACTTCCTATTTTAGGAAATTGTCCGAATGTTGACAGACATCTTCGCGTACAATCTAATGCTTGTAATTGAAACTTCATCTACCTAACTTTAATTGTACTTAAGTTATCTCCTTTTATTAGGCATAAACAAGAACCACTTCCGGTTACCGGAAATCGCTCAAAAGTTGTTAGAAATCTACACATGTAATATAATACTTAGATCTATATTTATTATATGAAATTTGGTCAACATAACTGAAACGTTACTCAAGTTATCGTGTTTACACACACACACAAACAAAAACCCAAACACAGACGGATAGGATTGTAAAACTTAGTTTTCCGTCATCTGAACGTCGTAAAATGTCAAAGTTTGTCAAAATCTCGATTTAGATTTTTGTCCATGATTAGCCTACAATACATTTTACAATACATTCTTTATATACAACATACTAAAACAAGGAGGTGTAAAACGGCAAAAACTGTCAAAATTTATTTCTATTTTTTTTGTACGATTACAAAAGTTTCTCTGATAAAGTAAAGAACCAGCGCGCTCTAAGCTTTTTGTACTAAGAAATAAGACAAAACTGAAACCGGAAGTTGTTATTTAATAGATTTCTCACTTTTCTACACTTTGGAGACTGCAATGCCGCCTGTTGTTTTTATTTAAAAAGGTAAATCGATTTGCTTTTAAAGCTGGCATTTCTGTTTCATTAACCTCATTCATTTTATCTAGACAGTGAGATGCAAGTCCCTACAAGTTATATCTTAATTTTCTAGATCTAGCTACTGTAGCTGCTAATGCCTGTCGGCTAGTTTACAACATTTTTGCAACACCAGCTCTGAGTTCACTGTTCAGAATTCACTTTTCTGTCTTTTCAGACAGATAGCGAAAAAAGATTAATGAACAATAATTAATTTATTAATTAGGCCTAATTATACTTTTTACTTATGGCCTAGGCCTGTAATAGTAATAGAGGTAAAACTCCATTTTAGCGTATTTTATTTGAAGTGACTACTCGGAAGAAGATTTTTCTCCCCGTCTCCACTTAGTCGGCAGAAGATGGCTCTGCGCATGCGCAGTGACCTAGGGTTAGGGCTAGAATGAGGGATAGGGGTAGGATGAGGGATAGGGTTAGGGTTGGTGTTAGGGATCTGCGGTTGTAAACACACGCATGTGCAGTACCATCAAAAACATCGCCGCGAAGGCAAGTCGTAGTTTCTCTCCATTGCGCATGCGTATCTTATTCAGGCTAGCATCGGCCTATTTTATTCCCTGCCTCACATTCACCTCCAGTTGAGCGTATTTTATTATAAACACAACCGAATCCCACAAAAACATTAGGAAAACACTAGGCATAGTCTGGATTTCTTTATGAACTTTTGTTTTAATGTTTGTATTTTTTGATAATTTACTTTACTTTTGTCAAAACTTGAGAAAAACCCAAATTTGGATATTGAATGTGCACTAGATCTAGATTTACCTTTTTTTCTCTCTTGAAAATAGGTTCGTGTCATTTAAGGAGAAACTCATAAATGCAAGTCGGTTAAGTTTGTATTGTTAAAAATTTAATTGAAACTGTAAGCCTAATGCTTATTTATAATTTTTTTTTTAACTTTTCTAATTAAAACACACATTTATAGAAAATAAGTAGATCCATATCTATCACCTATACTAATCCTAGTGTTTTCCTAACGTTTTTGTATTTTGGTTGTGTATATAATAAAATACGCTCAACCGGAGGTGAAAGTGAAGCAGCGAATAAAATACGCTAAAATGGTGTTTTAGCGACTAATAGAGTGTAATAAGCCTAAATTCTAAATTAATAATTAAATAAAAAAGATTAGGCCTAGGCCTAAATTTCAGAAATCGCATTTGTTTTGATTTTATATGACATACTGATTGCTAGTGTGTTGATCCAAATCTATGATCATAAATATAATAGCTTTTCAGGTTTAAATAAATTTAATTTGTTATGAAAATGTTTACATTGTTAACTTTTTAAAAAGTGTTGTAGGTCTTTTTTGCTGATTTTCAGAAATTTGTAGATGCTTTAAAACCTGTACCTTTCATTGACCAAGAACATCAATAGTTAGAACTAAAGAATCATGTTCGGAGGAACAACCGGCTTTGGATCAACCTCTCTGTTTGGATCAACTTCTAACACAGCCAATGCAAACCCTATGAAAGATGTTGAGGTGAGGCTGCTTGGCGTAACCTCTAAGCTGCATCTATATCTTTTTCTAAGTTTAATTTATGTTCATGATATTTAAACTATTTTAACAATATTAAAGGTGGCATCACCCCCTGATGATAGTGTGAGCTGTCTGAAGTTTAGCCCAGGTGTTCTACCTTCTACATTCCTTGTTGCTGGTAGCTGGGATAATCATGTAAGTCTAGTAATGTAAAGTAATGTTTATTTAAAAAAGCATCTTTAGATATATTTTTAATTTTTCTTTAATATATTTTAGACAACGGGAAAAAAATCTTTTTACTAAAAATAATAATCTCTTTATTCAACAATAGGTGAGGTGCTGGGAAGTTCAACAGAATGGTCAGACAATACCCAAGGCACAGCAAACACACACAGGTCCTGTTTTAGACGTGGATTGGAGTGATGTATGTAATTCTTTCTAAATCATTAAAGTGTTTTTCCTCCATCATTAATAAATATTTTAGTTTGTATTTTAACTAGCGATTCTTGTTTTATTGCATTGTCAGTTTTATAATAAAATGGTCTTTTAGGATGGCACAAAAGTGTTTACTGCATCCTGTGACAAGACAGTTAAAATGTGGGACCTGAACAGTAATCAAGCCATGCAAGTTGCTCAAGTAAGGTTTTAAAATACTTTCTCAGGTGTGCCACTTTTCTGGGGTGTACTGGATTTCCAGAATCGCAAAAAAAAAAATTTTACTTTTATACTGTGTAAATTTTTAGGGTTTATGTCATTTGTGCTTTCATGTTTCTGGATTGGCAAAATTTGAGTTTTTGATTTTCATGATTCACCCAAAAAATAAGTGGCACCCCTTCATTATATAATTAACTTGGTTTGGTATATTGTTTGATTTATATCTATCTTTAAGATTTATATTATATTTTAAACTATATTACCTTTCACAGCGTGGTAAAGATGTAAATTTAAAATCATATGATAGTAAATAGCATGATGTTTTTGTAAAGATTAACATTTCTAAATAACATAATATTTAACAGCATGATGCTCCTGTAAAAACAGTCCATTGGATTAAGGCTCCCAGTTACAGCTGTGTGATGACTGGTAGCTGGGATAAAACACTCAAGGTAAGTCTATAAGTAAAGTCACTTTAACATTTGCCTGCTTTTAATTTCATACAATTAAGATTTTAAAAAATAATTTTTACTAATATGAATGTTCATTATATCTTTGTGTTCAAATCTATGTTTTATTTGCTTGAATGATTTTCAGTTTTGGGACACACGTTCCTCTACTCCTATACTCAGTATTCAGCTACCTGAAAGAGTTTATTGTGCAGATGTGGTAAGTAAGCTTTTTATTATTCTAAAGCCTATTTAAATATTTAGTTGGTAGAGTGTGAGAATGCTAGCCAGAGATATTTGGATAGCTGTTGATTAAAGTCCTTAGCTCATCGTTTAGTCCACTAACTATAATGGGTAGCAGACATTTTTGCAAACATTTTTGTGTGCGTTGCCCAGCTAATCTTATCAGGGCATGAAAATGAATTACCTCTACCTTCCTAAAACAAATATCCAAAATATTTTATATCCACCTGTAGAACAAATAAAAGACAGATGGCCCCAGAAAACCCTGAGCCTAAAATGACACATGAGTTTGAATTTGTTTAGATTCATTGAGCAAATACATATGATGCTATATTTCAATAAAGTCTGTAATTTTAATATTTTTTTTTACAATTCTCACCAGAAATATCCCATGGCTGTTGTGGGCGTGGCAGGAAGGGCAATACTTATTTACCAGCTAGATGTCCAGCCACAAGAGTTTAAGCGAATGGAATCTCCTCTCAAATATCAGGTAATAATTTTACAACACTTTACCCCAAAATAGATTATCTAAAATACATGGTTACTAAATTTGGGGTTACATCAAAATAATTTGTTGAGTAAATAGGTTATTTTAAAATTTGGAACTACATTAAAATACTAGGTTGAGTAAATATGTTATTTTTTTAAAACCTATATTAGATTGTCTGTGTTTGTTAATGCTGTGTATGTTTAATTTGATGTTTATTTTCAGCATCGCTGTGTGAGCATATTTAATGACAAGAAAACCAATGCACCCACGGGTTTTGCCCTGGGAAGTATCGAAGGACGGGTAGCTATTCAGTATGTTAATCCAACTAATCCCAAAGACAATTTCACTTTCAAATGTCACAGGTCCAATGTTCCACCTAATGGAGGAATACAGGATATATATGCAGTAAGTGTTGTGTATAATTTATTTTTTTATTGTGTAAATTATAAATTCATTATTTAGTTTCTTGTTTTTTTATAAAAATAGCTATAGGATATATAATTGTTCAGTTTTTATTTTTAAGTAAAATTATTTTTTACTGTATTTGATTTCCTCAAATTAGCTGAATAGTTTGACAGTAAAAATAACTGCTGCAATTGATTGTTCTTTATCTTGAATTTAACTACTATTTCCCTCAGGTAAATGACATATCATTTCACCCTACCCATGGTACACTAGCAACAGTTGGCTCAGATGGTCGCTTCAGTTTTTGGGACAAAGATGCCAGGACCAAGTTAAAGACATCAGAACAGTTTGATCTGCCTATCACTACCTGTTGCTTTAATGCTCAAGGGAATATTTTTGGTTACGCTTCAAGTTATGACTGGTCAAAGGTATGTGTAGGCTGTACATCTTTATTTCATGTCCATAACTGTACATTTTGTTGTGCTTTCTCTTCACATGATACTATCTTGCTTAGTTTAGAAGCAGAATTTAATGAATGAAATCCTAACAATTTCTTTAAATTGGCTTTATTCCATTGTAATTTTTTTATTATAAGACTAATGGAAAATAATTTTTTTTTAGATATTGCTACTTTAAAGTTTTGATAAACTTATTGAGATATTTTTACTCAGTGATGAGGTGTTTCATTTGTCTTTGTTTTTTTTGGAAACATGTAGTAAAGTTTTATACAATTTATAAAGAAAAAACATTCAAATGAAATGTGTTTAAAATTCTTCACCTATTCTTTACTGTAATTTATTTTAATCTATCTTGTTTCAGGGACATGAGGGATATGAACCTCAAAAGATGAAGCCTCACATTTTCATGAGGTCGTGCTTTGATGAACTTAAGCCAAGCACAAAGAGAAATTAACTCTCATCAATTATAAATATAACATTTGTTTTGGTACTGTTTTCTATTACATGAAGAAATAACATTTAAATGAAGATGTTTGATTGTGCATATAAATAAAAAAAAGCCATTTGAATAAAATGTCTTAACCAACTACTTGTTTATGTTGATGAGTCCAATGGTACAACTATGGCTCAATTCATGTGCAGGTCATAGTATTGTAGTGAACAAATGCACAGTGTATTACACATCTATTTAAATTACATTACCCTGCATTTTTCAAATATAAAATGTAAACACTGATGATTAAACACTAATATATGCTATTTATATTTTAAAAATCTGCTCATGTGAATTTTGTGCTGTTTAACAAAATTGTTAAACAAAAATTAAATTATATCACCACACAATTTCAATAGCAAAGGTTAATGTTTCTCTACCCCTGGAATATTGTGAATAGTATTGACTCATACTACATGTCAGCTTTAAACAGCTAAACCTAAGTATTACATAACTAAAATAGATGGATGAAACTAAAAAACTAGACTAATGTAAATTATGTAACTCTTACACAAAACAATAGATCAACCATCCTTAATTACATAACACAGCAACAGAAGTAGTTACACAAAACAGCTGAACACAGATTAGACTTTTTTTTTAATAGAATGTCCTAAGACTAAATTATAACTTTTTCACTTGCTTTGCTTAGGCATTTTATTTATTTCCCAAGCATTTAGTGGAGGCCTTTAACTGAATATTATAATGGTTACATATAAACAGCATCAATTTGGAGTAGCGCCTCTTTTGTTTACATTTATTACCCTAACTATAGTCTGCTTTTTTTTGTAACGAAAACTAGATGCATACACACTTCTGTAGCTAAGGGGGAAGTGTCAAGTTAGGTTGGTGCGATATAAGATTTTTGGATAATGACTGGAGTCACAGGGCCCATTCTCTCACAGCCAGGCAAAGGGATCATCTGCTGAGGCAATGTACAGACTTGTGTAGAGTTTAGTCGTAAAACAAAAGCATTGTCGATCTTAAACAAACATCACAAATATAAAGGACGGAATACATAATAAAGTGGCAGTAAAATTGAAGAAAGAAATCTTATTATAAAATAATGTAATACCAGATGTGTTTATAGGATGGAGTGGTCTAGCGGTAGAGAGCTGGACTGCTAACCCGTAAGTCTCGAGTTCGAATCTGGGTTCAAATCAGTAGATCGTCCCTGAGTCCACCCAACTCTAATGGGTACCTAACTCACGTTAGGGAAAGTAAAGGCGGCTGGGCATAGTACTGACCACACTGTCCATTCTTCTGGTAGAGTCAGGTTTGAAAAGGAACTTTACAGATACTGTAGTACGAAAAAAGCCACGTCTACTCTACTTGTTAGGGAATGTGGACATAAAATAAAACACAAAATGCGGTTTTCTATACTGTTCAATAAATGTGAAGTGGTGGTATATAAAATGTTATGTAGCTCTAACTTTGATTTTTAAAAGCGTTCCGCTGCTTTGAATAGCTTAAAAATTCATACTTTTAATCACTATATAACGCTATTAGTACTTGGCCATAATTTTCATTGGTCAAGTGATTCATTTCAAGGGTCAGTAGCCAAGCAACGTTTTATTGTCCATTAATTGGTTTGTTTCCCTTTACTTTAAGAATAGCGTGCTGGGTTTATTCAGCCGAAAATATAGCTTTAATAATAAAGAAAATAATGCATAATAATTTCCAAAAGAAAACGTGATTGGAAACTGTAAAATAAGTGCTAAAATATAGTTTAAAAAATATGACAAGCAAAGTGTAATGCCACTTTTTCTCATCGCCACTAAACTAGGTTTCAAAATCTCTCCCCCCCCCATCCACCCGCCGCCGTGACCCGCCTCTCCGACCCTAGAAGTATGACGTCATTTAAAGATGATATTTTAATTTGTTTCGACTCAAAACAATACTGCAGCTTTGTATGTTAGCAAACTAAGGGCATTTTGCTTAAAACCAGTGTTTATTTCAGACTTTTTTCTGCGGTAGGGGGCACTTGAAAACTGCTTAAAATGTAGTAATCACTAGGCCTATATATAGATCTAACTATTTAATACTATACTGAACTGAAAGTTTTCTGAAATATCCTTTTTAAATGCTTTATTTGTGTATAAATAAGGTTGCATTATTTTTAGTACATACAAGTTTATTATTATAATTTTTTTTTATAGATTTTGAATATAATACATTGTAATATGTTGCGAAGTTGAAATAGGGATAAAGTGGACCTTAATTTTAGTGTACAGAATCTTTTTTTTCTGAGGGGACAAAACGCTGAAAGAATTATATTCTCATTACGTCCCCTTTTCCCCTTGAAATTGTCCGTTCAAGATGGCTTCTATCATTGCACGACGATCTAGCCGTGTTTATCGACTTTACGAGACATGTTCTCGTTCCTTTTCTGTTGGTCACAGAAACAATGCTGATATGGCATTTACATTCGCATCACCTTATGATGTAAGAATAATGTTTTCTAAAAAAAGTATTAACTTATCGCTTTCTATGGCATCATGAGTATCACAACAATTTTTTTCACTCTTTTTGAAATCTTCACTCTTTTCAACTCTTTTGACACTTCTGTCTTAAAAATCATAATGAATTTTAAATAAAACTGATCCTAAAATAGTTTATTTACTTCTAAGTTGTTAATCTACTAGAGCAACTTACATTGTCCGGACACTCCGTAGGACCGGACACCTTGCTGGTTTTCGGTCGATATAAAATTTATTTCAATGTTTACACGGAAGAACCGCGAACTGCACTGCGCATGCCCATTTTTAAACACTTCCAGATCAAGTCCTTTCGTTTCCTCCATCTGTAAGGGAAGTTGAAGATTTCTAAAGTTGCCAAGGTATGTACTTTTTTATTTGTTATATCACCCGGATGAAGGTCACTAGGTTCCGGATAAGGGGGGAAAATCGAACCAATCACGGTTAATCTTGTTTTTTTAACTAAAAATAGCTTCTATCTATATATAGAACACAGTAAATTTCATTGTCAAGACGATGTACTGTGTATAATGGGGGAAAAGGGGGTGTTCGCTGCAATGTAAGACATTTTCGAGGGTAATCTATCGTTTTGGGTACGTAAAATCGCCCGCGGCTATTAATGTACGAAAACGTTACCTCATTGTCAAGGCTGTAATAGAAGTATATTGTGATATGTTTGTGTCAAATATTATAGATAAATGAATAATAAACCTAAATCAATGGCTAAATATATCAATATAGGCCAGAAATTAACTTTAAACAGCAGTGTCTGCAAGCAAGATTTGCTATATAGACAGCAGCCATTTGTAAAATAGAGTGACTTCCGCCTGAATCTCGCGCTATAAGTCTATAAAAATAAAACTTTAACAAGATGGCTGCTATAGTAAATGAGCATGGTTGCATCTGTTGGAAACATCGCTGGTGTTCATTTATTACTGAAAAGTTTTAATTCAATTGTTTAAAAACAGGTACATAAAGGAAACAAGGAAACATTTTTGTATTTTTCAAAACATAAATCCTCCTCAAAATGTGAAATAATTATTAAAATGTAAGGAGTCACCTGTTTTTCACATTACTAGTCGCGGGCGATTTTACGTACCCAAAACGATAGATTACCTTTTCGAGTTTTACATTGCAGCGAACACTCAAAGATAAATTGAGCATTCCATTTTAATTAAGTAGTTTAGTGACTTAGTGTAGATCTAGAATGTAGATCTACACGTCTTAGACGGAATCTAGTCTAAGTCTAAAATCTATATTTCTAAAAAAAATTTTTCAATATATTTCTGATCCTCAAAAATTCTTTACCAGATTTCTACATTGATTGAAAATGTCCCAAACAATGGAAAAAAAACACGCAAAGAGGGTGTCTCATAGCCCTGAAATCCTTAATGCTGCTATAGCCAGCATTAAAGCTAAAGAGTGCTCAATAAGAGAGGCGGCATCCAAGTATGGGATACCGTTGTCCACGTTGCATGACAAGCTCCGTGGGAAAACTCCTCTGGTAGCCACCAAAAACACCCTTCTTTTGCCAGAAGAAGAAGACCGTCTGGCAAACTGGCTGCTCCAGTTAGCACAAAGGGGTTTCGGAAAAACCCATGAAGACATTAGAGAGACGGCAAAAGCCATCATGGCAACGAGGAATGCTGCCTCAAAAAGCAAATTTGAAAAGCCGTCTACTCAGTGGCTTTATGGGTTTTTGAAACGACACCCTGGACTAACGACAAGAACCCCCCTTTCACTGGGAAAGGAAAGAGCTACAGTAACGGCAGTTGCCGTTGAAAGGTGGTTCGCGTCCTTCAAGAACTGCATTGATGGGATAGACCCAACCCTATTAGCATCTCCCCACCGTGTCTTCAATGCAGATGAAACAGGGTTTTGTTTCGACGTAAAAAGCAGAAGGGTTGTAGCCCAAAAAGGATCCAAGCATGTGTATAACGTGACATCGAACACTAAAACAAGTAACAGTGCTAGCATGCGCTAGTGCTGTGGGCCAATATATTCCGCCCATGCTTATATATCCTTACAAGAGGATCCCCAATAAGAATCTACTAGAAGAATTCCCGGAGGCAAATCTGCAAATCTCGGACAATGGTTGGATAAACGCGGGGATCTTTCACTCCTGGCTCAGGGACAGCTTCATCCCATCTGTTCAAAATGTTGATAAGCCAGTCCTCTTGCTGGTAGATGGCCACACCAGCCATACATCACTTGTAGAAACATCGGAGTTGTGTTCCGAAAATGGTATAATATTATATTGCCTTTTAGCACATGCCAGCCACCTGATGCAGCCACTCGATCAGGCATTTTTTGGAGCTGTAAAATCAGCGTGGTCCGATGCTTTACGCAAACACGTGGCGGAAACTGGTGAGGGAGTGAAACTAGAATCCTTTGCTCAAGTTCTAAAACCAGTTTGGGATCGAACCGCCACCCCCGAAATTGCAGCTAAAAGTTTTCAGGCTGCAGGGATCTATCCCTTTAACCCTGAAAAGATCATAAATTCTGAAAAATTAGGACCGAGCTTGGCATACAGTGCTACTCCTACTCCAACAGTTGCTTTGAGTGAAACCATGAACACTGTCGCTGAGTCAACTCCTGAAGTCCAGCAGCCACAAATTACCCCTGTTTTAGAAGATCAACAAAGCCAAATTCTCCCTCCATTATTTCCTGAACTTCAGGACCAAATTATCTATCTTCCACTTCCACCTCTTATTTTCGAAAACGAAGTCCCGCTCAGCCCCCAACCATCCACATCAGCTCTAAATTATGGAAATGAAGTCCCGCTCAGCCCCCAACCATCCACATCAGCTGTAAATCTAGATCTACCATCAACCTCTTCTATAGAAAATGTTCCAATAAATCCAACTGCATCTAATTTTGATGAAGAAAGCCGATTAGCTGCACATCCAGTTATTCAAGCAACCCCTAATTCAAAAGCCGGTCTTGAATTGAATGCACAGCAGTTGAAAGCCCTCAGGGAGTATTCCGTTTTCATTTCTGATGATATTTCGAGAAAACACCTTCTGTCATTTTTTTCAAGACTTGCTAACAACCTAACATCTGATTTCATAGATCCTCGCGAGGAAAATGATTATAAAAAGTTTAAAGAGCTATCTCTCTCCCTTCTCACTGTATGTGAAGTCAAAGCAAACGAGGAACAGGTACTCAAAGCCTCACTCACCGTTGACGATATTCTGAAAATCCCTAATTTTGTCTCAAGTAAGGGAAAGGGCAAAGGCAAAAAAAGAATCTTGCCGACAATGCCGAATCTCGTCAGCGGTGATGAGTTCCGGAATGCTCTACAAAAGAAAATTATGGAAAAAGAACAGATCGAGAAAAAAAAAGAAGATAACAAACTACTGAGGGATGAGTTGAAGAAAAAAAGAGAAGAAATGAAAGAGTACCAAAAGGTATTGAGAGAGAAAGAAAGGAAAGAGAAACAACTGAAGAAGGCAGAAGAACTTGAAGCAAAGAAGAAAAGGGGGGCGCAAAAGTGCAAAAAACCCAGGAAATCCGTGCATATGGATCCAAAAGATAGATCTACAAGTAGTGAAGATGATGATGATCCCTTAATGAATTTAATCGAGCAAGAAATGGTCTCTGATAATGAAGCACAAGACCATGAAGATGTTGATCTAGACGATCCTAGTGAAAGATGTGCTGGGTGCAGCCTAGGATTTATCGATGATGACCGATCTAGAAATTTTTAGATCCAATGCGACGTTTGCGATTCGTGGTGGCACACATGTTGCACCAAAAGTGCCAAGGATTTAAATTCTGATCAATTAGAGGAGTTCAATTTTGTGTGCATCATGTGTTGCCCCGATCAATGAAGTTTTGCATTGATTTTAAAAAAGATCTTGTCTATATAAAAAAGTGTATATATTGTAAATACATTGATGTATATAGTTATAGTTCTTGTATTTTCTTTATATTGCAATTTCTTTAAAATTCAAGTTCTTTGATATTCTGTGATCTACTTTCGTTTAATTTATGTTCTATTTCCAGTAAAAATAAATCTCTAGACATAGATCTAGATGTAAATAATATTTTAATTTTAAATGCAAATTGCTGTTTTGTTTGGCATTCTATTAATTATTAAAACAATCAAGAACTCAATCAAAATGTGTTTAATTATTTTAATAGATAAAAAGCGAACAACATGTGATGTGTTCGAAAGCAATGTACAGTGTTCGATCACTTGTAAAATCTAGGAAAAAAAAAAAAAGTGTTCGCAAGCATGTAAGTCACTCAAACAAGAATAGCTTAAGTTCCAAGCGTATGAATACAAAATGACACACACATTATTAAAGTAGAATGGTTGCGGAGTGTTATGGTACTTTTTTTTGTTTTCTATGTTAAGTGGTTACTGAATGAGACCGCATGGAAGTTGGAAGTTCCGACTTTTTTCGCTCTGAGTGTCCGGACAATGTAAGTTGCTCTATCACCTAATACTGGCTAATAGCATTCTTTATTACTAAATTAGATTTTTAAAAAAAAAACATTTTTGGTAAAGTGCCTGGCAGCACAGTGGAAATGACCTCTGACCTAAGTTTTTCTTTCGGCTTTAATTTGATTTCGTTAAGGTACGGGTCTTAACTGTACTGAATGAAATCACTGCTAGTCTTACTAAATCTCAGTTAGTACTTCCATGCAGCACTATTAATGTCAACATAAGTGTGTGGCATTTTTTGTTTCAAAGTGACTACTCAGAAGAAGCTGCCCCCCCCCCCCCCCCCCCCCCCCCGCCCCGTTTTAGTCTGGCCAGCAGAAGATGAAAAACGCAATGACCTTAATAGACGCGCAATTGGCTCAAATTATCCTTTTGTATTTTATAGTTTTTCAATGGGATCAATTTTCTTTTTAGCTTCTATCTGTAGAGCAGTTGCACTTCGGGCAAATCATCAGATGTTGAGGGTTCGTAGTCTATAAGTGAAGTATAGAATGTTTTTTTAACAATCTATTTTAATGGCCTATTTAAATCAATCTAGGTATTAATCAAGTTAATCCGTGGGCATGTCCCATCAAGACAACATATGGGCCTAAACAATGAACATCTAGATTACAAGATAAACCATGTCATTGTAGTGCTATGCGCATCTTCTTCTGTCTAGAATCTGCTTTTTAGTTTTTTACTCACTGAATGTTGCTTTTAGTAATTTACATTTGCTTCTTGGTATGATGTAAATTGCTAAAAAGAAGTATTAATGTTAGTGCTTTCTGTTGTATATTAAAACTTTTTTTTTACTCTGAGGTTCTTCTCATCTTTCTCTCTTCATCCCCAGTAATCAGTAAAGTAAAAAATAATTAATCTGTTTTTAAAATACTTTGTTCACTTCTAAGTTAATCTACAAACCATTTGCTACTTTATTGCTAAGGTTCCCAATTATAATTTTTCAACAGACCTAGACAAAAGTGCAAGCTTCAGTTTTTCATTTGGTTTTAGTTGTATTTTAAGGGTCTTAACTGCAAATATTTTTAATGAAACCATTTCTAGTCTTGCTTAATATGCAGCACTAAATTAATGCCAACAAAAAGTTGTGCCATTTTTAGTTTTTCTGAGTTGCTTACCCAGAAGAGTATTTTTATGGACTGTCATTGTCTTTGTTACTGTTATCTAAACTTGAAAAGGTCTGGGTATGGTAGAACATTCATCAGCTAGTTCATTATTGTATCAATTGCTGGCTAATTATTGCTTAGGCTATGGTCAGAGCTGTATTACTAGTAAATGAATACTTCAGGAGCATCATTTTTTTACTTAATTTAGTTATTTTACATGAAATACTTAGTCTCTTTAAAAGTTGAAAATGTCCTCATATCCAAATAAACTTATTCCATAGGTGTATTACAAAGATGCCAAGGTAAAACAGATTGATGTCCCCACTTTCAGTGGAAATTTTGGTATTCTTCCAAGCCATGTTCCAACATTAGCTGTCTTGAAACCAGGTGTTGTAAATGTATTTGAAGAGGATGGGTCACAGAAAAAATTCTTTGGTGAGTATTTTTAGTTTTCATCATTTTCAAAAAAATTCTGCTTAATTAATCTGTAGTTTAGAATTAATGTCAAAAAAATTTTTTTTGTGGTTCAACAAAAATGCCTACTTAATTACTTGTGTTTAGAATGTATTTTTGACTTTATATACATGAACTGTACAATTTTTTATTATTCCAACAGTAAGCAGTGGCTCTGTGACAATAAACGATGACTCCTCAGTACAAATTTTAGCAGAAGAGGCTCATCCTATTGATAGGTTAGATGCAGGAGTGAGTATCTTTGGATTATTTATATGCAATAGACTAGAGTGTTAACACGTTCTTGTTTCTCAAAATTAAAACTAAAAATGTGACTTAGATGTTACAAATATTCTGTTACATTAGAAAACAACAAACATTGAGTTTAATTATCTGTTGCACTTTAGCCTAGTAGTACAATGCAAGTATATAATGTCTTTTGGTTGTATGTAATATGTTCATTTTCTTTTTTAGGCAATCCGTGAAGGTTTGACCAAAGCCCAACATGAAGTAACCTCTGCTTCCTCTGAAACTGCCAAAGCTGAGGCACAGATAGCGGTAGAATGTTTCGAAGCTTTACAGAAAGCTGTAGAGTAATTTATTTTGTTCACTTTTATAAATAGGTTTATCCTTTTGGGTCATGCCTAGTAAGTTTCAAGATATGGCCCTAATGTTATTGTGAAAAGGAATAACTTTAGAACTGTCATTTATTTGAAGTCTTGAATGAATGATGAAATGTATGAAATATTTTTGAACATAGTGTAACAATAAATGATGACATTCTGAAAAAAAATTGTGTCTTTATTTTAAGAAATATAGCATTATCACATAGATATTATAAAATGCTTATCCAATTTTATTCATTTTGACACAAGCTTTTCTTTTACATTAACATGTAGTAAGATCTAGAACATATTCTAAATTAATGATTGAAGTGTTACAAAATATGATTATAGCTTAAAGATACATAGTTAATATATGAGCTAAATTCATATTCTCTTATCACATTAGTTTATAAAATGGTGAAAAAGCCCAGTAAACATTTATAAATCCAGTGTGTATCACTGAATGGCTCAAGAAAATAGAGCCGATTAAGAATTGTAGTATTTAATAACAAATAGAATCATGAAATGATTATTGCTCACAGAACTGTGGCATCCCCTTATTTTCCCATTGAAACTTCCACAGCCCATGATTAGTGTGTTCTGTCACGTAAACCACATTAGAATTTGGTTGAAAGTGAATGTTGCTTGGTTTATCAAAAGGGCACTTGATGCGTTTTATTGGCTGGCCGCCCTCTGGTTGAAACACTTCAATATAACCACTACCCCAGTGGGCTACTAGCAAGTTTCCTTTCTCATCCAAGTCCATGCCATCTGGTCCAGATTCACACCCGCAGTCTGAAATGTTGAAATGATGCTTGGCATTTTAAAAAATTGAGTTAGCATATGTTATTGATATAGGCATAAATAAAAGCATTGTAAAAGGTCTTATTACGTAATTTAACAGACATCCTGTAAGACATGATTCTCTTAAGTAATGTAAGGAATAGATAGCAATTTACTTTGATCTAAAGATGTCATATTTACCTGGTAACTGTCCCCAAATGGCCTTATTATTTACAACACCTGGTGCCTGAATATCAAAGGACCAGAGCAGTCTAGTAGGAGTTTCTGCTACTATCAGTTTGGAGGGCTGTCCATCTTTACAATGAATCATGCCAATCCCATTAGGAAATCTAAAGCCTGTATCTACACGAATCACAGTTCTGTCCTTTGTTAAACAGTAGATAGACCCAAAAGCTTCCTGTTTAGATTAATATAAAAATTAAACATCTGTATTATTACATACCATAATCTAAAATTATTAACATGTTTTATTATGATGAATATTGTACCTTACCTCAAAGGATCGTTTATAAAACATCTGTATTATTACATACCATAATAATCTAAAAATTATTAACATCTTTTATTATGATGAAAATTGTACCTTACCTCAAAGGATCGTTTATAAAACATCTGTATTATTACATACCATAATAATCTAAAAATTATTAACATCTTTTATTATGATGAAAATTGTACCATACCTCAAAGGATCGTTTATAAAACATCTGTATTATTACATACCATAATAATTTAAAAATTATTAACATCTTTTATTATGATGAAAATTGTACCATACCTCAAAGGATCGTTTGTATGGAGATGGAGCTATTTCCCCTGCTGGTGCGGTTACCCAAAGATTTCCATCATTGTCCATGATGCAGTCATTGCAACCTTGCATTGTTTGTCCGTTGCTGTCTGTTACAGCTACCTACAAATTAGGGATTGATATTTCATTTGGTTAGGACTGGTTTTTATAAATGAATACAATAAGTATGCAGAAATTTAATTAAGACTTTTTCTCCTTGTACAAAACACTCAACATACTTTAATGAGGTACACTTTTTTAAAATGCTCACCTGTTGAAACTCTCCATTGGGCTTGACAAACAAAATTCCAAGTCTCATATCAGCAACATATAGATTGCCATGTTTATCAGACTGGCATCCTGCAGGTATGCCACCATTATTGTTTACATTGGGCTCACAAATAACCTCCACCTTAAGGACAGAACATGGTGATTAAAATACAAATGATAAACTATAATAGTGGATTACTTCACACAAGAACTGTCAACAAGAACAAACTCAACATGATCAATGCAACAGGCATTTTGACCAATTTTGTGAAAGGTCAATTCAACAAATAATTAAATGAAAATATGGGATTTTAAAAAAAATTCAAAATATAAATGGATTTCGATAACTTAAATCTTATAATTTTTATCTATAAAAATACTGTGAATAAAAATGTGTGAGCTTATTCTAATAACTTTATAGAGAATTTTAAAATATGAAATTAATATCAATTTTTAAATAACTGCTAATATATTTGTCACATAAAAAATACATCACTATGAAAGGTATGTGAGATATGTCAAAAACAGCAAAATAGAATTTGTTATTTTTTAAGATACTTTTGTGTGCAAAATAAAGCAAAAAGTTCAGGTCTAAAATACTAATATAGTAGGTTTATTATTAATGAAGTTTAATTATTTACTACAAAAAGTATATCAAGAGGATATAGATCTATTACTATTTTTATTATTTTAAATTTTATTGAAAAAAGACACAATTCAACAATAACCATGTTAAAATGTAATACACCCATGTAATTATTTGTCTATCAAACAATGAATGTGTATTGGATGGTCAGTTGGTAATCACCAGATTGGTCAAAGCAGAATTGGTCTTGCTGCTGACTAGGCAATCATCTCTTTTACAAGAGCACACATAATTTTCTTCCCCTAGTTAACTTTGGAGACTTGGCAGGTAAAGTAAAATACAAAAGATACTTCTGTTATTCAAAGCTAAAACTATAGGATAGGCCCTACTAGATATATATATATATATATATATATATATATAGGCTTAGATCTAGGCCATATATAAGTTAAGTTAAGACAATCAATCAGTGGCGTAAGGGGGGGGGTGTTTTGGGGGGTCATAACCCCCCCCCCCCCCCATAGACCCCTCGGTATATATATAAAAAGTATGGGGGGGGGGGTGCAAATCGAAAGTTTGAGGGGGGTGCAAATTGAAAGTTTGAGGGGGGTGCAAATCAAAAGTGTGTCCCTGGGTAAAAATTGGAACTATTTGGAACCCTCCCCCCTTGAGACGATCCTGGCTACGCCACTGCAATCAATCATGTACTTGAAAAAAGTTGGTGACACACCCCCAAACCTAAGAATAAGAAGCCATATATTAAAAGATTGTGGCAAAGATCTTAAATTCTAAGCACTGAATAAATTATATTCTATAATTTTAAATAATACAAGTCTAGATCTATGAACTATTCATACATTTTTACTTCAGTACTCTACATCTTACATCTAGATTCTAGATTTCTATCTATCTATTCTATTGGAAAACAACCTAGATCTAAGAAATAATTTTTTCTTCACCTTTCCAGAATTGACGTCGATTTTTAAAATTTGACCGGCTGGCTTGCCATTTTTTTCTATTTCTGGGGCAACCATAAAGAAATTGCCATCTTTATCAAAAACTGGACCTTCTGCGCCTAAAATATTATTAACAATATTATTAAATGTTGTAATGTATTCCGCCATCAGTCAACAATCTTTTCGTTATAATAAATGGGTCAAAATCTGTGCTAAGCTTGTGTGTTTATTTACCGTACCAAAGAAAAAGCACTCTAAAAATGTGAGCTTAAAAATAATGAAATTTTATGTAAGTAGGTTATCTTTCTTGAAAGAAAAATAACGCGTGCGCATCTTTAAACACACAGAATTCAAACTTTGGTCTATTTTTTAAAAATAAATACGCCCATTATACTATTATCTATATCAGGGATCTCCAAACTACGGCCCGCGGGCCGGATGCGGCCCTCGAAGTCCTCTCATCCGGCCCGCGGAGATCTTTTTGTCCAAGGAAAAATCGTTTGTTGGTGATGGCTGAGGAACTTTGCCCAGAAAAATCAAAGATATGCCTGGAAGAAACTGGCCCCCGAACTGAAATTTGATAGTTAATGCGGCCCTCGGACTGAAAAGTTTGGAGACCCCTGATCTATATATATAATTCTCTTCTGGGAGCCGTTAGAAAACAAGCTGCAAGCGCCTCCTTGCAGTCCCCTCTCCTTCTCTCTATCACTATCACTACCACCCCCACCCCACCCCCACATTGTCTGGTGAGCTGTGGTCACGCTAAATGTTTACAAAGCTAAATGTTTACAAATCGTAGAGCCGTAGAGCTGGGTTTCTATTAGGGGCAGATAATTTAGTACGATTTTAAACTTACAGGAGGTAACTAAGAAATAACTTTTAATTGAACAGTCCATATAGAATTATTTAAAGAAGTCATTCCTTTGTTTAGCTGGATAAATAGATTTCGAATTCTGTTAATCTTTGCTCATTATTCTGTATGTGCAATTTTCTGAATGGGCATATTGCTATGAAAATACAATAATACAATCATTTATGAATTCAAACCTGAAAAACATCTTTCAATATGCTGGCCTATCGCTGTGAGAAATGAGGTACTATGGCAACAAAGCAACTGTTAGCTGAAGAAGAGATTCTCCAGACAATTTGGTTTCACTCAAGAAAAGTTCTGATAAGCCCTCACCTGGATTCCACAAGGCAAAAGAAAAAGATGCAGACCCTGGAAACAAAGACACCAAGAAATTTGGATACATCGGGGGACAATTGGAATGACTAGAACAAAATAAAGATGCCTGGAAAGCTCTTCTTGATGGCCTATGTCCCAGGAGGGGTGACAGACTACCTAACCCCTAACTCACACACATATTTTGATATATATATATATATATATATATATATATATATATATATATATATATATATATATATATATGTAACGAGACTATTTGCCTGTAGTGCCAAATGTTAACGAGTTCTGCTCGACAACGCCAAATGTTACCGAGTCTAACCACTCATTCTTACACAACATCGACCACAGTATAGATACTCGAAGATGCAGGTTCGCTATTGATCCTTTTATTACATGAATCAAAGAAATGCTTCACAATAATATGATGAATCAAAAGGAATGCTTCACAATAATAGTCTGAATCAACTGACCCCCAACAGTCCTCACTAGTCTTCACATAACTGAATGCACATGTCTATCGTCCTTCTTAACACAATACGGCTAACCCGTTCTATAACCAACTTGATACTGCCACACTGACTGACTGATCGAGAGAGAGAGAGCCCAGCCGTCGCCTTCCTATATATCCCCTTCGTATTCGTAATCGTATTCGGTTCTATCATAATCGTAATCGTAATCGATTCTAATCGTTGCATCAGAATGTTAATTACGCCGCTTCTGTCGTACAGTCCGATTTAATAAGCCATCTGCATCCTGTCACATCAAAGTTGACAGCGCTGTATTGCGTTCTTATCGTATCGCTTCCCAAAATACTACGCCTTGGCTTTCTGATCGTTATCAGCCAACACCTGCGTTATTACATCAGTCGTGTCAAAGTTGACAGCGCTGTACTGCGTTCCCATGTCCCTGGTAACTTCCCCTAGTTACATCCACCCCTGCCTTTTTTTGTGTGTTATCAACCACAAACAACGCTTGGCAGGTGCAGTCCTTCAAAGTCAATCGCACCACCGTAAAAAAAAATTTATTGTTCCACTCACTGTCAATGTCGTCACATTCGTATAAGATTGACCGTTATCCCTATTTCACATATCAAATGTGTCTACATCCTCTTCCTCAGACACAAAACAGTTCTAGAATTCACATCCACCTTTTTTCGTTTGGTGCCTTCACCAGTTCACTTGTATGACTTTTTGAACAGTCTGTTCTCATACCAGCGCGACCATGAAAGAATTGATGGTTGCTGACAAAAAATTTCGTATTTTTTCTGTTTCTTAAACTTCTCCGCGGACCACTTATCTGATGGTCTACTGTCTCTCTGCTTCTGGGAGGAACGGGATCCTCCTTGTTGCCGTTATCCTCCACTTGTGTATCGCTGTTGTTCTGTTGATGGTGACATGGTTCCGGGATGGGTATGAGAATTTCCGTGTAAGTTTCTGGTTCCCTAATTGTCTTAGTTTTCTCTGTGTGTAAATGCTCTTCTTGACTATTCCAATATTTCTTTAATTGAGCAATATTCGCCCACCGATCCGGTTTGGTGTGATCGATGGGTCTTATCTTAAAGGGGCCACCTGCTACTTTAGGCATCTCCACGACTTGCCATATCTCCTGTCCCCAGAGGTCGTGGATTTTGTTTCTGCCTAACGGGTGGCTACGCAGTAATACCCTGTCGTTCAGTTTGAGTGGCGGGTCCTTTGTCTGTACCGGCGGTTCCCTTCGCCGTGCTTCATGTTCTAGTCTTTCCTGTACTACCCTGTACATTTCTCTAATTCGTCTCATATGTTCATTCACATATTCCAGTGCAGTGTATGAGCCAGTCATACTCTCCTTTTTTCCTAGGAACAAGTCAAGGGGGAGTCGAGCCTCCCGTCCGAACAGCAACATGTGTGGCGAAAAGCCGGTTGTGGCATGGGGGGTGCAGTTGTATAGATATACCAACTCTGGGAGAAAATCAGGCCAACGTTTTTTCTGTTCAGGTTCTAGGGTACGCAGCAAATCATGCATGCTGCGGTTGAACCGCTCGCACTGTCCGTTTCCTTTCGGATTAAATGTGGTTGTTCTAGATTTGTTGATCCCGTAGTGGCTGCACAGTTGGTTAATTACTTCTGACTCAAAGGCCCTTCCTTGGTCAGAGTGTAATTGTCTTGGTATGCCATATTTGATGAACCAATGTTCTATTAAGACCTTTGCCACTGTTTTGGCAGTCTGATCTCGTGTGGGCACCGCCACAGTCCATTTGGTGAATACATCAGTCACTACCAACACATGTTCCGTCCCATCCGATGATTGCTCCAACGACGTAAAGTCCATAGCCACAATCTCTAGTGGTTTTGTCGCTAGTAGGTGTCCTGATGGCTGTCTCATTTTGACAACTGGCATTTTCGCATGCTGACACCTCACACAAGCCTCACAATGGCGTTTGACCTCCATTTCCATATTGGGCCAGTAACACCTCCGTCGTAAAATTTTGTGCGTCCTGTCCTGACCCTGGTGTCCTGCCCTGTCATGTGCCAACCTTAGCACTTCTTCTCGTAATTGTCCAGGCACCACCACCTGGTGTATTGTCCCATCAATTTGGTCATGAATTCTCCGCATGAGAACACCATCCTTTATACTGAGACGATCCCACTGACTCAGTATTTTCTTTGTTTCTCGACCAAATTGTTCTCTTTCCCTTCTTCCTGGGAATTTTTGTTCCTGGACGTGTTTCAACAGCGGCTGTAAGCCACTATCCGTTCTCTGGGCATCTCTTATCTCTTTGTGATTAAGGCAATTAAAATCACTAATGTCCATATGTCCGGGCTCTGTGGATATGTGCCCCACCCCGGTCTGCCCGTTTTGCATCACTTGCACCCCGTGAGGGATATCTGTTGACGCTCTGACCTCACATATTCCTGTCAGCGTTTCTTCCTCATCGCCCGGTCTCTCGTAAGGATTCCTTGATAAGGCGTCCGCATTGCCATTGGACCGCCCCGGGCGATATTTTATCTCTAGGTCAAAGAGTGCCAATTCTGCTGCCCATCGCTGTTCGATGGATCCCAACTTTGCTGTCTTTAGGTGACTGAGGGGGTTATTGTCAGTGTATACCACACATTTGGCACCTAATAGATAGTCCCTGAATTTTTCAGTCACAGCCCATTTTAATGTCAAAAGTTCTAGTTTCATGGCGCTGTAATTTGTCATGTTCTTCTCTGATTCCTTCAGAGCTCGACTGGCATACGCAATAACCCTGAAACCTTGCTTTTGTTGTTGTGATAGCACAGCTCCCAGACCTTTAGAGCTGGCGTCAATTTCTAGCCGAAATGGTTTGTCAAAGTCCGCGTATCCTAATATCGGCGTCTCTGTCAAAGCCTTTTTCAAGAGCTTAAACGAGTTCAGGCATTCATCAGTCCATAATTCACCTATCAGTTGTGTTTTACCTTTCTTTTTCTCCTTACTGTGTTTCTTTGTCATTTTGTTTACCAAGTCATGCAATGGTGCGGCAATTTTTGCAAAACCAGGTACAAATTTTCTATAATAGGAAGCAAAGCCCAAGAATGATCTGACCTCTACCGTAGTTGTTGGCTGTTTCCATTCTTTAACCGCTGCAATTTTATCTGGGTCAGTGGCGATGCCATCCGACAAAATCACATAACCCAAAAAATGTACCGATTTCAGACCGAAGCAGCATTTGTCTGGGTTCAGCTTTACTCCTATCTCCCTAAGACGGAGAAACACTTGTTCTAATCTTTTTAGATGGTCCTCCCAAGTTTTTGAGTAAACCAGTATATCATCCAAGTACACCAACATTATTTGAAATAGAAAGTCACTCATAGCACTCTGCATTACTCGCTGGAATGTAGCAGGCGCATTAGTTAGACCAAACGGCATACGGGTCCACTCGTACAGTCCCAGTGGAGAAATAAATGCAGTCTTATGTTGATCGTTGGGGTGCATGGCCACTTGGTGGTAGCCACTAGCCAACTCTAAGGTAGAAAAAAATCTTGCTCCCCCCAACGCATCAAGACATTCATCAATACGAGGCAAGGGGAATGCATCCCTTCTTGTGATATTGTTCAATTTCCGGTAATCACAACACAGTCTTATCTCCCCTGACTTCTTTTTTACCACTACTATCGGTGCCGCATACGGGCTCGTGCTGGTTGTAATAATTCCCTTTTTTAGTAGATCGTTCAGGTGTGCTTTCACCGCAGAGTAGTGACTTGGTGGTAATCTTCGATAAGGTTGCGCCACCGGCTTGTCTTGTAGTAAGGGTATCTGGTGTTTTATTACTTCCGTGTAACCCAAATCACCCTCGTACGAGGCAAATATATCCCTGTACTTATTCAGCAATTCATTTAGTTTTGGGTCCTCATTTTCCGGGAATGTATATGATCGGCCATCCTCTTTCTTCACCTCGGCCGTCACATTGACCGACCTAATTGTTACTTCATCACTACTGGTATTGATCAGTTCGATGCACTGTGCCGACCTTAGTACCTCGACGTTCTGTGGTACTCCTACCAGAGTATTAGGCGGTATAAAAATTTCCTCATCCAAAACATTTGCCACTAATCCTTGAACTAGTCCATTTTCCGCTGATGTGTATGTCCGCAGTAACACGACGCCTGCCCTCAGTGCGGCGCCACATGGTTCTATCATCACATCACCATTCACGCTTCTATCACCAATTTGTAATGTGATTGCCTTGACCGTGTTTGCCGGGACTGATATCCTTCCTCTGGTCTTGGCAAACCTGGCCAACTTGGATCCCCGACCTGGTGTGGTCGATCCGACAATATTTGTAAGAAATTCTGGCAACTGGCCAAGAATATTCATGCCCAACAGGCAAGGTATATTTGACACATTTGTCTCTAGGTTGTGTTTCGTAACGAACACCCCAACCTGCTTCAACCTATGTCCCGCCACCACGACATCCGCCAGAAAATAACCACAGTATGGAATGGTTAGTCCATTAGCTGCCGTCAGGCGCATGCATGTGTCAGACCTCAACCTATGGTCTTTTCCTTTCATCCATTTGGTGTAAAAATTTTCCGCAATTGTCGTCACCTGGGAGCCTGTATCCACAATTGCCTTCACCGCGATGTCCCCAATCGTAATCACCATTTCGGGACAGACTCCCATCATTTTGTTTCTTGGGCCATAACCTCGCCCCTCTGTAGCCTGGCCCTGCCTTACAGAGGACGACCGTTTCCCTGACAGTACCGTGCCATATGTCCGGGTTGTGAACAGGACAAGCAAATTGGTCGACCGTCAGCCGTCCACCGGAGCGATGGACCGGCGGGTCGCGGCCGTCCAACCTGTCTCTGTTTTGTCCCGTTCTTTTCCTGATTCTCAGCTGTTGACCTGCTTTCTAACCTCTCCAATCGTTGGTTAACCTTATCCAGGTGGGCCAACAGTTGAGCCATCATGGTTTCCACCGTGCCGGTCCCTGTGGGTGGGGATTGTTTCTGTTCCGGCACAGAGACTTTGTCCACCGAACAGTTCGACTGGTCCTCATCCTCGGACCTGCGGATCGCTGAGTTCCTGACCTGAAGGAAGGTCAACTGCGGGTCTTTGTGGACCTCCTCTTTCAACTCTCTCCTTAAGATCGGGGTTGCTAGCCCCTCGATGAAATGGTCCCTCAGTAGGCGTACATCAATGTCAGGTGTTTTGCCCTTTACCGAATCAAAGGCCCTGTTCATTCGGTGTGAATACTCCATCACACTCTCCGCCATTCTCTGCTTTAAGCCTACGAACCCCGATAGCAGTTGCGATCCCGACCGTCTCTCCCCAAAGGTCTCCATAATTAGATCCAGCACCTTATCTGGATCTGATTGGATGGTTTTATCGTGGCATTTGACCTCTGCCCTAACCGTCTCTCCTATACTGCCCATCAGCAGTCTTAATCTTTCCTCTGGTGACATGTGTCTCGAGGCCCAGGCCGCTTTGACCTCCTCACTGAACCTGTTGGTTAAAGCTGGATCACCGTCCCCGTAAAATTTGTTAATGTGGGACTCTCTGGGCAGGACCACAATATGGGTCTGCTTCTCGTCCAGAGTAGACATTATACTTTTTATTCCTTGAGTCAAAAAAGAAAAGATCTTTCTTACCGTGTGTGTATGAAAAATTTTCCTCGTTCCTCACTTTTCACTGTTCCTGAATGTTCGAATTCACACACACACGAAACACAGTTATGAACTAGGTTGACTATGGGTGCCTAAAGCGGCAAGTCTAGTTGGATTCATCCTGTCCGCAGCGCCAAATGTAACGAGACTATTTGCCTGTAGTGCCAAATGTTAACGAGTTCTGCTCGACAACGCCAAATGTTACCGAGTCTAACCACTCATTCTTACACAACATCGACCACAGTATAGATACTCGAAGATGCAGGTTCGCTATTGATCCTTTTATTACATGAATCAAAGAAATGCTTCACAATAATATGATGAATCAAAAGGAATGCTTCACAATAATAGTCTGAATCAACTGACCCCCAACAGTCCTCACTAGTCTTCACATAACTGAATGCACATGTCTATCGTCCTTCTTAACACAATACGGCTAACCCGTTCTATAACCAACTTGATACTGCCACACTGACTGACTGATCGAGAGAGAGAGCCCAGCCGTCGCCTTCCTATATATCCCCTTCGTATTCGTAATCGTATTCGGTTCTATCATAATCGTAATCGTAATCGATTCTAATCGTTGCATCAGAATGTTAATTACGCCGCTTCTGTCGTACAGTCCGATTTAATAAGCCATCTGCATCCTGTCACATCAAAGTTGACAGCGCTGTATTGCGTTCTTATCGTATCGCTTCCCAAAATACTACGCCTTGGCTTTCTGATCGTTATCAGCCAACACCTGCGTTATTACATCAGTCGTGTCAAAGTTGACAGCGCTGTACTGCGTTCCCATGTCCCTGGTAACTTCCCCTAGTTACATATATATATATATATATATATATATATATATATATATATATATATATATATATATATATATATAAAACTTGTGTTTATGTGACTGCAAGATTTATGTTTCCTATTACTTTACTGGATAAAAATGTCATGTCTTTACAGCTGCTTTGCCATTAAACAGTTTTGAAACTAAACATGACCTAGTGTCAGAAAATATTTTGCCTGAGGTTATAGGGTGGATCATATCTGGTGCAAATTAGTTAGGTCCAGTTTTTATTGTGTGCCTTTCAAACAATTTCAAATACAGATTATTTTATTGTGTGGTAGAACAAAGTCACAAGACCATGGCAGTGACCGGCTTGTACCATGATCAGAGTCAGACACCTAAACTGGAGAAGATTTGTTTTATCATAAATAGCCTAAAGTGCAGTGCTAAATTATGTTAGATGGATAAAGGCTTTTGATTCAGACAGGAGAAAGGCATTATAGAAAGCCATTTCAGCACAGCTTAGAATAAAAACTCTTCACTATAGATTAATTTTTATAGATTTAAAAAATTAGTTTGTCAACTTTGAAGAACTATAGAGTCCTGGATGAATTTATCTCATTTTTCCATACCACTTCTCAAAATGCCAAGGGACAAAAACTGGATAGTTATTAGAACCATCACAAGAGGAAACAGGAGTGAGACATGGGTAACCCCTCCCCCACCTAGCCATGCCTCTGCTGCTAGGTTTAACATTGGGCATAAAAACAATGTTTTCTTGTGTTTAACATCTGATTAAAAAACACCATCAACCAGAATAGTGAGGTGGTGCAAGGATCCGAAATTAAAATCTTTTTAACTGTCGCAGCTTCACAACATCGTTTTAGCTTAATTTTTTCCACTTCTTATTCATATTTAGCTATGTACACATGAATGAACACGTTATGTTTATGTAAGTGAGTGAGTATGTATGACTAAAAAACCATTCAATAATGGCACATAAAAAAATAAGGCGAAATTGACTTTTTAAATTTAGTTTGAATATATCTTTAATGTATATAATTGTAAACGTTTTATTAAAATACTTTGAATAAAGTCAAAATATTTATAAAAAAACCCAGCTAATTTTTAATACAAAGAAGAGGAATGTTTATATAAAAAAGCACAACCACCATTCTCAATACTTCATAAAATCAATGAATCAAACATTGTTGCTTAAAAATTAGGTCTCAAAACATTTTACTTTTAAAAAAAAGTTATGTATGTATTCATACAACTGTATAGTTGTATAAATGGTGGTATTATAGCCTATAATATAAATAGCCAATTAGTCACTCGGTAGTAAATATGTATTATATTTAAAACAAAGATAAATATTCCATACAAATTTAATAAATTTAGAATATGCATTGACTTCCAATTTATCTTTTTTTTTTTTAAATTTATTATGAGCAATGGTGGGGCTGAGGGGTGACATTTTAAAAAATATATTAATATTATAATGTATATATATTGGATGGATAGAAGTGGCAAAATCAATTTTAGCCTACAGCTACAAAATAGAAAGCCTAAAATGTTAAATTCATCCACTGCCTTGATTACATATGTAAACTTGTAATGGTGAGAAATCATTTAATTCTACAGATAATTTATAATTTAATTTGTATGTATGCAAATGCATGTATGGCACTATTGGTTTTTACATTAGATGTAGCTTTTTCTCTTTCATTAGGAATACACAAAGCTTTTAAAAATCTAACTTAAAAAAATACTTACATAGTCAAAAGGGTAATTTCTTATAGTTAAGAGTATTGGTAATTATATGGGCTCTACTATTTATTATAAGCAGTTAAACTGTAATTAAAAGCACACTTTTATGTATTAAAACTGTAATTAAAAGCACGCTTTTATGTATTAAAGCAGTGAGAAATAGCAGCAGCAGTTTAAAATTTAGGCCAACTAAAATGCTAAGTCATTTAGCAGCCAGTCATAAACTGATAGGATCAGTAAAAAAAAAGTGAGTACCTATATTTGTTTGGTAAAATAAATATTTTAAAATTATTTCAGTGTAGGCTATTTTAAGCTTATAAAACATAAATACAATTAAATTTACCCATCTTGAAAAATTATTAAGCATCAACATACATTAATATACTAACTAAGACATGTCAACATAATGTGCAATAAAATTAAAAAATACATAATTAGTTGCTAATCATTTGTAAAAAAATATTCACTAAACTAGAATTAGGAAGCTGGGTTAATACTCCTTAGCATTTCAGCTAGATTTAACTGTCAATATGAGCATGAAAGACAGGGATACCAACATATCATAACTTAACATTTGTGTTTTATATAATGAACAATATGTCAGAATACGCTTGAAATACAGTAGTATACTTTGTGTTTCATTATTCATCTTAAAGCTATTAAACATCTAAAAAAAATGAAAACTTAAAATTTATAAGAAATATTATAACTACCTTATTAAGTGCACTTTATAGTAATTATACTGAATTAATTTAAGTAGCCAAAATTTCTGGGTTAAGGTTCTACCTTAACATTAACATCAACTTAAAAAAAACTTTTTCCAGTGACAATGTATTGCGAACGCTTTAATGGCCTGATGGGCCATGGGGCAAGCGTTGTAGAGTTCACTTGTTCAGCATACGAAGGGATAGTGTAGTCAGCACTATGTCCCTGCCACCTTTACTTTCACTAAATGTGAGTTAGGTACCCATCAAAGCTGGGCGGACTCAGAGACATTCTATTGACATGATTGGACGCTTTCAGGTTAGTGGTCTAACACTTGACCGCTTTAATAATGATAATGCTTTAATAACATAGATTAACAATTGAAAAAAAACATACATATTTCAACCAAAAAAAGTTCACAAGGTGAACACAGTGGTTTAAAGTTTGTTTACATCTTTAGGGAAGACTAAACCTGTGTTTACAAATATATTTAAGAACAAGGTACACACAGAAAACTTTTGTGCTTTAAAATAATTTCATTATCACTTAATATGTTTTTAGTAGATGCATCACTTTTTAAAAAAATATTAGACTGAGAAAGTAAATTATGTTATAAAAATGTTATATGTTAGCGGAACAATAGTCATGTGAAAAATACATCTGAAGATCAACATCAACATGTTAATTAATTATGAACATAATCAAGTAGACCTACATGAAATTTGAGTTTGTTCTTACACATACATTAAGAGCTTTGGGTTTTTATACATACTTTCCCTGCCCCTTGCATAGGAATAGCAACAACCTTTATTACTACAAACTAAATAATGAAAGACAAATGATGGACATAAAATTACAAACTTGAAAATAAACGACATAAAATACAATTTTTCTGTAAAAAAAAAAGTTGAGCTCAGATGCACAACAAAAATGGCAGTCTACTTTTATGCTTTTTTAAAAATATGCCATTATGTAATATTATTTCAAATATTTTAAATTTCAAATGTGCCACATAGAATATGATTGGTATAAACATAAAGAGCCATAATTTCAAAAGAAATTATAAGGGTAATAACTATTATGGCTATTGTTTCAAATTAATCCTAGATGTACAAAAACTATAAATGACACAAAAATTGCAGAACAAACTTTAAAGATACTGATCTTCAGTGCTAACAGAGTAGGACTCGAAAATGTCATGCAAACTTTCAAATGTTGGCCTGTCTTCTGGATTCTGGTGCCAACATTTTAACATTAGTTCATAATAAGACTGTGGAACTGGAATGGGCCCACCAGTAGGAATCTTCATCCTTTCACCTCTCCCAACCATGCGAAGAACCTCTGAACCAGTCATTGCTGGAAGTAATTTAAAATTAGTTTTAAAAAATTGGTTCAATAACTGCCTAATCCATAAAAATAAAATTTAGAAAATGCATTTTTAATATTGCTCTTTATGTTTCTTTTTCTAAATTATTAATTTTTTAAATTATATGTAACAAGATATCAATGGAAAAATATCTCCAGGATACCTTTCCAGAAAATATAGAACAAGAACAAGTAAAAGAACAGGCCACAACAGGGTGAAATAACAAAACCATAGAAAATTTTAAAAGTTGTCCCATCAAAACTTGCCCTTGTTGCACGGCCCAAGAAAACACTGAACATGTCTTATAAGACTGCAGCTTATACCAACAGACGCAGTCTAGACTGACCCCCAAACTAAGAGAAAAATTGGGGAGCTTGAAGATCTAGAGACAGCCTGACAGTTCGTCTGCAATTTGGTCTTGTTTGATTCCTTCAATATAAACTTATTAAAAATAAGAACAAGTATAAGCCAACAACCTACCAGGGTAAGGCACTTTTCCTAGTGTAATGATTTCATACATGAGGATACCAAATGACCATACATCAGATTTGATTGTAAACTGTCTAAAGTTAGCTGCCTCAGGTGCTGTCCATTTGATAGGAAATCGGGTTTCTACATGGTGGATAAAAAAAATTTAGTTCATAAATGCAATTTTTATTTTGTAGAAACATTTGAGGAAAGTAACCCAATATAAAAAGAGACTCTGTTGATAGCTTTTACAAAAACAATATTATAACTATGATTATAAAAAAAGTATTTTATTAAAAGTAAACAAAAATACTTGCAACAAAATTTTAAACCAAAACTTAGCTAGCAGAACATTAGAAAATGTGGGGTTTTTAAAATTTAAACAAAATAAAATTTAGTACCCTCTTTGGCATTATAGATCTGATCTTCGAGTATTCTAGCAAGTCCAAAGTCTGCAATTTTTACATTGTACCGCTCACCAACCAGAACATTTGCAGCCCGCAGATCTCTATGTATATACTGTTGACTCTCTAAATAAGACATGCCTTCTGCAATCTAAAAGTGAAATAGAAAGTTGGTTAAAAAAAAAGTATGATTCATAATGTACAGGGTTTAAATATTTTATGAACTATATTGCTATTATGCAAATTATTAAGTTTTCATAGCAGATAATTGACTTAAGATGAATATCATCTTATTTGTAGACCATAAGCATAGACATAGGTAAACTCCATCAACCTGTTGTTATTTTTTGGTAGGTAGCTGATTAAAATATTTTTATTTACATGTGTTTGATATCTTCACGTTAAATAACACACTACTATAAAACTTACCTCACAATTCATGTTTATCAGTTGCAGCAACTTGAGTTTTTTCCCCAATTCAGAGTGTAGAAAATCCAGCAAAGATCCATGCGCCATTAATTCAGTTATGATATAAATTGGCTGTGATTGTGATACTACAGCCATGAGCTAGAAAACAATAGTGTGCAATTTAAATTATTAACAAAAATTATTTTTACAGAGGCTTATGTTTAACATTAATTTCTTACAGATAATAAAATAGCTTTTATAATATAAGAAAGCAATAAAGAAAGATAATAAAATAGCTTTTATAATATAAGAAAGCACAAAACTTGACAGTACCAATACTAATCGTGGATGGGTAAGTTTGTGCATGATTCTAGCCTCTTCTAAGAAAGCATCTGCAGACATGGTATCAGGTTTCATCTTTTTTACAGCAACATCAAAAACTCTTCGAAATTTACCTTTAATGGAACAAAAACGATTCAATTAAAGATAATTAAATAGAAAAATATCCAATATTTAAAAAAGGTATTTTAGTTTAACTTCAACACTTCTTTCAAATAAAGAAAATATTAAATGAACATACCTTTCCACACCTCACCAAAACACCCTGCACCTAATTTAACAGTTAACTGGATGGTATCTCTGCTGACTTCTAATTCAGGAAATTGTAGTGTTGGTTTATCACGCGGACATGGTACTGACAGGGCGGAACACAATCCAGTGGCATTTTCTGTGAGTTAAATTTGTCAGTTGTGTCACAAGTAAAAGAATTAATATTTTACAAATGCTTTAAGAAAAAAAAACATTTTTACAACAACAATAATCAATGGTTACAAAACAAGTTGATAAATATTTACATACTGCTTTTATAATGGGCAATCAGTTCAAATAAATCTTTAAAGTTTCTGTTGGCGCTGATATAGAATCTACCATCGTCCATGGTTTTAACACGATAATGTTTCACTGCTGGCTCATTTTCATTGCTCATATCAAGAACAGATAATACATAGGACATTTGATCTGAAAATTTTATGCATGAGCTTGTAAAAAAAATCTTCACTTCATATGACTTAATGTGTTGCAGTTCCTGGATAAAGCTTTGTAATTTATTTCTCAACCAGTCTTGGTCATTACTACTTACAACCATCTAAATAATCTTTAACTAAACAAAGAGAGCTATGAAATTTTAAATGCTTTTCTTCATTGTATTGATTAATGTACAGAAACATTCTATAGTCTTAACTTATGTTTGTACTTTTTACCATATGAGATTTACGATTCTTTTTTCTGATTAGAAAATATAAAGGCTCAACTAATCTCAACAGAAAATGCAGTCATATTAGATTAGTTTTATCAGTATTTATAATATACGCTTTATAAACAACTCTTGAAGTGCAAAAACAAAAGCTAATTCTCTTGGAAATGTTGAGAAAGTACAGAAAAAATTAAAATAAAGAATTAATATCTTAATTTTATGAAGTAATTTAACAGCATAGCTATGAGTTTAATCACTAGTAAAAAAAATAATTAAATAAACAAACAAGATACATTATTACCTCCTGCTGGCCTAACCAAAAATGTTCCATTTTTGTTGCCAGGTAAAAGTAAATTTTTTTCAGCTTCTGGACGTTGTATATCATACCACCAACTACAAGAAAAATGTGGTCAAAATTATATGATGCACAGATTGCCACAGAATTTTTTTGTTTTAATTATTCACAGCATTATTTAAAATTCAAAATTTTTATCTGGCTTTGATTAAAATACAATTATTTAATAATGTTTATTCTAAGTGATTTTATTAACACAATAAACAGCAAGTGTGAATAAAATATACCAATTATAAATAAAATTGTACAAGGTAATTCAACCATGCTGGATGAAGCTGGAAGGATAGGAAGGAATTGGGAATAGCTAAAAAGAGAGGCAGGAGTCAGTGGAGAGGGGAGAGCTTTTGACACAGCTCCCATACTCGGCAAGGACCAAAAAGAACAAAAATAATCATTATGAAATAACATTGCAGAGCTTACACAAGAGAGTAACTTACTCTTGACTTTGTGGAGTCTCATCATCCTTGACAACATAATTACTAGGTATATAACCTGATTCATTTGTTTTTGGATTAAATGCTAGCCACCAATCGTCTTTATCTGTGGTTCTGAAAATAGTATTTTAAAAATAATTGCAGTAAAATGCGAAGGCTTGTTATTTTAAGAGGGATCAAGATGGTGTTCACTCATTCATGCATCCACTCACTCATGTGACATGAGTAAAAACAACAACCATTCAGAGGTAATTTTTTTGTTTCAATTTTTCTACATAGAAAGTGCACAGTGGGAAATCACAACGTATACGAATGGTTCTAATTAATTATTATTCTTTTGTCGTCAGCTTTATTAATTTATATATTTGTTATTCATATGAGGTTCGAGCTCAGAAAATATTGTAGACAGAAATAGATGTTTTAAAAGACAAAAATATGTAAGTATTGTAAGCTGTGGTATGACTTCTTTTTAGATGTGTATAGTACAGTTGCCTTTCTGACCTTGTGAGGCACGAGAGCAGGTGAAGAAGAATTCACCTGTTTCTGTGAATTCAGCATATAAAAGAGATAGTGTGGTCAGCACCATGCTCAGCCAAAATCAGCATTTTTAAAGACAAAAACATGTTGGCTGAGGTGTGGGGTCTTTTTAGATGTGGGTAGGGAAGGGGGGTCTGACTTTTTGTGATGTGTGGCAATGGGGGGGGAGATAAAAATTGTCATTTATGGATGACCCCTTAAATCCGTAGTTATCCAAAGGATAATGAGTTGTCTAGTATCAACTAAAACATGCACCACTTATTTGAATTATGGACACACAACTGTCAATCTTTATCCAAAAATAATTTGATACCAGCTAACAATAAGTCTAAATTTAGTCTGCTTAATGGTTTTGAGTTATTTCCAACAGCTTAGTTTGAATTGTTTATATATTTCAACATTTAAAATATCAATTTGTTTTGCCATCTTAAGAAAAACTTACTTTATAGCTGTATGAGTGATATTAAAATTAAAGTACGATATTTAAAATCAAATTTTGTTTTTTATATTCTTCTTCATCTGTCCTATTAGGTATAAATGAGTATTTTTAAAATATAAAATATATACAAATTTAATAGAAATGTAAATAAACATAACTTACTTAGACATATCTACTTCTAATTTATCTCCTTTCTTAAAAGAAAGGTCATCTTTGCTGATACCTCCAAAGTTATAAAGTGCTCGTACTGAAATAATACATAGGTTAATTTAATGGAGATGTTACTGGCTGATGGTATCAATTTGTGATCTTTGTATATTTTAATAAGTAAAAGCATTTGCTCCTGGTAATAGAAGTACTTTTTTTATATCTGAAGTAGATAGGTTTTAAAAACTTACCCATTTGTTTTTCAGATGTTGGTGGTTTATCTGGAACTTTAGGTAATAGTCTTTTAGGTACATCATTGCCTGGTTGTTCCCCAGATGATTCTCTTGGCTTGGGATCTCGATTCCCTTTGGGTCTACGAAACTTTGAAGGAACTTTATTTCCCATTTTTGTATTATTTTATTTCTGTAAAATATTTTGTTCACATCCTTAAATTGGGCCTACATTTTAATGCAAGTCATTGATCAATATCATGAATAAGGTTTAACATATGAATAAACCGAACTTTCAAAACCTTTATAATCGCAAGCTTTAAAAACACTCCAAAAGTAGAAATAAAACAGCATGATTTTTTGTTAGATAAGTTATTAAAGCCCTGGTTGTGCCTGAAATCTTTTCAATATGTTTTTAAACAAATACTTTATTTTACCTCTTATATCTATATTTAAAGAAAATTTAATTTTCTTACTTTTAGTGCAATTAAAAGACTAATTACGAAAGAAAAAAAGTGGTCAGACAAATATGTACAATATGAAATTCCATGGAATTAATTGAATTTGATGCGAATCAATGTCCTTACTGCATGATTTGCAATGCCAAGTTGAGCAATTCACCAATTACCATGAGCCGTCATCAAATGCTCAGTTATTGATGTCTTTCCCTCAAAGTAGGCTCTAAATAACATGTAACTGCAAAAGCTAAAAAAATTTGCAAACTAATAAACTCTTACCTTCTATATAATGAGGATTAAAAATGATCATTTATTATTTATCTTCATCCCCAACCTGCAATTTAAAAAAATAATTCATTTTGATCTAGTTATGTTACTCAACAGAATAGTCTAATTAGGAAAAGAGTTATAGATTAGATAAAACATGAATAGAAGAGCTATGTAATTACAGGATGAAAATTATTATTTTTAATAAAGTCTTTTTTATTAGTTTGTAAATTTGGCTTTATTATTTATAAAAAAGCATAACATATAACTCCTTGAAAGGGAATTTTAAAAAACCCAACAATACAGTTTGACAAGCAGGAAGTATATAGTCACTGATATGTTTATTGCCTCTAGCGTAAATACCAATTGATATAAGTTAAAGGAATGGGGACAGTAACACTCTGACAAAAAATTAAAAATATCCTGAAATATTTTTATACCTTTCACAGTAAAGAGGAAGTTAAACTATTTAACATTTGATAGACTAAATAGACCATACCATATTTAAAAATATGTAGGTCATATTTTTCTAAATACTTTTTTGTTTGATAAAAAAAGAAGATTCATTACAGTTTAGATTGAACTAATAATATACGGGACATAACATTTTATAATTGATAATAGGAGTTTCATGTTTAAAAACTCTAAAAATATGGGCTTAAAAACAAAGTCTTTGAGGTATATTTAATTATTAATTAGAAATAACAATGGGGGATGAAGTCAACAACTACAATCACTACAAATGTGCTCCTACTTAGAAAATTTAATTAATTTTAAAAAAGAATTACCTCTGTTCATGTTCCAGGAAGCATAAAACCAAGGCCTACATAATAGCTAACACATCTGATTCATGTAATAGCCGTGCCTGTGCTATCATCAGGAGTGCGTGATTTATTTGAAAAGAAAGGTCAACTTCTCAGAACTGATTAAGTGTGTGACAGCACCCCAAACTGTCACAGGAGCTCTTCAAAATAACCTAGATATAGTTGGAAACAATGAAAATGTACAAGTTAGGTTTTTGAAAGACATACATTACAACTGGGCATACACAAGGGGGGAATAATGTAGTAGCTGACATAGACATGGGAGGAAAGCACTGTTGGCTGAGACATAGGTTTAGGGTTAATGATATAAATAGGTTTAAGATTAGAGTTTGGTTAAGGTTTTGGGGTAGCTTAAATGGTGATATTGGTACAATTAACTTTAAGCAAAAAGGACTAAAGTTGTCTAAATTGCAAAGGTTGTTTTAAGTACTTTGTTTTTTATAGTTGTGCCATTCTTTAGTGTGCCTTATTTTAATAAGGATTAAGAGAGACATTTTTTTTCAGTTTGCTAAGTACAACATTTATTAAATGAGCTTTTTGGGCACCCCTATTTGACTATTTATTCTAAAGAGGAGTGATAAGTCATAGAAGAGGTTTGAAGGTTTGCCTGTCTTTCACACTATAGCTCATGTAGTTTTGTTTGTGTTAGTTACTGTAGAACAATCATTGCTTTAGTAGATCTGTTCATTTTTTTACAAAATCCCTAGTCTATCAAGGTGCAAAAAACATTGTTTTGTTGCTTTTGGTGAGTTCTGGGTCCCCTGAATGGCCTGAGCACCCTGCATTGCTGGCGATATGGTAGTTCCACCCTTGAGAAAACCAGATATTTATTCTTTACAGCACATATATATATGTGTGTGTGTATATATATATATATATATATATATATATATATATATATATATATATATATATATATATATATAAAAATGAAAGTGGGTTTGTTTGTGGGTTTGTCCTTTATTCATCACTACACCTTTCATTCGATCACCATAAAACTTAGGGGAGTTGATGAAAATACTCCCTGGGAAATTTCAATGGGGAAAAAAATTTCAAAATCACAGGGGCAGCGCCTTGGCAGGGTGCAATTTGGCGCCCCAGGCTTTATCGTGGGGGTTATGGTACACTGAAGGCAAACCCATGCCCCATGCCCCTACAAAACTGATCCAAGAAATATAGAGCAGGTATTGTTTACATTTAAATAATTCAGTTTTAGAAAACAAGGTCACATGTCTAAGAATATAGGATTGGTAATGCATTGATGAAACCCTCTTAAAATAGTGTGGCAGACTTTCTGCAACATGACAGACAGACATGCTAGTATGTATATATATGTGTGTCTCTTATGCATTACTATACAATTCATCCAATCACCATGAAATTTTAACAAGTTATGAAGTACACTCAAGAGATTTATACCATAAAAAAGGATTTCAAATATCAGCCTCCCCTGTCCTATATTCCCCCCCACTCCAAAATATTTCAAAAATTGAAAGTAATTAACACCTTAATGCCTGAATTATGTTCCAAGCGTGTAAAAACTTATTTGTGCTGATTTTCTCTCATCATACTGACACTGAATTTGAGGTATATAGTTGTTTTTAAATTTGGACTTATTTTTATGTTAATTATGGTATGTTGTGAAAACGCAACATCAGGCACTTAGGGATCAAACAGTAATTTAATTTTTTTTAGTCTGGGTCATTTGATTATTTTTACTGACATGTGTTTCTCTAAATATCCACGCTTAAACCATAGAATATCACAAACTAAGCATATGGATGTGCAAGGAGATGTAGACTCACTTGCGAAATCCATGAAAACTATAGTTTATTAGCTCAGACATAGAGTTAAATAACTCTGCTGCACCTGCTCACTGACTTACTCTTATGAATGGGTATTTTGAAGCCTTGCTGTCGTGGTTCTACTACACTACATATAAAAGTACTTTCTTAAATGTGTAGAGCCTTAGTTGTCCCCGGTTACGTCATTTTTGTGAACTCCTAATCAAGGTCAACTTATAAAGACTCATATTTCGTATTTGACCTATATCTGTTATACACACAAAGCACATGAACAAATACTGTCAAATAATGACAGTGTTCGGCCGTTGTATATTCTTCCATGCTCAATGCAGCTGCTGTGGGTACTTAGTGTCACAGCTGTGGGTACTCAGTGCCACCGGTGTGGGTACTCACTGCTATTGTTGATGGTACCCTATGTTTCCGATTTCGGTTCTTCATGCTACGGCTGTTGTGCTCGAATGATACTGCTATAGATTACCAATGACAGTGCTGTAGCTACATATTTCCACTGGTCTGGGTAATCAGTGCTGAAACAGTCGGTACTGAGTGTTGAAGCCATGTGTACTGAGTGCTGAAGCTGTGGGTACTCAGTGTTACTGCAGTTGGTTCTTGATGTCACTGCTGTGGGTACTCAGTGCTGGAGCTGTTGGTAATTGATGTTGCTGTGGTTACAGACTCAGCCTTAGCATTGGGTACTCAGTATCACTGCTGTGAGTGCTTAGTGCTGAAACTGTGGTTTCTCAGTGTCACTGATGTTGGGACTCAGTGCTTTCGGTACGAAATACCAGTATAATTCCACTAATGTGGGTATTCAATAGCACTGAAAAGGGTATTTTTGTCAGTATTCAACCTTACTGTATTTATTACGAGGTGTAGGTCTATTTAGATAATTTAGCAAAAATATTAACTTGGTTGTTTCCCATTGTCTCGTGAAAGCAGAACATAGAACTCCCCATGTTTCCTGCATCTACCTTAACACCTGGAGTCTTCAGATTGGGCGTCCTACACAGAGTGTCAGTGGTACTACTTAACACAATATTATGTAAAAGGATGTCCACCAGCATCCTGAAGAGCACTTTTACAGAGCATTTATTTTAAAGAGCACCTACACAAGGGGTACAGTGCGCTTCAATAATCAATGACTTATCTGGAACAGGGGTAGCAACCCCTACATGAAGAGTGGCTCCTACGAGCACCTCAATACCTCAATGCATACTCACTCTCTACTTTTTTTCTAATTCAATGAACTGCTGCATCAGAATGTTCTATTACAACAAGGTCACTCATCTAATAATAGACCATTGGCAGTAATTTAATGCTACCCTAAACAATTTATCTGATTTTCCTTTCTTCTGAGATTCTATCAACTTTAACATGCAAGTGGGTCATACACACAGAGGCATAGTGAGGGGGGGGGGGCAGGGGGGTGTGGACCGCACCGGGTGACACCATTTAGGGGGTGACACCAAGGCAAAAAATATCAAAATATATATTGAAAAACTTGAGGGGGGGGTGCAAATTGAAAGTTTGAGGGGGGGTGGAAATAAAAAATTTGTCCCAGGGAAGGGTAGCTACTCCTCTGGGGGGGTGACACCATTAAGTGCCGCACCGGGTGACACCCAACCTCGCTACACCACTGCATACACATGCAATCAGAACTTCCTTTAAACACCATCAGTATAATGCATACTGTGTAGTTTTATTTTTCATATGTGTATGTGATGTGTAAGGATGTTCTGGATTTGTTATATTTATGTTGTATTAGGCCCTATATCTATGGAAATGTTTTAATATATCAATAATGTTGTGCCCCTTTTTAGTGTTATAAAACATGGACACAATCCCCAATGTAAAAAAAAAACTAGCCATACAAATTATTTTAAATTTTAGAAGATAATATCACAAGGTCATGATGGTCTTCCATAATGCTGTTTTTATTTGAGGATTTTTTACCCTCTGTTACACCCACCCCCATGGTGTGACATCATTGATGAATGACCATTCCCCCCCCCCCCCCCCCCCCCCCCCCCCGTTGATTTTCCTCATATGTGAAAACACTACAAGATCACAGATTACACAACAGATTTATTAATTTAAAACTTTAAACTACGAAAAATGAAGTAAATTACTCTAAGCAAAAAAATGTAAAAATTGAAGGCTAAATTAAATGTAGGCCTATAGGCCTAGACTTAAATATTAAATAATAACTTAATAGGCCTAAGGAATTTATATTTAAAATTTAATTGATTCATTCAGATCACCATAATAATTTTTCAGCCTTATAATTACTCCTTTGTGGCCCCTGGGGAACAAAGGGCTGCAATCTGAGAATCTCACCTCTCCATTATTATAGTTAATTATTGCCTATATATTCAGTATATTGCGTCTAGATCTAATAATTAAAAATTAAAATAGTTAAGGCTTATATATATATATATATATATATATATATATATATATATATATATATATATAATATATATATATATAGGTATATATATATATATATATATATATATATATATATACTATAGATAGGGCCTATATATAGTATATATAGTCTATAGCGACAACTATAGATCTAGGGATAGGCCTAGATATTTTATTTTTAATAAACCAAATAGTTCAAATAGATCTAGAATCTAGATCTAGTAGGCCTAAATTATAAAATTAATTAGTTATAAGACCTAGGGCCTACTCTACTTATTCACTACTTAATAATTTAGTAAAGTGTATTATTTTTTTAGTGTAACCTAGGCCTAATTATACTAATTAATAAATTATTATTATTATTAACTATTTTTAGCCTATAATTTCCTATAATAATACTTACTAGATATATCTAGATTCTACTATTGTTATTTAAATAAATAGTTTGACAAAACACAAATGGCATAAACATCCGAATTAACAGAATTTTATCTGGAATCTAAACTTAGGCTTGTGAATTGCCAGATTTTCTATTTATAAATCATGACACGATTAATTCCTCGCACCCAGAAAATCTAGATCTGCCTCACCTGTATAAAGTATAAAGAATTCTGTCTGTAGTCTGTAGGCCTATAAAAAAATACGTGGTGCGCACGCAGTCACACACTAAGCCGTTCGTGACCTTGCTATCCAATGGGCAATAATCAGTGCGTTACGTTTAAGCGGAATGGGGGGGGGGGGATTTTTTCTTAGTCTAGTGTGTTTTATTACACACTATACTAGATCTAGTACTTCGTCTAGCTGCACTCGCGATACGCAATACGAATCTCCGCAAAATACGAAGTTGTTACTTCCTTCTTTCTGTGGTGACAGTTTTTTGGGGATATGGGCGGAGCGTGGGAGGGTGAATTTAGAGCAGGGGTTCCCAACCTTTTTTAGCGCAATTTCCATACTGACAATTGCGATTATTAATTCGTTCTGGATGGATGCGTGTCCGATGTGTGTCCGCAGCTTTAAGTCGTATCTCCTCCTCAACGAAGCAATATCGAGGACTAGTTCCAAAAGCAAATATGTTAAGCAAGTTCCGAGGATGATTGTGGGCCAAGAAAATTCCCGGAATTCCTTCCTGGATATCCCGGAAAAGCCAAAAAACCTCGAAAAAATGCAGTTTTTGGCCCATATCTCGGCAACCAGACCACTTAGCGACTTGAAACATTTACCAATCGATTCCTGCCATAATTTAGAACAATATTGCCGAAGGAAGTTTTCAAAAATATCCTTTCGTTCGGTCACAAAAAATTAATTAAGGAAATTGCGCTTAAATTGTCACTAGACTTTTTATTAACTTGTTTACTCTAGAGCACATTCTAAAATATCGGTAGGGTGGCGGGGACCACCTATTTTAAATCGACAAACTCCTGCGTGTACAAGGTGTGATGTGCAAATGGCACTAGCCGTTCCAGGCTAGCGAGTGTAGTCTGGCTCGCCGCTAGACAAGTTGGGACAAGTATCGAACATATTTAATAAACCTAGGCAGTAAAAAAAATTAAAACTGTAACAAATGAATAAAAATAAATCATACTTTAAAATAATGTTTAAGAAAAAAATTCTGTCTCTGTCGAATAGTGAGAGGCGGGCACATACGAATCGTTCAGCGGGCGCCATGGCGCCCGCGGGCACAGGGTTGGGAACCCCTGATTTAGAGAATATTAAAATATATTATAAAGCTGATACCAAGCCTAGTTGCGATCCAAAATACAAAGAAAAAAACGCAGACACAAAAGAATTGAAAGAAAAAAAACCCACAAAGATTGGTTACGCCCAGATTTCAATAGGCCTATCAGTTACATGATTCAACATATCTCCTACGACCAAGTTAAGTGGTTTAAAAAAAAAACACCACTCAGAGACCAGAGTTTCTTCCAGAGTTTCTTCCCCGAATTTTTTTTACCGCCCCCCCCTCCCCCCCCCCCCCGAAGAAAGTCTACCGCCCCCCCCCCCCGAAAATTTGAAAATTTCAAGTGCCCCCCCCCCTCGGAGAAAAAAGTCTGGAAGAAACACTGTCAGAGACTCAACACTCAAACCACGACACTTTTTGTTTATCATCGTCCTATACCACTCCGTCGTATAATTTAACTAGTCACAGGTCACAGACAGAGGCGTAGCGAGAGGGGGGGGGGGACATATGTCCCCAGGCGCCGACCTTGGGGGGCTAGATATGTATATATATATATATATATATATATATATATATATATATATATATATATATATATATATATATATATATATATATATATATATATATATATATATGTGTGTGTGTGTGTGTGTGTATGTATATATATATATATATATATATATATATATATATATATATATATATATATATATAAACCCACAAACTCATTATCAAAAACTAAAAAGTGTACTGAACACAAAACAAAAACAACCACACACAATTCCTCACCCTCTCAAAAAATGTTGTGGTATACTGTAAACACTAAAAATAAAATTAACTCACCAACACACACTACTGCACACACAACTCGTACACATTATTCATAAAAAATATTATTCTACCTAACTAACACATGATTATAAATTCTGATAGTTAAAATTGTACAAGGTCGGGTTACAGTGGCGTAGCGAGGTCGGGTGTCACCGGTGCGGCACTTAATGGTGTCACCCCCCCCCCAGAGGCGTAGCGACCCTTCCCGGGGGCAAACTTTCAATTTTCGATTTGCACCCCCCCCCCTTCCTCAAACTTTCGATTTGCACCTTTTAAAAGACTATTTAACACTCGAATGAATCACTTAATTAAGTGGAATTATCATTTTTCTCTATATATTTTGCTATTTTTTGCCTTGGTGTCACCCCCCTAAATGGTGTCACCCGGTGCGATCCGCACCCCCGCACCCCCTCCCCTCGCTACGCCTCTGTCGGGTTATTAGTACCACGGGTACTTTTTACCCGCCATCGCATGCACGCTCTCGCCAACATGAACTATAAATAGATATCTGCTTCACGTTTTTAATTGGCAAAGTGTTGCACAACAAAACGTGTTTATTAATGGAGTAGGTTCATCTGGACTTATCGTCGCACTGTCAACAATGTAAATGTATCCTTGCTCCACGACAACGTAGGATTAGGGTTAGAAAGACATTTTAAACCACGGGTTCCCAACCTGGGGGTCGCGACCCCCCTGGGGGTCGCGGAGGTCTTTCTGGGGGGTCGCCAACTGGTATACTAAACCTTAGTACTTTGAAACAAAACATAATTATTTAGAAGAATTTTTGAAATTCGGCTTCATTAACATCACTGGAAATGTAATAGAGAAGAAATAAAGCGCACTGTACAAAGTTGTTCTCAGTCACGAATCTATGAAATCTTCAAAACTAAAACGTCGTTTGAGATGAGTCATTCGGAACACACCGAAAAATATATGGAGTTCTTTCGTCGGTAAGAAGCTAGTTGAAAACGCCAGAGACTTGATCGAACAGGAAGTTTTCACCAGCATTAGTGCAAGCATCAAATGAAGTCGCGATAGAAAATGCCAAGCAAAAAAAAAAAAAAAAAAAAAAAAAAAAAAAAAAAAAAAAAAAAAAAAAAAACAGTAGGAGAAAATCTCATCAAACGCTGCATGTACGTAAATTTTAAATAACACATTTTTATTGAAATTAAGCTTTCACTATTGTTTGCTTTTCAAGTTGATAAATCAACAGACGTGAGTTCGTGTTCGCAGTTGCTGGTCTGTGTCTATATTCATGCGGATGATAGCAAAGAAGACTTGCTCTTTTGTGAAGATAGCATGGAGAAAATAAATACCTTTTTTGAAACTGGATTAGAACGGCTGTGGGGGTTTGTACGGATGGCGCGCCATCTATGTTTAGCTCAAAATCGGGCTTTCAGAAAACAGAAAAGATTTAGCTCCCTAACCACTGCCCTAACCAATCGACATCAAGAGTCCATTGCTAGTGTAAGTCGTAAATTATATAAAATCTGGAGCCTTCAAAGAACTGAGCAAAAACATTAATATAGATCACGAGGTTCTGCTCTTCTACACTACTGTACGCTGGATGTCAAACGAAATGTTGTTAATCGTGTTTTTGAATTGAAATCTGAAATCAAATTGTTCTTGGAAGTGCAAAGGAAACAAGACTTTTTGGTATACTTAAAACGACATAGAGTGATTGGAGACAGTATCATACCTAGCAGATGTGTTCGAACATCAAGATAAGCTTAACCTGAAGCTTCAGGGAAAATGAACGAATATTATAACTTTCCATGATAATCTCGGGGCATTTTTATCAAAACTGCAAAATCGGTAAAGAAAATATATCTTGGAAATATTGTAAATTTGAGAAACTCTGCGGTGTGGTAGATGAATCTGATTGTGAGATAATTAACATTTTGAAAAAAGCGATTTCAGGGCATCTTGAATCTCTTGAAAACGAACTGCATCGCTATTTCTCTGAGCTGAAAAAAAAAAGAATCTGCATTTACGCATTACCCATTCTCTTCTTCCCTTGATGTTGCCAGCATTCCCGATGAATTACAAGATGAATTCTTTGATTTGCAGAATGATTCCGAGAAAGATGAAAAACTGCAGACCCAATTTTGGTTTAGTATTCACCATTCATACCCAAACGTAAAATGTATTGACTTTTCGAGAAAATATTTTCAACACTATTCTTCGATTAAAAACAAAATTAAGATAATTATAATGACATAGGTTGGCGTTAACAAAAAAAAATTAATTAAAAAGTTAACCACGAAGGTTTAGTGAATAGTATGCAATTTTACTCATGCTATTAAAACAGTTATCAAGAGTAGTTCATATTGAAAGTCTACTAGAAAATCTTATTTTAGTGCTTATTAATTTCCATACTAATTTCGGCTTTTAAATTCTATGGGGGTCGCGGGTCACTTACTTTTTATAAAAGGGGGTCGCCACTCGAAAAAGGTTGGGAACCACTGTTTTAAACATTACATCGAACAGTGACACAACAGAAAAACTTAATTAACACTTCTTTTTAAAATTTCAATTCCACTATATATATATATATATATATATATATATATATATATATATATATATATATATATATATATATATATATATATATATATATATATATATATATATATATATATATATATATATATATACGCATGTATATCTGTATTCCCATATATTTTTAATGTATTTAGTTTCTTTACCCCCCCCCATAAATGGATTAACGTATAAGTTATTACGATTCTCAAACCGTTTACCTCAGGCATATTTTGTAACGTTGAGTTAATGTAGCTCCACCCCCCCCCTCCCCCGCGCGGCGATTGCTTTAAACTGTGCTCAGATATAATACTAACGATTTTTATCTATAGTCGGTTGTAAATACAGCTTGATGTAGCATGTTTCGTCTATCATTAGCAGGTTTACGTCATGGTGTCACACCGCCCCCTCCCCCCTCCACCCTTGTCGGAATTTGTCAAATTTGCTCTTAAAAGACTATTTAACACTCTAATTAATCCCTTAATAAAGTGGAAATATCAGAATTATCATTTTTCTGTATATATTTTGCTATTTTTTGCCTTGGTGTCACCCTCCTAAATGATGTCACCCGGTACGGTCCACCCCCCCCCCCCCCCCCCCCCCCGCTACGCCACTGAGTCTAAGAATGTAAAAAACACACACAATATTGTGTTTTCTTGATTGAAGTTCCATTCAACAACAGCGAAACTAAAGACATTCATGTTTTTATGCTCACAATTCCAGCCATTGTTACCACGTGAGCTCATAATCCAGTATTGTCGCCAGAGCTATTGTTTTATTTTTAGTACACTTGTTTATGTGGGCTTACCTGACTGACTTTGTATTGTTTACAGTGCGTTGTCATTGGTAATGGGTTGTTTGTGAAAGCAAGATCGTATTTGCTTTTGTTGTGATGTTCTGTGTTAGTTATAAAGTATATGTATCCAACCTGTTTAGTTGATAACGATCGATCATTCGAGCACATGTTAAAGTAAAGTTAGTGGGGAAAAAAATACATTTTTAACATTTAGACTACCAAGTTCGAGAACCTACCAGTGATCTGATAAACAAACACTGTTGCGAAGGTTATTTCCCCTTTTAATTTTATTATATTTTAACACGACTGTAGACCGTAGAATGGTGTGTTGTCTACGTTCATATTCTTAAATTCAAAATACTTCCACTAATTAGGGAACTAATTGGAAATTAAAACATGTTTCTATTTTTTCATTTTTTGGTCTTGTCAAAGAGGCAAAAAATAAGGGAAGTTGATAAGCACACGATAAAGTTTGATGTAAAAGAATACGATTAGTCTAAGGAACCTCTCATTGGGCGAGGGGTCCCCCTCCTCCCCACTGGAGCACGTCCACCGCCCCACCTCGGATGGAATAGAAACAAGGTAATTAAAAAGTCTAGTGACAATTTTAGCGCAATTTCCTTACGTTATCTAAAAATAGCTCTGTCGTAGCGTAAATCAAGAGCAGGGTTAGTAAAACCATTGGTTAGTTATTAAAACGTTTTTTATTAATTTTTTTCAGTATTTTACATGTTTTATTTACAATAGAGTTACATGACTAAAAACCATTGCGCGCCTACTGAACGTGATGGCGCAGCCATGGAACGCGATGGCGCAGCTATTGAACGTGATGACGCGTGTGGTGTGGTTGGAAAAAATGCTTACTAATTCGGTCCAAATTTAATTAATTAAAAATTTTTTTGTGACCGAACGAAAGGATATTTTTGAAAACTTTCTTCGGCAATATTGTTCTAAATTATGGCAGGAATCGACTGGTACATGTTTCAAGTCGCTAAGTGGTCTGGTTGCCGAGATATGGGCCAAAAACTGAATTTTTTCGAGGTTTTTTGGCTTTTCCGGGAAATACATGAAAGAAACCCGGAATTTTTATGGCCTATGCTCATTCTCGTAACTTGCTTAACATAATTGCTTTTGGAACTAGTCATCGATATTGCTTCGTTGAGGAGGAGATACGACTTAAAGCCCGGACACACATTCATTCATCCATACATTCATTCATCCATACATTCATCCATCCATTCCCAGAAATGACGAGTTAATAAACGCAATTCTCCAGAATGGAAATTGCGCTAAAAATATATAGGCTCTATTTTGTATAGAAAGTTATACTTTTACCAACCAATGTCATAATTTTAAGAAAAATATAACCAGGCTTTCTACATTTAAAATTATTAAAAAAAACATTTTTCAAAACTATAAAATGAGTAAATTGCACCAAAGAGATGAGCGTTTGATTATTTCATACCCCCCTCATCACAATACTCCAATTTTATATGGTCAATGCCACTATGCCAACTAAATGAGGAGCACCGTACAACTTCTGACCACGGTACAACTAAATGACTGCTACTGCTTTGATAATCGACTACTACCGATAGTCCAAAACTGTAAAGTGCTATTTTCGAGGTTTTTTTAAAGACACGATCGAAAATGAACCAAATTAGTTTGCACCTCCTACGGGCCACCCTCTAAATTATCTGATTGTTTTCTTTTAATTCATTTTTTTAAAGCTCAAGCCCTGAGAATCCAACATCTTCGTCTCTCTTTCAAACGATTTCTGGTCTCCTACAATTCCTCTTTCTCAGTGGATTTCACATGAGCGCCGTGTTTCTTCCAGACTTTTTTCTCCGGGGGTGCACTTGGAATTTTTTTTGGGGTGGGGTGCGGACTCAAATTTCCGGGGGGCAGACACTATTAAAAGTATAAATGTCTATATAAATTCCATTTCGTTCAGGGGGGGGGTTAGACTTTCTTCGGACCCCCCCCCCCCCCCGAAGAGATGCCTGGAAGAAACTCTGCATGAGAGCCTGCGTAGTGGTGTTATTAACTGTCTTTCTTTTTTTTCTTATTTCGATGTCCACTGCCTGTTAGTAAGTTACCATTTGTCTCCGAGCCATACAGTAAAACTGACTTCACATTCGAGCTAAAGATCCTGGGTTCGTTTTTTTTTGAAGATGCAGTTGAATTCCACGTTGGTTTAAAACGTTAAAATACAATTATCGTTGCTGAATCTAATCTGATCGTCTTTGTCTGTATCACTATCATTTTTACGGCTTCTTTAACCAGTAAAATTTGTTCTGCATTTTTTTTGACAATGTACAAGAAGTCTTCAATTTGTTGTGTTGTGTGGATTTCAGTTCGTTTTTTTCCATACACACTAACATAGGCGTATGTATGTATGTATATATATATATATATATATATATATATATATATATATATATATATATATATAGGGGCGCCAAATCGAATATTGACCCCGGGCGCTGGAACGAGTCGCCAAGCCTCTGGACTTGACTGTTACATTATTACACTAGCCTGTATGCTGTTGGATTTGGGATAGACGAAATGAGTGTCTACAGGACAGTCAAAGTTGTTGGGATGAAACTGCAAAATTCTTTGGCTCAGTTGCCAAGACAAAGACGAGAAAGAAAGAAAAAACGAAGAGAAAAGACGTTTTTGTACTCGGTTAGAACGATACAGCCGAAAAATTCTAATACGAGAAGACAACAGGAAAAAACCTAAGGCATGTTATGTGTATGAAGGCACATTATAGGAATGAGTTATTGCGGGATAATTTGAAAAAAAAAATCTAGATCTAGCCCACATTAAAGAAAAACAGATTGTTGAAAAGATCAGTCTTATCCTCGACCTAGCTAATTAATATTTCTTTGGAATATTTGTCACGGTATGTTTGTGAAATAAGTTTTTTTGCCGATTTCGAACAATTAAAAAAAAAATCCGTTATTTGTTGTTATTTGGTAGTATTTGGCATTTGCACTAACCTTTATTTCTATGTCCAGAGAGAAACGAAAATGGCGACCGGATCGACTCGCCCGGTCCGAAATCTGAAAACAGGGCGATTTCGTGGTAAGACTTAGTAACATAGAGGATTTAAGCAATTTTATTTAGACCTTTAGGAGTCGTATATTATTCATGATGTTATTTTCCTCTACAGTTCGACACGAAAGTGCTGAAGACGTTGTCATCAAACTGGATCACAGCAGAGGTGATTTTTTTTTTACTTTTTTCCCCATTATCAGACCTAATTTTTTTTATTGAAATCTGATAAGTAAACATTGGGACTGCAATCTAATTTTAATTCAAAGAATTAAATTTCTGTAGAAGATTATAGAATATGAATATCTAATTAAATTTCCATCAAAGTACACTGATTATTATTTATTTAGTCAAATAGTACAAACACAAAAAAATCACAAATGTGAAATTACTGTCAAATCTAGTGTCAACACAGTACTCATCAGTAACATCAGTACCTTACAAATTTTCATCATTCATTCAGTTGTTTTGATTTGTAATCACATTTGTATAAATAGATTATTTAGTTAATACATTGGAATTGAAAAGCACTAGCTCTTTTTATAAGTTTTAGAAATTTAGGTTAGGCCTATAGGACCTAGGCCTATTTATTTTAATATTTACAGATTACAGATCTACCAGGCAGCAGTCCAAACTAATACTATAGGCCCTAACTAATATTAATATTATTTATTTAACAAGGATATTTATTAGGAATATTAGGCCCAATGGCCTTTACTGCCCTATAGGTTACTAGCAATATATTATATTTAAACAAGCAAACATAGTTATAGTAAAAATTAAAATTTTTATCATGACATTGCATTTGGGCTCTTGGCAGAACATTATCAGTCATAAATCTATCTCTCAAGTGTACCAAGTATCAATGAGCCTATTTTTCATTCTTGTATGCCTAATGTTAATTCTTATATGCCTAAAAGCAAAAAATAATATGTTTGTATGTCCACATACATAAAAATAAACATAGTAGGCCTATAAGCAGTTTTTTTTAATATTGCTATGCTGGCAAAAACCTCAATATTATACATACTGTATTTCCCTACATGGGCATCTATATGAAAACCAAAATATTTAATTTAATTAATAATAGAATAATAATAGGCCAAATTCTTTTTTTTTTAAATTTCAATAGTTAATTTCCAAATATATTTCATGATTTTACTGGAAAATTACATAATTTTCAGATCCATGTGAAAATGTCAAAGAAATATTGAAGAATGTTGTTTCTCAATATGGTGTTCCTAGTAGCCGTAAAACAGCATATCTCAACAGTTTTGTTAAACTAATAAAACATATTGGTTATGATGGCAACCTAGGTATTGGCATACCAGACATCATGGCCTGGTATGTAAATTAGCTTTTATATTATTTTGTTTTAGCGATTTGTTGAACTTGATTCAAATTAGTTGATAGTTACAACTCAGAAATTCAGTATAATTTTGAAACATTATTTTTCTTCTTTTTTTTCAGCTTAGGCGCATGTCTTCTGAATGAAGCTAAGCAAGTTCGCACAGCAACATTGCGAGTTCTACGTTACTTATTGCCATTTGGGGATACTTTAGACACATTTTTACTCCTACATTTTGACTTTCTAGTGGCTAGGTATTTTAAATACAATTTATTACTTGAAATATTTCTAAATTTTAAAAAAAACTTCAAACTTCATAGTTTTAGCCCTTTATGTGTTTATATAACAATTTTTCTTTTAGATTATTTTTTTTAATGAAAATATCTATTAAAGTATTTAGGCAGATTAAATCATGTTGCCCTTTGAAGTTTTTTCCTCAGGATTTTGCATATTGTTTAAAATACTTTTTTCTTAGTTTAGTTAAATTGTATTTCAAATTTAACTTTTTTTTTGCAGGAGCTTAGATGTTTGTTTAGATAATGAAATTGAAAGAATTCATGCAATCAAGCTCATTAGACAGATAATCAAATCTGCACCTCTGAAATTTCCAAAATCTTTGCTGTATGTTATGGTATCTATTGGCAATGATGGTGCAAGTGAAAGAGACAGAATGGTCAGGGTGTCATTGGAAACCATATGTGAATTAGGTTTGTTATTCTTTTATTTAAATATTTTATAGACATTTGAGACCTCCCTTTTTTATATGTTTAAGAGGCATGGTCATTTTCTTCTTGATTTTAAATACTTTAGTATAATCACAATGTAGTGAAATCTTTAATGTCTCATTTACCTTTTCTGAATGTCAGCAAACAAGTTTAATTTAATTAAAACAGCTTAAAGAAACTTGCTTGTTTATTTCAAGTTTGATTTCCTTAATGTTGGGAGTATAGAATTCAAATAAGAATTTGCATTAAGTATGTCTCTGATTCTTTCACAGCTTTTACTAATGTTGATCTTGTTGCAAAATGTGGAGGGATTCAGACATTGATCTGGAACATTCTGGACTGTCATCAATATCCCAGACTAAATGAAGCTCTTACATCCACCATTATTTTCCTTCTCAATCATCCAAAGACTAGACACTACATTCGTCCACAGGTGGATTTAGAGGTTGGTTATATATTTAAAAAATAATGTGTCTTGCCTGTTAATAGTCAATCAGTGTTTTCGGTAGTTTTAGCTCATGAATAAGTTAAAATTTTTATCTTGCAGCGCTTACTGGCTCCTTTTACAGACAGTCATTTTCGCTACAGTGTTGAAGATGGGAGAAAGTTAGTATTTTTTTCAAATGATGACTAAAATGTGATACTTAAACAGTAATTATAAATTTCTGGTTGTGAGAATAAATTAATAGTGTAATCAGCTAGAATGTTGTAATAATCAGGCTAAATTATTTATGTATTTTTAGCGAAGAAAGAGATTCCAGGTTTATTGCAAGCAAAATGGCAGTTATTACTGTTATGCGATCGTGGCCAGGTAATTACATTTTTTTATTGACACTTGCCTAATGGCTGGATCTTAATTACATTTTTTCTCAAATTTCTGTTTAACTGTTTCATTAGCCTTATTTTTTTCACATTGGTCAAACTAGTCTAATTTATTGTAAGCATTACAAATGACCTTGTTTTGTTTTTCAGGGCTGATACGTTTATGTCACCCCGAAGGTTCTGGCATGCAGTCACTGATAGGAATATTATATCTTCCTTATGTAGAAATTAGGGTATGTATTTGTTTGTACTGGAATAAGATTTGAAATAAATTCTTTTTAATGAAACTGTATTTTCTTGTTGAGGGAATATTTGATTATTTTGTTGTATTTTCCCTGCAGAAATATGTTTTAGAAGTGATCTCAGATCTATTTCGTTTAACTCTTCCAAACTGGACAGAAGACTTTGCATCTGCTTTTCAAAGTGTTGGTGAGTTTTAACATATTACTTCATTTCATTGGAAGAATCAAACAAATTAGATACTTTTCCTTAATTTTCTCTACTCCACAATAGAAGTAATTTATCTCTATGTGTAAATTGTTTTGTGAACATTTACTTACTGTTGACACCAACAGATCCAAGTGAGATGAAGGATGTATGGAAGTTAACTGAAGGGTTTGTTGCTGAGGAGGGTAGAGCCATTTTACCCCACATCTCACAGACAAGGTTGGTACTACAAAAATTAGGTACTACTTACGAGAACCAGTTTCTTGGTTACAATTTGGTATTCTTTCATCAAAGATACATTAGTAAGCTAGTGATATAATAAATGACCAAAGTAATAACAGGCTATTTCTGTATTAAAATAAAAATGTTTTATTTTAGGCCAAACTTGATTGAGAATCATCTAGCTCTATTATTGTCTGCATTTTTTACTGCTGGACTTTGTGAGGTGAATTTATTTTTAAAAATTTGTGTGTGCCATTTGTGTTTATTGTCTAAACTATTAAAATACATCTTTAACTGCCTTAAAATAAATGGCTGTAATTTTTTTTCTTTTTTTTTTCATATTAAAGGCACTGATAGATGTTGTTATCACTAGTACTGGGGCCTTATTTAATAGAGCTGTTCTTTTGCTGGGAGAGTTGCTTCACATGGTAAGTTTGCTGCTTAATACAATTGAGAGGTCACTACCAATATTAACCATAGACATTAGATTTAATTTGTTTAGCATTAACAACTTAGCTACCTGCATATCTTACAGGCAAACAGCCTATTGCCGCAAGAATGTATGCACTATCATGAGTGTTTGCCTTCACTTATCTCAATTGCGTCATCCAGTGAAACAAACAAAGACAAAAGACAGTAAGTTGAAGACATATTTCTACACTTCTGTGGGTCCCAATTTGGTGCATTTGAGTTGTTTTTTTTCTTCTTTTTTTTGCATACTGACAAGTAAATCCAATTTTTTCAGTCAAGCCTACCAGGCTGTAATGTATCTGACACGCTTTCACAAAATGATGAAGCGAGGGCGGCGTCCTTGCAGTGTATTTTTAGATCAACTTTTGCAGCATGCTGGGAAAATGTCAGAGGTTACCAGCAAACATTGGCATCTGCGGCGTGAGAAGCTTTCTGAGTACTACTTCAAAAAGGTGATTAATTTTGTTTAGCTAGAAAACATTTTTGGTCATGCAGTATTTCAAAATTTTTGTTCAAAATTTTAATGAATTTCCAATTTTAAAAAGTTACTACTTACATTTTAGGTATCATGTGATGAAATGACAAACCAAGCTATTAGAGATTCCTATGTAGTTTCTACTAAATCTTATTCTGACTGGAACTGGTCAATTATTGCTGCAATGTTAAAGGTATTTAACTAACTTAGGATATAATGCTATTAAGGATTAATTTGTCAATTGTATTGAAAATTATTTTAGTAATAAGATTACATACAAGTTACATTAAGAGTTACTAAAGTTACTTATTTTTATTATCATCATTTTAGTGGCCAGATGACAAATTCAAAAAGCTGGATGACCAGAATCATCACAAGTAAGAAAGTCTTTAAGTATTCTATCTATAGAACATCAGGGATACTGTTTTTATATTTTCTAACATCTTTACTTTTTAACTGTACCAATTTGTATACATTTATTTCTGCAATTGTGTTTACGTTTAACAAACAAACTCTATTCCCAGATTCATCAAGCGTCTTCTACACTATTTCAAACCTGAAAATGACCTCTTTTCTAAGACAGATATTAATGATCCCAATGCTAGAAAAATGTGTGTTGCTGGATGTCATCTTATTGACTTCCTCTTATCATCTACTTCGGTAAAAGACATTTTTTTTTCTTTTAATAATCAAAGTAATGCCAATTATTTTTTTTCTCATGATAAAATTATGTTTAGTTAAATTTTATTTATGCCAATTGACAGTTTTTAAAATGGATGTAAGGAATAACTTTGTTGTTGTTGTTTTGTAGGATGATGTTGAAAAAATCATTACAGAACTGTTATCAGATATAGCAGAGAATTTAAAAGAGGTGAGACAAAAATAAATATAACTACTTAATATTTAGAAGTTTTAGTAAAGTTTAGATTTCAAAATAAACTGCCCAATTGTTTTGTTTTAAATGTAAAATTGAACAACTATTTTAGTAGAATTAATATTTTTAAACTCTCTGAACAGTTGACCAAACTGAATGTTCCTGTTGATGAAAATGCCATGTTTGGGTCAAAGCGTATACATGAGAAGCTGTGTAGATACTACTTTCTTTTTATTGGACGATTTTCTGCAACAAAAAAAGGCTGTGTTTATTTAGAGAAGACTGGGATAATACAGACGTAAGTATATTTTCTTCTTTTCTTAGCTATTCTGATACTGAAAATTTTAAAATTAGGATTTTGTTAAGGAAATTTAAGAAAACATAGTTATAAAGAATTACACAAAAAGCTGTTCTCTGTTTATTTAAATATGAAAATTTTATTTCAGCCTGTTAGAAATGATGTCACCTTCGACCAACATTATCTATGTCAAGTTAGCTATATCAGCTCTTAACTTTTCTATCGAGGGTTCAACAAGGCCTATTCTTTCTAAAGCACTAACAGCAACACAAGATGTAAGTGGTTAGCTCATTATTAGTTCACACCATGTCTAGATGCAACAAAACTATGCATTGGGCTTTCTTACTGATTATTATACATAGCAAAATACATGCAGTTGTTACTTTTAAAAAAAATTGTAGGTAACAAATTATTTAATTACTAGGTGTGTCGATTGTATGCAACCAAGATGCTGCGTGTGTTGATGAGAGCTGGGACAACAGGTTTCAGTCACTGGGGGATTGAACTTCTCATCACCCAGCTGTATGACCAGGAGAAGAGTATTGCCATGTCAGCCATTAATATTTTAGATGAAGCTTGTGATAATGAGGTATGGCACCCTGTTTTTTTTTTGTTTCGAAAAGATAATTTTTTTACAGCTCTTCATATGCATGTTTTTTTTTGTTTTTTTTTTAACTTCAATGTTTTATAAATGAAAATCACTTGTGACTTGTAAAATGTTGACTTGAATTCCAGGAAAACCTGAAGAGTTTAATTAAACTGCGCCCATCACTTTTACATTTGGGTGAAAAGGGTGTTATGCTACTGACAAGATTTGTGTCCACCATTCAAGGCTTTCGATCACTTAATGATGCCAACTTTATTTCTACACAACTAGAACAATGGCACAAGGTAAGATTTTTCTAGCTTTTCAAGTTTTTGAGTTACGTCTCGAGTTCGAATCCGGGTTCAAGTCAGTAGACCGTCCCTGAGTCCACCCAACTCTGATGGGTACCTAACTCACGTTAGGGAAAGTAAAGGCCGCTGGGCATAGGGCTGACCACACTATCTCTTCATTGCCGAGGTCACAGAAACAAGTGTACTCTACTTCACTTGACCCTATAGACCGTCAGGTTTGAAAAGGGATCTTTACTTTACTTTTACTAGTTTTTGAACTGCAAACAATTAGCTTTAATTTTTTAAACAATTTTCTGTATTATTTTTTTTTAAAGTCTGTCTATTTTGCAAGACCTGAACTGGATTGAATTTCTATAGAAATATATTCCTAGCTATTTTTCCACAGACTTTTAATGAACAGTATGTTGATATAGTGGAAGAAATGTTAAATGAAGCCTTGACAACATACGAAAAGACTTTTACTGGCTCATGTCCAAGGCGCTCTATACTTAAGTATGTTTTTTAATTCTATTACAGAACATAATGAAAATAATTTCTTAAAAAAAACATGTAATTTGCATTAATTATAATTATTTTTTTTAGAACTAGCGTGAATGTTATATTGTCCATTGTTACAGGGGACCTAAGAAAGATGTGTTTCTACCCACCCACCTCTATGGCCAGTTAACCATGCATGAAGAGGGTCTGGAATTTTTACACAAACAGGTATTCCTTTCATATATTATAAAATATATTCTAATAAGTACTTTCATGTTAAAATTTAGGGTATAAGAAATGCCTGCATCATCACTGCCATCACTCCTACTGGGGTATGGGTTGACTGCCAAAGATCTCCAGAGTCCTCTGTCCTGTGCCATTTTCTCAATCTGTCTCCAGGCAAAGCCCATCTTTGTGGTTTCAGCTTCAAATTCCGTTGCTAGGTGTTTCTAGGCCGACTTCTTGTGCGCTTTCCTTGTGGGTTCCACTTCTATGCCTGCCTGGTTGGTGTTCTGCGCAGTGTATGCCCTACCCAACTCCATCTTCTTTTCCTAATTTCTTCTTCAGAGGCTAATTGCCCTGTCAAAAAATTCCATTAACCAGATATTTAAATATTGAACTACTTAGATCTGTAACCTTCAATGTTGCTTAATGCTATTGTCCCATGTTTTTAAAAAAAAAAGAATTAATTTAATGAATGTAATTATTTTTCAGGAATGTATAGAAGAATATTTCAACTGCATCCTGAATCAGGTTCTGATGAACAGCAAAGATATTAAAACATTAAAAGTAGCACTGTGGGCAGTGGTGAGTTTAACTTAATTTATTTTGGTGCCTCTGACATAGGAGATTTACTTATACATGTGGTGTGTTCATCTAGCACATTTGGCTTTAGTACACTTGCTGGTGCCATTAGTTACATAGACTGATGTAGTGCTATTAGTTACATACACTAATGCAGTGTGTTGCTATTGCAGGGTCATATAGGTTTATCTTGTGAGGGACTAGCCTGGCTGGAGTCTAAGAATGTTATCCCAGAGATCATTCGATTGGCTGAGGAGAGTGGTGTTTTTTCCATCAGAGGGTAACCATGAGTTTGTGATTTATTTATTTACACTATCCTAACTTAAGAAATTATCTAATAGAAGCTTTTTTCACCTTTAAGAAAATCATTTTATTATTATTATGTTTTGCAACAGTACATCATACTTTGTGTTGGGGCTTATAGCCTGCACCCGTAAAGGAACTGATATACTGAATGAGTTAGGATGGGAATCCAGATGTCACACACGCAAGGTATGAATAATGACAAGGATAGTTGGTATTAAGTATACTTTTTGTAGGAAATATTATTTTAAATATTTTAAAAATTCACTATTGTTTTTAAAAGGCTTAATGTTTGTGTTTAGACATCTGCCATAAATTTTAGAGAAACGTATAATTTTTTTTAGTTTCTTTTAAAGTATTTAATCATTCCAAATGTAATTTTCCTTCATGAAATGCAAAGTTTTGTTATTTTCCAGGAAATGTTTCCTGTATTGGATCAAGATGGTTGGATGCATGGACCAATGGAAGAGGCTTTGTTTATAAGTGATAGGATAGCATCCAGTGTTGTCCACAGTGAGAGTAACCGCCTCTCTTCCATGGGGAGCATGGGCCTTTCTTTGATCCAGGAGGAAACGTTCATGCGGACCTCCACCATCTCCAGTAACTCTAAGCCATTTGGTGATATAGGCCTTAAGAACTCCAGAGATCCCTTGTTGAGACACTCAGCTGAAATAGGTTTTGGTCATGGTACTTTACCTCCGTACACCTCTCCCCCTAGCCTAACTGTGCCTAATGCTTCACGCAGCCAAAATTTGCCTTACGAATCAGAACAGTTTGTCAGGTTCCCATCTATGCCTGCTAGGTCAAGGTCAGAAAAAATCATTCCAAAAAAACAAGAACTTCGACCTCGTGCTCAAACAGGTGATAAAACAACGCTCTCTAACTCGCGTAGTGTTTCCTCTCACAAGTACGAGTCGGTACCATTAAACATAGACTCTGTCCATGTGGAGGACCTGACACCACGACCCTCCAGTGAAATGAATAAAGAGAGGAAATCTTCCTCCAGAGACTCCATTCAACTTTTGGCCTCGCCCATCGTCAAACTCAGGACTAGCTCTGACGAGGATTCCGCCATTCTCTCAGACAACTGTGATTCCCAGTCCAGTGATAACGCTCAAGTTGCAGGTGCTGCAACCAACCCAGGCTCATCCCAGAACGGCACTGTAGATTCTCTGGGCGCTGAAGATGCGACCAACAAACATATTTACACAGCCCACAACAATTCTAACAAAGACGTCGTCAGTTTTAAAATCGGCTCCGGCGGCTCTTCTCTGCTCAGTAACAAAGACAGCAGTAGTAGCGAGAGCTCGAACCGCAGTAAGAGTAGAGGAAGCAGTTTCAACACGACAGACACTAGCGGGGTTGGGTCCTGTGAATCTAACCCCACCCCAGCGCCTTGCTGTAATATATCCTCAGCCCTCACACCCATCCCAAGCTCATCTTCTCTTTCCACCCTTGCTCCACCTTCAGCGCTGGTTGAACAGCCACAGAAGGAATCTGTTCACCCTTCAGTGTTGCAGCGCAGCCTTTTTAAACTGTCTCGCATACCTAGCGCTAAAAGACGCTCTGCCTCCCCTGCACTGGGGATAGCAAATAATGGAGGTCAGACATTCACATCACAGAGGGATGTGTTGGGGTACGCTGCACTGAGGAACATCAAGCGCCAGAGGACCTACAGCTCTGAGGTGGATGGGGAAACATTGAATCATTTAGAGGCTCCAACATTGCACCGCACCATAAGCCAAGATTCTGAGCTTAGTGTGGAAAGTAACATGTGGCTAAGGTGAGGAATATAAATGTTTTTAAACTGCTTTTACTTTCATCAAAGTTTGAGCCTGATTTTCACTATTTCTACTCTTTTGGTGTTGAATGTTAAGGCATGTGTTTCCTAACCAAAGTCCAATTAGTCAAAAGATATTGAGATAAGCTTTGTACTGGACACAATCTAGTCATTGCCATGGTGATACATTAACTTCATCAATAAAAACAAAGCAGGGTGCATTTTGTTTTAAGTTTGTTTTTACATTATAATTATAGTAATTAAGTAATAAATAGTAAAAGTATTTATTTAAATACAGACATGATTCTTGTGATCTAAAAATGATTTTGTTTTTACCTGTATATCAGTATCAGAAGAAATGTGAGCAGTATATCATTACAAGATCAAGATGTGCCCTCTTCACCCATCTCCACCCTCAACAGAGCTGCCTTTAAACCATTATCTCCTGGTAATAGGTTTATTGGGATCACCCTACCTGTTGACATCAAAATGATTTTTGAGGTGAGAAAACTGATTGGGAAAATAAAATGTAAACATAACGTTGATGGGAGGTACCATGTATTATGCTTTGAGAGGAATTATTTTAAAATTCTTGAGCTGCTTTTCAAAATTGTGTTCTCATGCTGTTGAAATAATGTACATGTTTAACATGATACAGATACATTCATTTGTTAATTAATAAATGAGGTTCAGAAAATACAAGTTAAAGAAAAAAGTAAACTCAAAATTTTTTAGGATTAAATACTTATAATTATAAAAATATGTAGATTTTATAGAAAGAGGAGAAAATAAGCTGAATTAAACATCAATTTTGTTTACTTCATCCTATTTTATTTATACCAGGTTATAGAGGGTGAAGATAAAAGAACATCAACAGCTGCTGGCCTTAAATCTGTGATATCAGGAGAATCAGGTGGTAAGTCATTTATTGGAACGTATTTAACTGCTAACCTGAGAGTCTTGATTTCAAATCCGTGTTCATATCAGTGGAATGTCCCTGAGTCAATGAATCAGATGAATTCTACTTCATCTGCCCCATGTGTCTTGGGCACGAACAGGATTAAGAAGAAGATGATTAACACTAATGGGGATGGCATGGTCAATGGTAGTAGTTGCAACTGCTAACCTGAAAATCTCGAGATCCGTAGGACTTTCCTGAGCCCATCCAGCTCTGATCTGTACCTTACTAACACTTGTGAAACTAAGGTGGCTGGGCATAGTGCTGACCACGCTATTCTCTTGTATGCTGGGGTCATTGAAAAAGATTGGCAGCTTTCTACTGATCACCTTATCTTAGTAAATTAACTTAAATCTTGTATTGTTCAAAAACTGTCTTCCATTTAGAAATACTGAACATTTTAGAATTGCCTGCAAAATAATTGTTTAAAATATTTTTACCCTAAATATATATTTTTTGTTCTAGCGTTAGTTTTTAATATTATTTTATCTTATTCAGTATCATGATAATAGTATCATTTTTTCCCTTGTGATTTAGGTATTCCAATGTCAGTTCCACCCTTAAAGAAAGAAGTATCATTTGAACACAACAACGATATTTGCTTGCTTTGTAATAGGTACAGAACAAAGGTCATCTCCAGTTCCAATAGACGAGGTAGGATTATCTAATAAAAGTTCTGTGTGGATGTCCTGGTCATTCACTGTAGTTATTTAACTAGTTATTTGTATTCTACCAGTAAAGGTTAAATCTTTAGCTTGTCAACCTGAAACTAAATTTTTTTTTTTAAATTATGCTAAAGACAAAGCAATAGTGGAATCTGTTTAGTGAATTGTGTTAAAAAACTTGGATTCTATAGAAGTTATTTTTTGCTTGGTCCACCAGCCTAATCCCAACTCTGTTGGACACCTAACTCACATTAGGGAAAATAAAGGCGGCTGGGCATAGTGCTGACCACACTATCCCTTCAAATGCAGAGGTCAAAGAAACAGGTGAACTCTACTTCACTTGCCCTGAGACCATCAGGTTGGAAAAGGGAACTTCTTTTTACCACCCTAATATATAGTCCTTGTTTCAATATTAAAGTGCCCTCTGTGTCATTATGGAAGTACCAAATTACCCATATCTTTACAATTTAAAAAAAAGTGAGACCAAAATTAAATTCCACTGATGTATTTACAGCAAGCCTCTCTGGCACACAAGATGGAGTAGAAACTAAAGCTGAACATTCTCAGGGTTTATCAGAGTTCACAGGCAGCAGGGGAGGGAGCTTGAACGACCACTCATCCTCCGCAACTCCTGGCAGCCAGACAAGCAGCTCAAGTACACATGAATTAGGTACTTATATATGTGCTCATCTTGTCATGTATACACTATGTATGTCTTTTCAGAGCTTTTGTTCTAAAATTATCTAAATACCATTATATTAAATTCAAACTCTAGATTAAAAAATAAACTATCTCTATGTTATGTTGATACTAAATTCAATTTTTAATGGAGACGCTATTGACTAATATATTTTATAAAAATTTATTATTTTGACAGCCAAAAAGTTGACAGAAGACAGTGAAGAAGGGAGGGAACTTATCAGGCTAGAAGTGATGCGGCTGATTGTCAACCTTGGCAGCTCTGTTGGCTTGAAAGGTTCTGAGACTGGGTTATTGAGGTGAGTTCTTTCTAATCAGGGTTGTGACTTGACTTAGTCCTTTTTGCTCCTTATGGAACATAGGGCCTCCACCATTTCCTTCCATTTCGTCCATTCCCAGGCTATTAGATTCACAATCTCCCAAGATATCACTGTTGGCTTCAGTTCTTTGAGAAGACTCCGCCTCCAGGTCTTTCTTGGGCGCCCTCTATTCCGCTTTCCCTTGGGGTTCCACGCAAGCCTCAACAATCAGTGTTGTAGAGGCTAGCATGTTTTGCTCAGGGCTTCTAAGCTACATAATTGTCATATGTACTGTGGTAAACACACTTGTACTTTTATTCCAGCTTGAAGCAGCGCTTCCCCAAGTGTTTCCAGAGCGTTTGCTTCTACTCTGAAGTTTGCCATCTCTTGTCAACCTATTCATATCGCCTTCTTGCTAGAAGATTTATTCAAGAATTGTTTGATGAGTTGGACACTATAGGGGTATGTTTTAACTAAGCATTAATTATAGAAGTATTAGTACTATATTAATGAAAGGTTATTTCATGAAACAAATTAATTGGTACTATAGGGGTATGTTTTAACTAAGCATTAAGTATAGAAGTATTAATACTATATTAAATGAAAGGATATTTCATTAAACAAATTAGAATGTTGATTTGTATGCTAAAGATTATTTTATTCTGGCTTTTATGCAGGAATATCTTCTATTATTTAACATTTAGTTATTTTTGTTATGCTGATAATACATTTTTTAAATTGCATATTTTTTTTAAAATATGATAATCTTGAGATACTCTAATTATTAATCAATATTAAAATGAATGACTAAATTTTATAGAAACATTCCTGTAAACCTTTCATACAATTTTTCATGTATAGCTGATGGAAATTCCGTGCAAGTTTTTGGGTATTGAACTAGACACCAGTCCACACATGGCACCCATTAGGCAAGACAGCTTAGATGAATTTCAAGACTTCTCTTTTTCCTGATGCTTATTGAATGTTTATGGAGTTTTAGGCATAGTTAATGGCTTTTTTTTTTTAGCTTGATGAAGCTAGAATTATACACACAAAAAACGAGTCAAAAGAATGTGATTTTAAAAAAAAAGAATGTTTTGATGGTTGTTTCTACCTGCACTTAATTATCTATAAATATTGTATAGGATATAATGTACACCTGCGCCAGGTTTTCTTTTTGGGGGGATTTGTAAATATAAATTGGTAATGCGTATATTATAGAATGTTGTATTGGATTATCTTTGTAATGAAGTGCCATAGTTTTGTGTTATCCCTGACAAAAATATCTGAATCTAATACTTTACTAAATTACTATGATGCTTTGTTAAGGTACTGTAAATAATTATTAAATGTTAAGGTTAGACATGGTGTCAGTGCAGTCAGCTGGCCAAAATCAAAACAATGTGATGAGAGCAGTCATATTTATTTGTCTTGTCACTTGGAACTGATGTATTGGATTTAATAAACCAGAAAAGGTCTTTCAATGAAAAGTAATTATGTAACAATACCGTTATTTATTTATTTGTTTCAAGTTTTGAGAAAAGAATTTATCATTCAAGGATTTATTATTCAGATAAATTATTTGTCTCAATAATGTACAGTATTTTTTTTCCTATACACTAGAAACTTGTATATTTTGTTTTGATTTGTGTTTTTTTTAGAGATCATTTATGTAATGGCTACAGATGCCCAAACACAGTGTTATGTTTTAATGTATGGACTGCAGGTCCAACAGTTCTAATGTATAGAGTACAGACACACAAACACTGTTGTAACTTTTTCTGCATTGTGTGGCTCTCTGTATATGAAGTGTGTAGGCTACAGACACTACTAACACTGTTGCTAAGTCTTATTGTGGTCAGTTATAGCCCAGAGAATCTCTAGAGGCTTGTTCAGTAATGCAAACACACTATGAACCAGTTGTATGCATTCAGCTATTCTATTCAGTCAACTAACTGTAAGCTAATGCTCTCACAATATTACTGCGATTACACTTGTTGTAGTTTATCAAGACTAATGCCACTGCAACAAGTTACACCTCTGCTATTCTACATGTAACCCACCCCCCAAAAAATTAGTTGTTTGTGTCTCTGCATCTGTTTGTTTGGTTAGTCTTTAAGCACTATTTAAGGTTCATTTTAATTGTGCTGTTTCAGAATTTAGAAATTATGTAACTGTTATCATGTTTCTGTAGAATATTTGTCTGAAATATGATTTTGGATTTACTATCACACATCTGTTAACTAACATTTTTTTAGAAACATTCATCAATTCTTATGGGTTCCATTTATTTTTGAGTGGATCTCAAAATGATCGGAATGGCAAAAATATGGAGCGTAAAACATCAACTTAATTGGAGTTTGTTTATGGATTTTTTTTTACAAATAATACCACTAACTTTCGTAATTCAGTAAATATTTTTTGACACTGTTAAAGAGAAATTGCAGAGATAAGTCTGTAAACAAATGATATGCTAAATCAAGAATTATCTGTATCATTTATGTATACATTTCATCATGCATCTGCACAAACATTTCAATTTAACTTGTGAATGCAAAATTTCATCGCAGCACATTAAAGAATTAATGGTTGTCTACTTTCAACATCAAATACAGAAATTTGTCATTATTCCCTTTAACAGGCATTTAGATAATTTACATAGGATTTTAGATTGCATTATAAGTTTATAAATGTGTACTTTTTTTTATCATTAACATCTCACATAGCTACTTAAAGTTTGTTTGTGTAGAAATGAGAGTATATTATGTTGTATGCAACACTTTTTTTTCTGGTGAACTCACTGAAGCGCCACATTGTTTTTGTTATTTCTCTTGTACTGGGTTGAGTGTGTAATCATTTTTGCCACATCATTATTGCTTTAACTTTAGTTCTACTGTATTGGATAGAGTTCACCAGAAAAAGATATGAAAGTAATTAATAAGAAATTTTAAAAATCATCATTTTGAAATACATACTAAAATCACATTTGAATTTACCATGAATAATGAGTTTCTGCTACACTGTATTTATATTGTATGAATGTTGCCTTTAAAGAGCATTTTAGTGAGCCAATATGAATAATTTATGTAAAAATGTGTATATATACAAAGCTAATTAAACCTGTTTTAAGGTAATTTCCTTGTGATTAATTTAAGAACGAAAGATTTGTGTCCTCTATTCATTGACAATGTATTGTTGTTGTTGTATTCAAATGCGGGCTCACCTTATAAAGTTGACAATACTCTAGAGTTTACAGGACTTGTAAAAATCAAACTTTTGCTAATACAACGACTTAGAAGTATTTCATTTTTACATCTTGCACTAGTATATTGATCTGTTGAATAGTTACCTTTTTACACAATCACTTTGGAAATGTTAATATAAGTGAAAAAACTTCTTGGTAGTGTAACAAAATGAAATCACTCGGTAGTGTGGAATGACTCTTTCAATGACTCTTTGACAAGTTACGATGAAAACATTGAACTTAAATTTGAAACCAAGTACTGGCTCTATGAAGTATTTACTGGTTACATTTTTGGGATTAAAAAAATATTAAAATGTTCTCCTGTTGCAAATTTTAGAAATATGATCCTCTATTTTATCTGTGTAGCTTAATTTTTTTTATACTAAAAATAAAATAATGGACACACTTTGCATTCAGATTTTATGTCTGACTTAACCTATCTGTGTTCTTTAACTCAAAATTGATTTTGGATGTGCCTTATATAGTATTTATAAAAGTGTATAGATAACACAATTTCATCTTTGAATCAGTGAAACATCAAACTTTTTTTTTGTTAAGACGATCCAAAAAGAAATTTTTGTACAAATTTGATTTGTGCACTCCAATGCAGCATCATTTGTATTTATCAAATAATTTCCTTTTCTCTTTCTAATTCCAAGTGAATTTTTGTTATATTCATTAAAAATAGGTTGAATATTTGTTTAATTTTTAAACATCTTAACATCAATATTATTTCTTGAATTAAACAGCATTTTGCTAACTTACTTGCATGTAAGAGAAAAGTAATGTGGCTTAATATGGCCTATATTTTTTACTATACCTTAAACTTAAAACATTTTTTTTTTAAAATTTAGTTTGCTTGGATAAGAGAAGGGATTTGTTAAATACTTTGGTGGTCAAATGACAAAAATAAATAATCATTAGAAACTTAAAATTAAATAGAGGAAAGATTTTGATCTCATACTGTCACTGTCACTATGTATTCTCACTTGTTAATGTCCATAGTCTGCTGGTTGCTTGTTGAAGTATGAGCAACTGCAGTACAACTGTGTACACAATTTTAGGACAACTTGTTCCAATGTGTTTGTGGATGAATTTGACTGTATTTTACACTAGTGATTTATGCAGTATAAATATTTCTCAAAATACTGACTTGAGTTTAATTATTTTTATTATTCTAAAAAAAAAAAAATTTCAAGCAAATAATTTTTTTTCATACCTTACTGGCTAATCTTTTTAGACTGAGAATGATGGTCATTTGGACTGACCACTAGGTCAGTGTATTGGTTGATACTAATAGATCAATTAATCTGAGATGAAAACGCATCCGCATTTGGTTAGCCTATAATCTTCGGCTTTAAAAGTCAAGACCTTTTATTTGGAGCAGGAGAAGATCAAACATCAACAAATAACATCTTAAGAGGTGGTGTTTACTTTGAAAATAAAATCTAAGCAAAGATTACGATTTATTCAACATTGAAAATAAAAAAAAACATGCTCCATTTTAACATGTTTTTGTGGGTTCTCTTTTTTTCTACACAGTAAGGTTGCTTCTATCTGTAGGACCAGGATGCTGGCTTTCTACTGGCCCTACCCGCGCAGATCTTCCAGGAATTTACACTCTCCTGGTATAGCTCGGGGGGGGGGGTCATGCCAGGAGTTTACACTCCCGCTGGTATAGCTCTGGGGGTCATCTCAGCAGTGTTTCTTCAAGATTTTTTTCTCCGGGGGGGGGGGGGGGGGTGTAGACTTTTTTCGGGGGGGACGGGACACTGTTAAAAGTAACTATTTTCTATATAAATTTCATTTCGTTCGGGGGGGGGGGGGGGGCGGTAGACTTTTCATGCCAGGAGTTTTACACTGCCGCTTGTATAGCTCTGGGGGTCATGCCAGGAGTTTTACACTGCCGCTTGTATAGCTCTGGGGGTCATGCCAGGAGTTTTACACTGCCACTGGTATAGCTCTGGGTACTCGCTGCCAAGCCACGACAAGGCTCTAGCACCGGATGGCGGGATAGGGTGGTAAGGGGTTTCTAAAAATTAAGACGTCCGACTTTTGCAATTTAAAAAGGCATTTTAAAAAAAAAACGATTTTTAAGAGTTATCGTACATTTTCAATTATATTCTTCGTAAAGGGAAACAACCTCTGCACGAGCTGGTACAGCATCCTATGCTGAGTTCTGACAATCACAAGTGTTAGTTTGGCTCACCAGATGTTGATTAAAATTGACGGAAAACAAACGCACATCGACAGCAGATGCCCGTGATCAACTGAAGACAGAAGTTCCGCACCATTTATGCTTATACATCGCAGCGGTCTCAACACTCAGAGATACTCGGCAGTCTGGAGACATTCTAACGGTCGTCGTCTGCTCGCTGGCCTGACCTGGTGTCCACCGCTCTGAGTCTGATAACCCCTGCCTATCCGTGACAGAGGAAGTGACCGAAACCCTTGCGTTAAGGTGAACCACGCAGTGCAAATCTTGTACAGTTGAAGCTCGGATGTGAGAACATTCTGTTATGGGGTCGTCCACAAATGACGTCACTCTCGGTGGGGGGAGGGGGGGCAGATGGTGTGACGTCACACTTTGGCATTATAAAAAAGCAATGTTAGAAAACGAGTTTTAGCCGTTATTTTGCGTATTAGAAAATGGTTTTTAATAAATTTTAATAGGAATTTATTAAAATACTCTATGTTGACAGAGTTCAGACAAGATTTTGGAAAAATATCTATGTTTAAAAAAAATTCAACTGCAATTTTGAGGGGGGTTGTAGGCTGAGATATGACGTCATTTTAGGGGGGGGGGGGTGTCTGGCTTTTTGTGACGATGTGTGACGGAGGGGAGGAGGGAGGTAAAAATCGTCAAAAAAAAAGCGTGACGTCATTTATGGATGACCCCTATCCCATAAAATTCCTGTTTTCAGGATTAAATAGGGGCTCTCTCGAACGTCCGCGACCTCCCCCCCCCCTCCCACAATTAATTACTTTCTCGTATACAGTGTGTAGAGGAAGTATTGTAATCGTGCTGAATAATGAATATAAATTTTGACAGCTTGCGCCGTTTTGCACCCCCCTACCTTATCGTATACGACGGAATCTAAATGATGTATTGTTATCGTGCAAAAATCTAACTGGAGGTATTGACAAATTTTGAAGTTTTACTACTTTCCGGAGCAGGAAAAGTTTAAGATGCATTTCTATCCGTCTGTCTGTGTGTAAGAAAACGAGATAACTTGAGTAGGGCCCCCGTTTCAGTGAGGTTGGCGAAATTTCAAATCTAATTTGTGGTTTTACATCAGCTTTTGAGAGATTTCCGGAAACGGTACTTGCTATACTTCTTCTCAAAAGCCAATAACTAGAGTGTGGTTTTTACGTTGTATGCGCAGGTTTATTTCAACTTTTGAACGATTTTTGCTAACCCGGAGTGGTACTTTACTCTATTTCCTTGAAAAGACGATAACTTGAATATTGTTTCAATTTGCTATAAGAAATTTCATAAGTAAATATAAGATCTTATACTTGGACTATTTGCACATTTGTTTACGTTATGCCCGATTTTTTATTTTTAAAAAGTCACTTATAGGCCCTACCGCACAAAACTTTTCACGTAGTTCAAGAATTGATGACAATACACTGTAACTTAAAATGTGACTTGATTAGATGTTTAATTCATTTTTTAGAAATTAAAAAATGTTTTGTTTTTAAAGTACTAATTGTCCGCCATTATATCAGTGTTTCTTCCAGACATTTTTCTCGGGGGGGGGGGGGGGGGCACTTGAAATTTGGGGGGGGGGGCGGTAGACTTTCTTCGGGGACACCGGGGGGGGGGGCGGACACTGTATAAAGTATATATTTTCTATAAACATTTCATTTCGAAGAGATGCGTGGAATAAACTCTGCATTATACAAAGGTCTATATTATTTAATATGTATGTTCATGTGTGCGCAATTCTTTTTTTACTTGATTCTATTCTATTAAAAAAAATTCAAGTAGATGCAGTAGGAAGTAGGCCTATTTAACAATATGAATAAAAACATTTCTATAGCACGATTGCAAGTGAAGTGCTATGCCCCTTACTGTGATATCAGAATATATAAGAAAGTTTAAGGAAGATCACTTCCGCTTATATTATAGATTCTACATGTGATTTAATTTTAAACCAAATAATATCTTAAAAGAAAAATGTAAGCGGTGAAGCGAAACACAAAAAAAACGGAATTTCCCCTAGGTTGATCTGTGATCTCTCCGAGTTCGCTTGTCAGTACTCGGTGTGGACTCGGGAATAATCGTAACTTATTGTACTTCATAACTAACTTCCTGCTTTGTAGCCTACTACTATGCCAAAGGGAACTTCTTGAGTTGGCCTTTTGTTTTATTCACTGGGAAATATTAAAGGTAAGATATCAAATTTTAAAATACAATAGCAAGTTATATTCTGAGTAACTGATATTAAAACTAATTTGATAGCTCTAGAATCTAGATTTAGTGATCTAAATCTGGTGTAGCACTTAAAAAACGAACCCGCCTCATACCTCACTCAGTCAAATAATCTCAAATGTAGCAGATCATTGGTAATGGTAAAAACTCGTTTACTGACGTTTACCTGTCCTGTGAGCCTGTGTAACGTAGACTTTAGATCTCTTAGACTCTAGTTAGATGTAGATCTACATTCTATCTAGATATCTAATCTAGTATAATTTAGATCTGGTATTTTAAATGTTATTGTTTTACTGCTTCAGTGACTTACATAAAAATTATTAAAAATCCACCAAATGTGTGGAATTAGAGAATTGAGATTTTATTGAGAATAGGGCCTAAATCATTTTAATTTATTCTAAATAAATTTTGATGTACTCAAATCAAATGTAATGTGAAGTTCCCCAATTCAATAAACTAATTAGTAAAGTCAAAATTTCTATTTCTAGACTCTAGACAGTGAAAATACTGAAAGTCTACTAACTCGGCCTAAAGTAAAATTATGTTACAGTTTAAAAGTTTAATCATCTGACAATCATTTAATCATGGACATCAAGATGAAAATCCTTCCATCATTTTTGAATATTGGCTGAGTGTTACTGTTGTTAAAGTTTAAAGGCTATGACATTTCTAGATTTGAAAACCCTACTGTGTAGTAATTTTATGCAAAACTTTGCGATAAAATTATAGGCTTAGGCTACTTTTTAAAAACCACATGACATAGTTAACTAAGTCATGTAAACTATACAGATCTAGATCTACTGTTGTTCATTTTCAGTGACAAAGTGAAAACAACCAAATTGTAATTGATTTTTTTATGTTTAGTTACAGACAGTTCTAAGAACCAATACATCCATTTTGTTTTAAAGTCAGACAAAAACCAGATAATCAGGTTTTTGTAGCCTAACCATATTTATTTTAATAACATTCATTGTACCTACATACATGATGATTTTAAAAATATTTAATCATTAATTAGCGTTTCAACTAATATCTATATATAATTCTCTTCTGGGAGACGCTAGAAAACAAGCTGTAAGCGTGCTCCCTACCACCCCACGCCTACATGGTCTGGTGAGCTGTGCTTCACGCTAAATGTTTACATTCGTAAAGCCGGGTTTAGTGACGGCTATTAGGGGCAGATAATTTAGTTGAAATGATTTTAAACTTAGGGTAGGTAACTAAGAGGAGGCTGCTTTCACTGGAGGGGGGGTGTAGGGTAGGGGTTGCGGGAAAGGAGGGTGGGGGTAGTATCGATAGTGTTTTAAAGCAAATATTTTCAGGGGCAGCATTGGTACTGTCGAATTCACAAATTATGAATTACTGAAAAGTAGAAAATAAAACAACTAAATAGCGGCGTATGATATGCCGCGGGACGGCTCGTTGAGACTATTCTCGTTGGTGTCCATTAAAGGCCTACGATAAAGACTCTAGTGGAAATTCTTTTTAGTGAATTAAAGACCTAGACTACAATGTCATTACATGTTCTTGGGGCACATAGATCTAGAGTAAGACCTAGCCTATCGGCGCTAACCTTTGATTTTATGTCTGCAAGCAGCAAGGCCCATAAAATAATTATTAGCCTATCCTAGTTATTAATTTATAATAGGCCTAGGAGCTATAGTATATAAATAGGGCCTATGGTGTACAGGAACTATCTATAAGCAAT